TCTCTATTATATCTATTAATTACTTTATAGGCTTTTAATCTTTTATATAGTTTTACTTCCCTAATTAGGTTAAAAGAAGCCTCTAGGTAGATATCTAAATACCTATTACTATCTAGTATCTAGTATATTATTACTATTATATCCTGGTTAAACTAAGGCTAGATTTAAAGTATAACTTTAAAAGGAATAGTAATATTCCCTCTAAATTTCTTAATAATAGCTTAAGTAGATATAACTTAGTTTATTATCTTTAACTAATTTAGGATAAAACTCTTTTTAGTAGCTTTTTAAGTATATCCTAGGCTATATATAAAGTTAATATGTTTATTTACTAGTATAGTTTAAATAAAAAAAGACCTTGAACTTTCAGGAGTCTAATAGGCCTAATTAAAGTATACTAGACTAATAGGTTATGTTAGTAGAGGAGTCTAGGTATAGGTATCTATGTTTATTTCCTTAGCTTAGAAGCTAATACTAGAAGTACTTCTTTTTTAATATATATTTTTTAAAATAAAGCCTTAGTATACTAAATAAAGCCTTATTTAATTAAGGTAATACAAAATAGGTTATAGTATTATATCTAATAACTTAATAATTATGTTTACTTTTACTTCTTAAGTTAAGAAGACTTTAGTGTATATCTTAAGGGATACTAAGATATATTTAATAAGATTTACTTAGACGTCTTAGGTATATAGTAATAAGTAGTATTATATTTTAGGTTAAAAAAGATGTTTAATACCCTAGTTAATTATATATTTTATTACTTTTATAGCTTTTAGGAATAAGGTATTATTTACTATATAAGTAAGAATAATAACCTAGTTAAGCTAGTAGTTTTTATAAACTTCTTAAATAGTAATATTAAGAACTTTATTTACTTTAACGTTTAATCCTTAAAGTACTTTATACTTATAGATATTATAGTTTAATATAATTAAGTTAGCCTCTTTATCCTTTTTAAGTTATAGGTATATCTAATACCTTCTTTAGTTATATATATTATATTAATACTAATTAAAATAGCTTAGAATAAAACCTAGCTTATTAAAAGAGAATAGTTATTAAGCTAGTAATATATATAGCTATAAAGGACTAGATATAAAGACATTATAACTATATATAACTATAAGTTAACTATTAAAGATAATCTAGGCTTTAAGACTAGCTTTTATAGTAAGTATAAAAGCTATTACTATTTTTAAAAGTTTATTTATAATAGAATTAGTTATAACTTTAATATTTTTAAAAGTAGACTTTTTAAGGAGTATACCTTTAACCTAATTAAGGCTAAAAGGCTACTTTAAGGAATAAAAAACTATAGCTAATAAAGAAAAAGTAAAAGTATTAGAATCTCTATAATAACCCTTATATTTTAACTTTTGTTTTACTTATATAAATATTACTTTCTTAAAAGCACTAAAGTTCCTTCTCTTAAATAGATTAATAGAAAAAAGTCTTATCTATAAGGATATTACTATAATTATATTTTTAAAAAATCATATAATAAAAAGCTTAATTAGCTTTTAAGCACTTATTATAAGCTTCTCTTTAGCCTTTACCTTTTCTTTTATACTCTTAACTTTTTAAAATAAAGTTATAGTTTTTATTAAGTTATTATTCTTAATTAAGTCTTTTTTTATAAAGTTCTTAATATAACAGTTTAGTTAAAGAATAACTTTTTTATTAAGTTATTTATAAGTATTAAAAAAAAACTTATTTAGTTCTTATTAAGTCTCTTTTTTAGCCTTAATCTTTACTATTACTTAGTATTTATTAAATAAGTACTATAATAATACTTTTATTTTCTTTTTATTAGAGTAACTAATAAGCCTAGTTAAGACTTTATATTTATTAAGAAAATTAGTAATATTATAGCTATTAAAAGTAAAGGCCTCTTTAGTGTTTAGTAGTAATATCTTAATAGTTAACTAATATAAGTAATTTATCCCGCCTTAATTAGGCTTAATAAACCTTTAGTCCTTAGTTATACTTATATTAACTATTGTTAATAAGTTTACTATTAAGAGTTACTAAGCCTAGAAGTTTATTATAATAAAGGAGTCTAATACTAGATTAAAGAAAAGGCTTATATCCTTATTAGCCTAATTAGGATTCTTTTTATATTACTAATAGCCTAAGCTTAGGTTTTTACTTTTACTTCTCTTAGTAGTTCTAAAGTTAAGAATCCTAGGACTAGTCTTAGACTTAGTATTTATATTATTATTAAGGCCTTAGTAACTCTAAAAAGCTTTACTAGTAAATAAAACTACTTAATTAATTAAACCTCTAAGCTACTTTATATTAATTATTAATAAGGTTAACTTAAATATATTACTAATATCTTAGTAAACTAATTATAAAAAGTATAAATAATATTAATTACTTTAAATTAATTTTAAAATACTATATATAAAATCTCTTTAAAGTTATTACTTAGCCTAGTCTATTAACCTAATTAGACTTAAAAGTAGTATTTTATATATTCTTATAAAATATTAATTTATTATATCTTTAATTAAGTTTCTAAAAAAAATACTTATTAAGTCTAAGCTAATCCTAAAAGAACATTAAATTTCTATTACTATTAATCTATTAATACTAAAACGTTTAATCTTTATTAATAGTGTAATATTAAACCTAATTAAACTAAAGCTTATATAATAATAAGATTTTAAGAAGTTCTAGGCTTAGTTTATAGTTATAATTATTTTATAATTTATACTAAAAGAGCTTTTTAACTTATTAATTCTAATAAAAGATATTATTCTTATCTTATTATTTTTTTTCTTTTTTTTATGTTTTATAAACTTTTTTTTTTAATTAGGCTTACTTAGTATTTACTTATAAAAAGATTACTTATATAAAAAGTTTATTTAGCTATATTATATTATTATAGCTAGTTATTTATTTCTTTACTTTTTTAAAACATCCTACTTTTCTTAGGTCTTATTTATTATAGTTTCTTAAAGTTAAGCTTACTTCTATATCTAGGACTAAGTCTAATTAAGTTAAAAATATTATTTTTTTATATCTTTTTAATAATATATTTTATTAATTAAAGCTATTTTTAAAGTATTAATATTAGATTTATTATATAATTAAAATAAAATAATAAAAAAATTAGTAGTTTAATTTTATTATAAGGTATTATTAAAACTACATGGGATAAAAGAAGCTAGCAAGTAAGCAATTAACATATAAACCACACTAAATACTAAGGTCCTAGTATTATTATAAGTATACCTAGAGTAACTAATTACCTTAAGTAACTACCTTAACGCCTAGACTATAAGATATTACTCTTTTTAGGTTCTCTTTAGCCTAATTAAGGCTATAAGTAAACTAGAAAAGTATATCCTTTATATCTTATAGTTTATTTAAATTTGCTTTTATTACTAAGTAGTATATATATATATATTGTGATCTTTAGAGGAGAAGGATATTCTCTTAGACCTTAAAGGTCTAGTTAGGCCTAAGGAAATAAAGTAATAGTTACTTATTATACGTCTTATTTTTATATTAAAGTAATAAATTTGTCTATATCTACCTAAGTACTTATTTAAAGATATTAAGCTTATCTATTTACTTAGTGATTAGATGCTGATGCCTTGCTTTTGTGATAGTATTTGACTAGAGTCCCCTTTTGTACTTAGAAGGGTCCTGCTTAGTCACGTCTGATCAGGCCTGTGATTGTGTCTGTAGGCTAATAAAAGGAAAAACAAAAACGCGAAACCCTGCCCCTTTCCAGTACGCTAATCCTGTAGATCATGTGACGTAGCCTTAGTCCTACTTCTAGCCACAGGGTCTACTACAAGGTCCGCTACAGCGTCTAAGTCTCTAGATAGCACTACTATAACAAAAGTATAACAAGTCTACTTACTATAATAAGCTACTTACTAACTATAACTATATATACGTTAACACATATATATAGTAAGTAGCGTATTATAGTAAGTAATACACTTACTTATTATGTAACAGACGCTGACAGTGACGTCGGTCGCAAGGACCCTTTGACTCTACGGCCTAACCAATTGACCCAAAAGATCCGTCAGTGCTTGCACGCGTGCAAGCCCTGCTGTCAACACTGCTTATATGCCCTTGTGACGTACAACCATCTGGCTAAGGGAGTTGTGCTGTTACATATTATACCTTAAAAAGTACTTCTTTAACTATTTTTAAAAAATTAAAATCTTATTTAAACCTAATAGAACCTTATATTTAGCTATTAATAAGAGTTATATATTACTTAAAAATATCCTAAAAACTACTACTTTACCTTAACCCTTATACTTTTACTTTTAGCCTTAGGTAAGAAAATTATATAAGAATAAAAGTAATAAAATAATAATAATTTCTAATACATTTTTTACTAGTATATAACTCTTATTAATAGCTAAATACTAAGTTTTATTAATTTTAAATAATATTTCAAATAAGATTTTAACTTTTTAAAAATAGTTAAAAAAAAGTACTTTTTAAGGTATAATAAGTAAACACGCCGCTTACTATAATACGCTACTCGCTATACGTGTAGTTACGTTATATCTTATATATTATTAAGTTAAAAATATTTAATTAATTAAGTTAATAACTTATTTAAGAAAAATAAAATTGTTTAGTTATTTTTATTAGTTTTAATTATATTTCTTATTATAATAGTTATTTAATGTATTAATTTTAAATTATTATTTTTAAGACATATAAATAAAAATAACCTTTTATATAAAAACTTTAGGTCTTTTTAAATAGCTGTAATTATAAAAAGAATACAACTTTTATTTAAAGTAAAACTTATAGTTATATATAAAGTAAAGTTAATAGGAAAAGGAAAGGTGTAGAAGAAAGAAGAAGTAGGCGACTCACTATGCATGTACGTTAGAGCTTAATTAACTTATATAAAAAGTAGAAAGGTAAAGAAAAGTGATCTGCTCACTATGTTGATTCGCTTGCTATACATATACGTTATATGAAGACCTGTAACTTATATTCAAAGACTACGTAGAGGCTTGTCGTCGCTCACGGCCGCTAATAAGATAAACACCTGCTCGCACCTCTAGCAGTGGGTCTGCCGATGGCTCTACACCGTCTACTCTTGGAACAGGATCGAATATAATGTTCTTCTGCTCTGCAGCATCATTGTCCACAAGCTCCGTTAGAGACAGCTGTCCCAGTTCAAGAACTTGTCTCTCCTCAGGCCAGTGGACAGTGTTGTCGTCAGTCACATCACCATCCTCGGCCACCTGCACTAGGAGCTTGAATTCGATGGGACCATGGCGTAAAACTTCCGAGACGCCGTCGAAGAGGAAGCGTGGAGATTTGCTCCTAACCTCGCCGCCCTCCAGGTACATCTCACCGCGTACTGGCACCCAGCGATAGCGGACAAAAGTCCCAGTACCGTCCGCAGCAATCAGCTTGAAAGCGTTGACGCTGTAGTATGTCTCCCGTCCAAAACTAGCCGGGAAAGGTTTCGGCGCCTGCACAAAGGCAAGCGCTGCTGGGTGAGAAGCAACGTAGTCAGCCACGTCACCATTGGCGACGCTTTGGAAGAAGGCAAGCGCCTCCTCGCCATTCGGAGCAGGGAAGAACGGCGTCGAGTGCGCAACAATATCGGTGTGGACACGAAGAGGAGAGTCTGCGAGTTGAAAGCGCACGGCTAGGCCACGTGGGTTGCCGTTGGGATCGGTGTCTGGGAGATTGGGTATACCCGTAGAGCTGGAGAAGCGAGCGATGGCCGGCGTCTCGGGGTTTGTAAAATGTTGAGCCCGTGAAAGTCGAGCAGCTGTGTCCGTGGGCCTAAATACACCTCTGAGCAGGACACCCTTCGCATGTGCTGAGAATATTAACCATTGGCTTGTACTTTTAGTTCCCATAAGATGTACAGATCCCTATTTACCTGGTCTGAATCCCGGATGTGGTCCGAAGATGTTGTGTAGCACGTCGACAAGACCTTGGGAGGTCTCAACAACTTTGTTGTCAGTCGGCAGAGGCATGGTAGGCGATGATTTTTTGTAAAGCACCAGACGAACCAGGAGGTTTACTATTCTGGCGAACTTACAAGGCCAAGATCTGAATTATCGATCTCCTGTCTGTTTTATATACGCTACGCTACATGGATCCTCCTTACGAGGGAACCACTAGTTATGATGGCACAAGCACCTAATTGCCAGCCTGCATGGTCCAGCAGAGACACATGGTTCTTACTAAGGACATCAACAATCCTGGCCTCGGGACGATATGATGATAGGTACTTCGTCCAATCCGATGACGGTAAAAGTAATCTTACCGTAAGCCCGCATGGTGCGTGTAAACGCCAATGACGGTCAGTGGACGGGAAGCCTCCGTCTGACTGCGCCTTACTTCAAAAGCAAGCAGTGCTTGTCATCGTTTGTTGGGTTGATCCGTGGTTAATGATGGCCACCGCGCAGCCAGAGACCAGCCTCCAGGTGTTGCTCAATGACCCGACATATGCGCGGCCCTTTGTCAGCACCCAGCCACTTGTTACGTGTAACAGTAGTACCTTGCCTATTCTGACATTGGAGCTTTCCCAATCGGTCCAAAAGCAGCAAGGAAGACGAACTAGTAAAGAATATGGCCATCAGATTATAGTTTGTCTAAACTAAACTAGAGGTGCCCTTAAAATGCAAACGCCACCAACTTCGTTCATCATTTGAGTCGATGCCGTCTCAATAGCATCAACCTTTCGTATCTACAATGGAGGCGCCTCGGGATCCTCCATACACTGATCAACCCGCATGAGTTGCTTGTTTGTCTTTTTGGCCATCTGAATGAACTGTCTCAGGTACTTGACTGTGCTGGGATACAAGTAGTGCATAACGACAAGGCTACCCCCCTTGTCCAGGTCGCGCTGGAAAGCCTCCAACTGCTTCTCGGGTGTGGAGGAAGTAGCCCAAAGCCAGTCTTCGACGTCAATGTTCCAATTGACTATATAGGCGTCGCTGTTGCCTGTGGTAGAAACAAGCTGCTGACGCATACGGGCGCCCTCGTTGCCAAAAGGCGGCCGGAAGTACTTGGTTTTGAGACCACTAAACATGTCTGACACGGCGTCAATGTCCTGCTTATACTCCCAAGCAATTGCTTCATTGTTGGGAAGACCCTCCATCCTGGGATGAGTATAGCTGTGGAGAGCCATCTGATGGCCCTGTGTCATCATGTCCTGGTAGATGTTGCTCAAATTCGTGCTAGGGTCTCTAAGAGGCGCGCCAACAGTGAAGAAGGTGACCTTGATGTTCTCAGATCTGATGACCTCCATGACCTCCTGAGCGTAGGTTGGGTCGCCGTCGTCGATGGCAAACGCAATCGAGTTGGGACGCTTGCAAGCGAAGACGAGATTGCCAGAAGGCAACTTACTCGGGATGTAGACACCACTCGGCACAGATGAGACGATCTCAATCTTGGTCAGGGTAACAGCCTCGTTCGTGTAGAATCCTTTGAAGGCCAGGCCGACCGCACGTGTGCGCACAATGTTGAAGTGTGACATGGGAATGTAGATGTTGTTGCCGGTAGCATAACGGGCCGCCTCGAGCGAGTCCCAAGTCTCGGGGAAAGGTGCGATGGCGTCGTTACACTGTGAGTTGTGTTGTTGCATGGCGATGGTGAATTTGTTGCTCCCCGAGTATGCAATGTGCAAGTAGGAACCATCATAGCTGGTCATGTCGGCACAGCTGTTCTCGAACTGACTGTAGTAGCTGAAGTCGGCATCTGGCGCCTTAATGGTCACCTTGCCCTTAACCCATGTGACTGCAGCTTCGTTGTCGCCGCCATGCCATTGTCCGAGAGAATTCTGGTCCTTGGCTGAAAAGTCATCGATAAGCTTGGCTGCCGCTGTGCCCTTGGGCGCGGCAACAGTCGATACGGGGACAGCGCTTGACGGCAGCGTCTTGATGACGTACTCGGATGGTGTGTTGCCGCAATAAAAGGCCATAGGACCGAACTGTACAGGTCCGGAAAGCGTGGTGAATAAGATGGAGGACACCTTGGACAGGTCAATCGTCGTAAACTTGGAGAAGGGTAGGTTATACAGCTTTTCGGTGCCGTCGAACGTCCAGCCAAGCTCGCTGGTAGTATGTAGGCTGAAGCTCGTATCCTCGCCGCTGCACGTTGTTGCTGACGCCAACTGAACTCCAAATGTTGTTCCTTTGTTGGCCTTGATGCGGAAGGAAATGCCGCCGTACCCCTTAGCCTGGACGTTTGTGCACGCAGTCTTACTGTAGAAGTAAGAGTCCTTGCTACTGGGAGTCAGTTTGACCCTATTACTGCTAACCTCAATCTTGCTCATCGAACCATCATCGCTACTTGGCTGGAGCATGGCGTTGTAAAAGAGGAAGGTCAACCGCGACTGAGACTCCCAATCATCAATGAGGAGGTTACTGCAACTCGATGAAGCTGGTGATGATTGAGCAGTGGCCGAGCCGGACATAGTCAATGAGCGACTACTGCTGTTGGGGAGGGACGATGTCCTGGAAGAGGCGGTGGTGCTTGACGAGCTTGAAGTGGTGCTGCCTCTTGAGGTCAAAGACGTGGTTGAACTTGAAGAGGAGGAGCTGCTGCGCGAGGCCGATGAAGACGTACTGAATGTTCGGGAGGATGATTGGGAAGAACTAGTAGACGTGCTAGAGACAGAACTTGACAGCGCGCTGGACACTCTGTTCATTGAGCTGGCAGAGGTACTGCGAGACGTCAAGGTAGATGAGATACTCGGCGACCTTGCCAATGTAGTGGAGGATGAGCTCGCACTTGATGGCGTGCCGGCAGCACGCACTGTCGAGGACGTTGAAGACGCCGAGGCTGGAACAGGCTGAGAAGCCGAAAGAGAGCTTTTTATGGATGCGGTTGATGAGATTGGTAGTGGGGATGAGGTGGTGCCCTCATTGCAAGTGAGTTGGATGTTGCTGAACTGGTAGCCGGAGAACTGGGAGTAGGTGGACCAAACAAAGCCAGTGATGCCGTCCAAATTGGCGTCGGGAAACGAAGACAGGGCGATGCTGACAGTCTGCGTCGAACCCGTCAGGCCAGAGATAACAACCCATTGGCTTTTGTACTCCTTATCCGTACAAGCCTGCTTGGTCTGGATCTCTACCATGAAGGAGGCATCCTTGGGTCCTTTTACAGTTAAAGACAATGCCTTGTAACCTTGAGTGGCTGCTCGATAACAATCAAGAGTCTCGTAAAAGTACGAAGAACTGTCCGGCTTGGGAGTGAAGGAAAGTACTCCGTTGGCGAGGACGATGCTCGACATGGAGTTGTCGTCACTAGTCCATGAACTCAAGCTGTTCAGACCGGAGGGGGTTTGTCTCGAAAAGTCGTCAATCAAGAGATTAGAACATGCTGCGTATGTAGCTCCTGTAAGGCCAAGAAGGCCAAGCAAAGTGTTGGTTAAAGCCATGATGGCGGTGTGTTGCCAGGTTATAAGTTTAGAAAGAATGGCCTCCTCAAGGTGAGAAGAAAACGAAAGACTGCGCGCCAGATGGCAATGATGAGATGAGGATGAAAGCAAGTCTTCATTCAAGAGGGTAGGGAACGAGATACAAGAGATATATATTCGAGGAGGCACCGGGGACCCCTACCCCGGCCCTACCTAACTGGTGGCGCCGAGGGCCCGTACCGCGTAAACTCGTGAAAGTCAAGAGCGTGGGCGACATTGCAACTCTACGAAGCCACTTTCTCGCCTGATGGCAAAACCATCAACAGGTTAAGCCGTTGTTCGCTGACTCTCGGACGCTGGACCGTGTTGGGTGGGCCCATGGCCGGACGGGGAGCCCTAGGGCCATGGGATGAAGGACAAAGCATGGTGGCCCGATCTGCCACTCGACAGGCCAAGAAGATACTAGAGGCAGCTCGCGAGCTAGGCATGGGCTGTCGTTCCCTCAGGTGAAAAGGATCGTGGAGATGACCGCCCTGCCAAGTGAAGGCGGGTACCGAGAAAGAGCATCGTTGAAACGAGGCGTTGGGGCTTCCAGGGCCCAATACTTGGGTGTGGCGCCTCTGATGGTAACCATAATTGCATTGTATTAGATGAAACTCGTACAAAGGGTTGGTGATGATCTGTTTGAGAGAGAGACAGACAGGTGGGTGGGGTTCTCGGAGGAGGTTTTTGTTCTTTGTCGAGTCCAGTCGTTGAAGAGTCTGACTGATACAAAAAAAAAACCGGTTCTGGAATAGAGGGGAAAACGTGAAAGTAACGGGCAAGGTCGACAAAGCCTCGAGATTATGAGCCAGTGCGGGACAAAACGAGACAAAACGAAACCTGACAAAGCTTCTGGTCGCCACCTAGACACAATCCTCTGAAACGGTCTGCCAGTAGCACTATTCTGAAGCATGAAGGCTTAATTAAGTCATCGGCTGATGGTGTCAACGATTCAATGAATTGATGCAGCCCTGGTCGCCAATAAGTGGGAGTGGATGAAATGGCTACACGTTCGCTAACACATGACACGATGCAATCCACTTGGTTGACACACCCATCGACAACTAGTCAACGGGGAAGAGATGTTGACCAACGTATCCGATCTTCTCCATCATTCCTCGACATCCTTCGTCTTTCTACCAAGGGGAAAGAGGGGAGAGCGAGAGCCAAGAAATATTCAAAAGACGAGATTGAAATCATGGGTTGACTGTTGGAGCAGGCTCGGCACCATGTCTTGGAGTTAGTTCGCCAGACCAATGTGGGAGGCGTTCACAAAAATAAACATGAAGGAACAAATGTCGCTAACATTTTGCCAGTGTTGCCAGATGAGGACTCGGGCCGGCTAGCCTTGACCAACAACGATACTCGATGCAACTGACGGAAGCTGCAAATGCCACGATCTTGGCGCTGGCGGGCCCTTGGCAGTACTGCTCGTTTCTTTGAACCTCGTACTGCACTCCTCCTCTCGGCGCATTCTCAATCTTGGCGCATCTGGGACCGACTTGCGAATGGAAACTCAAGAGCCTGTGTCTCTCCAGCCTCGGTTCATCGCCTAGGCCAACGAAGGACCCAGCAACGCCTGAGCCAGGAAACCCACAGTGATCACTCAGCGGCTCGCCTTGGCGTACACGACTGGCCTGCGGTCTGACACTACAGTCAGTCCCTGCAATCAGAGTTTGTTCTGCGGGTAGGATCACGATAGACAACTTGGCGGGGTTCCAAGCATCAAGGGTAGCAAACCAACTCGCCTACCTGAAGCTGCACGCATTGAAAGACCTAATGGGTTGCGATCGGCGGTCTCCCAGCGACCCCAGCAATGGCTTCTGTGGGCTGCGTTAGCTCGAAGCAAGAAATATCGCAGTGCTTTGCATTGACCCGGGCGGTCACTATGGGCGTTCTCGCATTTTTCTGCCTCCATCATGCGCTTAGGGTCAAATCCAATCTGGGCGTGATATATCGAGTCGAAACATGATGATCTGAATGGTCAAGCTCGACACGAAAGATCCGGGCAGTGGGAGTATCAGCCAATGAAGAAATCAGTGATGGGAAGACCTATTCAAGCAGTCGAATACCGAACGGCGGTGGCTAAAGAGAGCCAGTCAAGACTTCAAGCCCAGCACAGCTAGTTTAAGACGAAAGTGACGATGCCGGTAATGACGACGAAGACGTTGCTGACTGCTCACGTCTTTCCTCCCTCCCCATTTCCGGCTATCGATTGGCCATGTCGTTCAACACGGTCGGTACTACATGGCTCTCTCCCTAAGCGGAAAGACGATACTGACGAGCGTCTGACTTTGCTGTGACTGGGAGATTAAATCAGGGGCCGAGGGGCTTTCAAGATGCCACAATGTCAGAGACCCGAGAGTTGGTTGTCGAGCCAAACGAGATCAGTGCGAGGAACTTGTAGGTGTCGATGTTTCGAGGGACGGGCCCGGGAGCGGCGGGCGTGCAGAGTGCACAAGCCTACGGATAAAGTCGTGGTATGGATGGCCATGCAAGCCCCCGGGCATTGCGATTGGTAGAGCCATTGTCCGGCCCGAGCGGCGTGGTGCGGTACAGTGGTACTGCACAGGATCCGCGATAGATGGTTGCCTTAGCTCCGAGCTCGGACCGGGTAATGGCTTCACGCTGTGTTATCTACCTATTACCATGACGTCCCCACGCTGCTGCAGTGACGAGCGTGAACCGAGCTACCTTGGCCTTCGTCTATCACGCTTTCAATATACGACAACGACGGCCAGTAGGTGAACTTTTGCAGTTGAGGTTTCGAGCTTGACCGGCCTACGTAAATGAACTCGCCGGAGACAGCTACAAAAACAACAGGGCAACTGGATACGTCAGGACATGACGAGCTGTCAATCTCCCAGTATGCCGTTACACCATAGTCATGCATGCCACCACGTTACCGGTCCTTTCATTGCACGTGCAGCCATCCAGACTTATTGTTCAATTGCGGGTAAGAAGCTGGGTTTCGTTTCGACCTTCCGGAAACGGCAGCCGCCAGCGCTGATGGAACAATGAAACCTAAGGGCAAGTCGGTGGATTCCAAACACTCAAGACCCTCAGGAGCTGAAGGGGAGGAGCAACGGGAGCCGCCGGATACGTCGTCCTCGGGGCTTTGGTCTATGTTGGCTGGGTATGGGCTGGTCAGCCAGTGTATGGTTGGATCGAAATGAGCGCCATGTCGACTTCGACCTTGAGTCGACCCTTTCGGGCCTCAGATCCCCCCGTCCTCCTCATTAAACCAAAGACAGTTGTCGCACTCGAACGTCACGAATGACGACCGACGAGTCTAACCCGTTCAAGCAACGGCGGCCGCGGCCGGACAGGAAATTGTTAATATGGGTGGTTGGGCGAAGAAAGACCATCTCCTCAAAGTTTGACTGGAAAATCTCAACGCATTTTCCTGTCACTACGAAACGAATGGGCGAGGCGAGAGGTGGGAGAGAGAGGTAATGGGAGCAAATACTAGTCTGGGAGAGAAACGAACGGAGATGGAAGGGTGTGGGTGAGGCCATATGACCCCAATGCGACCACCTTCTCAGGCTGAGCTGGCAGTGCACCAACAATAAGGTGACATCCCATAGGCTGTGTGTGAGGCAAGTCAGGACCGTCAGGTACATTTGAAGTAAGGTAGGCATGGCTCAGGAGCGGCCAGCTGACAGCCTAACAATGGCCCAGAGCAGAGGAGTGCATGGATTTGGATGCTAGCATCGTCATCAGCAAGCACACGCGCCCGCGTAGGCCAGGGAGGAAGCCTGGAGAGGAAGCCTTCCCAACTTGAGTGCTGCGGACCGTAATAGTGTACATCAAAGAGATGCGCGGCACATGCATGACATCAATCAACAGCAGCGACACGATTGGCTACTGCTGACCCCAAGTACCTCAAGTACCTCAGGTCCATCATGGGGGCTGATGGTGAGGGATGGTACCTCTGTGCCGGTGCTCCGTGCTCAGCTGCGCCTCATTCCGAAAGGGGCTCAGGCTGTGTGGCAGCTGCGCGCAGCTGGGCCCGCCGGATCGCGGATGACATCGGCATACATAGTAACTGGATGGTTGGAATCCTGGCGTTCACGCCCCTCATGAGCCATCGCTGATTGGAGCAGCCTGGATGATGCTACCCATAGCATGAGGAATTGAAGCAGAACATCTGCGGCACCCAACCTGCACTTGCTGTTTTGTCCATTGCCAAGGGACCTGATGACGCAGCCACCCCTCCCCCTTTGCCTTTGCCACGCCCCGAGCTTTATCATCATTCGTATCAGCACCTATCGGGCCCCTTATCACCCGCCTGCATTGAGCCGAGACGACGCGCCCGAGACGATACGCTCCGCACCCCCCCCCCCCCAGGCGGACTTGCTACACGCTGTAGTAGATTTGGATCACACCTCCATCCCCCTCGGGGTTGACGACACAGACGCAGAGATAAGGAAGCAGCCAACGTCGTCACTTCCTTTCGTCCCGTCTCATCTGGAGTCGAGCTCAGCTGTCTCCAAAGTTGGCACATGGGCTGCCCGTCTGCCTTTCCGACCTTGTTTCCAGGTTTCTCCGTAGAGTTCCCGTCCCGTCCAGTCTAGTTTATAAACGGTTCAACCACCTTGAGGTATAATAACATCACATCCACAGCCCCGCGCCCTTGTCCTTGGGCCTGACTCTCTGCTCCCCTCTCATCAACCTGTTTACCCAACAACACGAGAACGAAACCTCTACCATCGCACCCTCTAGTAACTTGCTCACTTCGTCTCTGGCTCTATACTCGGGTCTTGTCCATTTCTATACCTGCGCCTCTTGGAGCAATATCCAGGATCCCTTCTTAACCCCGTCCGTTGTTGCCGTCATCCTCGGTAACCCAGCCCTTTGACTTGTCCGGTGACTCACCCGGCCACTTCCGTCCCGACAGTGATTACCTCACCTCACCTATCAACTCTCACATCGCCTTACCTTTTGGCCTCGTCTTAGCCCCCGCCTTCCAGACACGGGCATCGAAGCGGGCATAACTCAGCAGGCTTCCTTCCATCTATTACTCTATATCTATCCAACTTTCATCCGCCTTTCAACCTCCGCCTCCAACGAAACAACTTGCCGCACCCCTTCTACAAACTCTACACGTGACAGGCATCGCAGCGACTCAGACACCATCAATCGACGCCGAGTTCGAACATCACACAGCTTCCTAGGCTGTAGACATCAAATATCGTGCTTTACTCGCAGCGACGCACCCGGAAGCGGCGCCGCCATTTTGAATCCTAAGACCACCCCAACTTACCTGTCTTGTCTACAAGCAGCCGACGTAATGGCCGCCGCGATTGAGTCTCAGGCCCAGTTCGAGCGGGACCTCCGAAGCGCACACCAAGAATATAAAAGGACCAAGGATTCGCAGTCCAAGTGGTCAAACGGTGCCCGTCCTCTGGCAGGCTGTCGTCTTGACTGGACCACCCTGGAGGCTGTCGGTGGAACCGAGCAGCAGCGAGCCAAGACGCGTCCCAGGGGAAAGAACAGTGAAACGTACGTTTGTTATACTAGTACCCATGTCGCGCATTCGCATGACTTGTTCTGACCCACGAGATGCAGCTCCCACTACAGGAAGACACAGCACAACGTAACCAAGTTCCGATCACACTGGGAGCTTCCACAAGGCCGCTTGCACTCGGCAGCACGAGCTAGAGAACAGATCAAGGACCCGCTCAGTCGATCAGTCATGGAGATGGCACCCTCTCAAGACGGATGGAAAAACCTTGCCGCCTCGGAGGATTGGAAGTACAGCTTTGATAGGATCGAAAGTCCCAACCGGCCGCTGACGCTTGACGTCTTCGTCAAGACGACGGGACGTGAAACGGAGCGCATGGTGGAGAAGGAGTACGAGATACTCAATGAGAACGGCCAGATCCTCAAGGGCCGCAAGGCGCGTCAGAACCTGCGTCAGGATGGCACTCGCGTCTCCGAGGATGATGGTTTCCAACTGGTCTGATCCCGCCAACAATTCGCCTAAGTGCTTGTATGAGATGATACTTGAATGATTGGCTTGTTGCTTGGCGGATTATGCTTGCCCTGGCGTTTGGAATTGAGCATGGCACGCAAGGCGACTATAGGGTTTCAATGGTTTTGCGATGTGCCGGACTTGGTGGCATGGGATGGCGTTGGGTTAAGGAGGACAGCAGCATCGTGTACGAAGGAACGACCATGGTGATCCCTAATATAGGTAAATAGAACTCGCTCAACGAGACAACCTAGTCAGATGGCTTCGCATCTCTATTCCCATTCTGACAGAGTGCCAGTCCTAGGCTGACTGCAGCATACTCAACCTAATTAAAGGACTCCTTGACAATGGCAAGAAGTGATTTCTGAGTTGAAGTCAAGATATGCCCAGACGATTAATACGGAGTGGCATGTTCAGAGGAGGATCTCTCTAGAGAGTGGCCGTGATTCGTCAGCTCGGAGTCGGATTCGGTCCTGACTAACAAGGGGCCGGTGATCCTTCCAGGCAGCCTCGAACCGAAAGCGGCTAGAGACGTTCATTAAATAAGCATCTCATTTCTCCTACTGGACCTTACTGGGTCTCCTGTGTCTCGTCACTAACGCAGTGTTGTCCGGCGTTGCCTGTGTTCGGCTATCGCTGGGTGCAAGTGCAAGGGGCGCTCTATTAACACCCAAGTTGCCCGACTCCAGCAGCGCCGCGGGGCCGGACAGAATGGTGGTGCCTAGAGCAAGCCCCAAGGTCCTTTTTATAGTGAGGCGAAGGGTAGGTAGGTATTCGGAGTGGCTCCCTTCGCTGGTTTCTGCCTTACATGAGGCTAGCTTTCTTTGCTTTCGTTGGCGTATTACATAGGGTAGATACCATGCAGCACATGTTTCTATTCCTGACAATCTTGGACCCAATATCTAGATAAAATTTCTTTTTCCCTCTTCTTCTGCTTCTTCCTCCTGGCCCATCTTGACTCTTCACCACTCTCCTCCCAGTCGCTCGCTGCAGCGGTCTCTCACATTGGACGATCATCTGTGTCCGTCTGATCATAATTGCTCAACTGGGTGACACACAGTACTCTACCACGGCCATAAACGGTGCCTGCGATGGTTGGAGCAATAAACAACATAGTTCCGCCGCGGCTGCAGTCTCAGTCACTACCGGAGCTTTCGGCGGACTCCCCGGGCCCGTCGGAGTTGCCGGCCGACCTGCCGCCGTTGCCGCTGCCACCTTTGACAACGACGACGACGCCGCCGCCGCCGGCTCCTCCGCCAACAGCCAATGTAACTCACACGGCGGGGCCCCTCTCTCTGGTGACCGAGAAGACGTTGCTTGCAAGTCGTACCAGCAGTCACGGTGTGACGGCCAACGGCGCAAGCCCACCGCAACCACCACCATATTCGAGCCCCTCCAATGACTCGCAGATGTCCATCTCGCATGGTTCGCAGGGCCTCTCCGGGACGACACCAGCGCCTCCCTGCTACACAGGCCTGCCCAGGCTGGATTATAGGCTTTATTCGCCGCCTCATTTCACCCTGTCACCGGACTGCACTACCCTGTCCTCCAAGGCAGAGCATCTGACGGCAAGCGCCAGCGCCCTCGTTTCTCTCATCAAGGCGCAGGCCAGTGTCCCACCTAAACCACTAATACATATCAAAGGAAACCGCGGGCGCACCGTCGACTTTGACTTCAAACTGAACCTTATGAGTTTGTTAGTGTCCGACGACGCGAGCAGACGCATGGATTACATCCGATGCGTTGCGCCTGGCGAGTTGGCGTTCCGGGGCGGCGCCAAGCCCGATGTCTTCCCCGAGGTAGGGGAGAGGGAGCTCGAAGAGTGGTGCCGCCGCTTCATCGAGGACCCGGCGCCGGTAAAAGGCTTCGGTAAGCGCCTGGATGTCGCAAGTTCGTGGCGATGATTATAGCTAATATTGGGACTCCATGCCCACAGCGCTTGAACGGGTCGTTGCCAACATGGACACGCTCTACATCGAGGGTCAGATTCGCAGCTTGATCGCGTCAACACAATACAAGGGGCAAATCAACATCTCGTTTCCCGTTACGCATGCTAAGGTCAAAGTCAAGAGCGCCGAGAAGCCAAGCAAACTGTACCTGGGCATGAAGAACCTCTTCTCAAGCAAACACAAATACGAGGTGGTACAGTCAGTGTGGCCGTTTGCGTCGGCAAGAAACGGCGAGGATGGACGGAGGTGCATGGTGCAGAGTGAGGAGGTCTGGTGGAGAGTAAGTTCCCATGCCGAGCCGAGTATTGTTCATCTCAACGATACTCTGCCTACCTTTTGAACAATCCTTCTAATTCGTGTTGTTCATCGCAGGAGTGGCGAGATTCGATCAAGTACGCCATGACGCTGAAGAGACAGAATGGGGCGTACGTGACGAACGAGGACAAGCTGGAGGCTTTGATGGAGGGCAAGGGCAAGGGCGTAACATCCATCGACTGGGGTGGGCCCGACGTTGACGAGCACGGCCCGTGATGTCGTTCCAGGCTGATTATGTGTTTCTTGCTGGGCTCGTTGGGGAGAAGGGTGCTGGAAAAGGATAGGATGATACCCAAAGAGTGGTGAGTTGGCCGTGAGCATGTTAGAAGCATCATCTTGTTACAGGTACGCGCGTACGATACACCTGTGGTTGGAGACTGACGCAGATGAATTAGTTTGCTTAGGTGCTTTAGGGTTAATTGGAGGTTGGTTTACCAGAGAGCTGGAAAGATTGGCCAATCGCTTCATACCCTTGACCAAGTCCAAGGTTGTACAGATGCTTGTTCCGGTTCTTGTCTTGAACTTACTATTACAAGGTAGACACTGTAAATTATCGCGCCTATCAATGATGTGCAGATGGTGCCCCTAACGGCCGAGGCAAGGTGCATGAGTAAGCACGCACCTTCCAATGGTTCTTGGGTCCAGCGACAGTGCTTTCTGTTTGGGATGGCGTACAATATAGTGCTACCATGCGGTATGCACCTACTGTCAAGTAGCAGTCATTGCACGAAGGGGAGCAGGCTGTGCAGTACAAGCCACTCAACTCCACCAGTGTTGGCCCCAGAGTCGAAAGAAGATCATGTTATGGGACTTCTACGCTTTAGGGGTCTCTAGTATTTCCTAGGTAATTTTATCCACTTTCCAGTACGCAACGGCTGGCGGTTGAGAAAAATATGATGTTACAGCGTGCCACTATTTTGTGTGGTACCTTGCTTCGGGTACGTAAAGTGAGTCACTCGGCGACTTGGAAGGGGTAACGTTTGTAGCCACCGCCAACTACTACACAGTAAAGCGCGAACGCTTCCCCCAGGCCCAATCCCAGTACTTTCGTAGAGGTAAAAGGCCCCGTGAGTCACTGCCATTTCTTTGGATACTTTAGACACTGGCCTAAACGCTTAAGCCAAGGTCCCAAAGGAGTCTGAATCGAGTTGCGACTCACCTGACACATTCGGCCAGTGACTCCCTGCCATCAACCCACAGACAACCCAATTGAGTTGATGGCCCTGGACCCTTGACTTCGACTACAACCTTGACCCTGTTCATGGGATGCCAAGGATTCGTATACATGACTTCCCGCCTTAATTCAGCTTCAATCGCTTAATCAGATACTTTACACATAGGCTGCCTCACTCGATCTATTCATTCAGTAGGTAATATACAAAGGACCAGCCGTTCTTCTTGCAGCGTGGGGAACTACTTGTCTTCACATATACCAACCTCTTGGTCATCAACTGCCATTCAAGGGCCGACTGCTGTGAAGGACCAACGCTCCTCTACCGGTGTACCCTGCACGACGACACCATACATTCAGCCCTGTTCCCTCTCAACCACATTAAAAGCACAAATTCAGCCGCCAGTCAGTTCGATACGTTGGTGCCTATGGATTTCCCAGCTCCAGCAACTCACGACACGGCTCTCTGCCTGATCCCGCCAAGGGACCAATGGCCATCAGTCGACCGGCTTCGTTTCGACAACGATAAGGCCTATGCGAAATGGCCCCCCATGTCAACCTCATCTACCCCTTCGTCAAGTTCACAGACTCTGGTGCCCTTCGCCTGGCCTGTGATGCCATTGTCGATTGCCTCGCCAACCGCACACCCTCGGGCGAGGCCGCCGCTCTTTCCGTCCACCTGGACTCGTCAGATTATTTTCAACACCGAAATGGCAGTACCCTGTTTTTGTGTGATAAGGATGCCAAAAGGACATCTCAGCTTACCTCTCTGAGAGCCGCAATTTTTGCAGCCATTGGCCAGACACGTTCCGAGCCATATAACATGCACATGACGGTGGCTCAGTGTGAGGATACGACGCACACATCCAAGCTCGAGTTCCTCCTTGAAAAGCTGCGGCGTCTGCCACTCGTGAGTTGGGAGGCTAGCCAGCTGGCAGTTCTAGTTCGCGCACCCTCAGGTCAGATGAAGCAGTGGGGTATCATTGATCTTACCTCGCCCTCTCTGCGGCTCTGTGAGGACTCCTTTGGCCTGGACCAAGATACAACTGCGACTTTGATCCCCCAACAAACATGGTTTATCTCCGAATGTCACTCGGCATGGCAGCCGGTGAACGCGGTTTCTTCGGAGCCGCCACATTCGGATGTCAAGCCTCCAGAAAACCTCATCGTCGCCAGTTGGAACGTCCTTGCAGAGTTTCACTGGCCTCCTTCTCGCACAAGATATCCCATAATCATCGAAAACCTGCTTGCAGCAAACTCGTCAGCAGATGTTGTAGTACTTCAAGAGATAACCGACGACTTTCTGCCATTCTTGCTCAAGGATCACCGCATTCGAAACCAATACACATACGTATCACACGGATCGCCCGACGACCCTGCTGCCGGCCCGTTGCCCAACATACTTAACAACGTGGTCCTTAGTAAACACCTCTTTTCCTGGGAATATCTTCCCTTCAAGCGTCAGCACAAAGGATCATGTGTACTCAAATTTGACGGCCTAGGACACGGCGAGGCAGAGGGCCGCGCCTTGCCTCTGGTACTGGCAACCTGCCACCTCAGTCAGGGTCTGACAGACGGCGCTGTTGTCGCTAAAGAAAGGTAAAAATAACTTGGTTTTGGCTGTTGCGTGTATCAGTTTTCTGTCAGGCTGACATCTCCTTGTGCAGAGAACTCCAGCGCATATTGAACCATCTCAAGACCTGTTATGCAGCCAATCAATGGATCATTGCCGGCGACTTTAATGTTGCCACTTCTTCCTACACTGTCGATACCGCCGTCAGAAAGGGATCAATCACTGTGCAGACGGAGAATGTTCTCCGAAGCATCGAGACAACTCTAGCGGAAGCCAACCTCCTCGATGTCTGGATGGTCTCACGCATTGAGGCAGGCGTCAGTGACAATCTCAAAGGGGATATTGGCGACATTTTTGAAGGTGAACAGGGCGCGACCTTTGACCCTAGAGAGAATCCGCATGCTGCCAAGATGGTTGGAAGCGGCCTCAATAACCGTCCGCAGCGATATGACCGCATTTTGGTCAAGAGCGGAGGCCCCTTGCAAATCTCACGCTTTAACATGTTCGGCTTTATTACCGGCGAAGGCGGACCCGGAGAAGGCCTAGTATACGCAAGTGATCACTGGGGCATCCGATGTCTTCTGCAGCGCCTCGCCGCTAGGGATTCAGCAGCTATCAACGCCCGTGTGGTTCCCGTCCAGCACAAGAAGGCCCCGGCCGGTCTGTCGGACGCTGCCGCGTTGAGACAGTGTATGGAGAACCTTGACATTTTCCCAACGGATCAAGATGAGACCACCCGGAAAGAGGCGCTTCAGCTACTGCGGCAAATCCTCTTGGAGTCGGACCAGGCGACCCCAGATCAGACACGGGGCCGTCCTGCCATTGTGCTGGTACCCGTAGGGTCGTACGGTCTTGGTACCTGGTCTAGGACGTCTGACATCGACTGCCTCTGCATAGGGTCCATTAGCCCCCGCGTCTTCTTCACCCTGGCCCGTCAAAGGCTGAGAAAGTCGACTGACCCGGGTGTGCGGTTGTTGAGGAAAGTCAAGGCCAAGACAGGCACCATGTTTGAGGTCGAGATTAACGGCGTGAAATGCGACCTCCAATACTGCCAAGCACCCAACGTAGTAGACCAGTGGCCCGAAATGCTAAAGCGGCCTCCATCAGACCCGACTTTCAGCTTACCCATGCAGACACTCCTAAAGCTGAAACCTGCCAGGGATCTGTTCTACCTACAGCGCTCGATTCCAGACCTGGCGCAGTTCCGCGCGAGTTTTCAAGTCATCAAGGCCTGGGCAAAGTCGCGCGGGATATACGCAGCCAAGTTTGGGTATTTCGGCGGCATACATCTGTCCGTCATGTTGGTTAAGGTCTGCAAGATGCTCTTGCGCGATGGCGGCGTAGTCTCTACTGCTGACATTATCACGACTTTCTTTGACCACTACTCACAGTTTGATTGGAAGAACGACATGGTGTTTGATCCATTCTTCCACAAGATTTTGAGGTATCATCGTACGCCGAGGGAGGCCATGTGCCTTCTCGGCTGGCACTCTCCGACGCTCAACACGGCGCTCATCGCCTCCGTTCCGACCGTGAAGATCATCGCGGCTGAAATTGCCCAGACCGCTACCCAAGTATGGGGAGACGGAGCAAGCTGGCAGTCCCTTCTGTCTATCCCAGACTTGAGCCAGGACAAGAATTTAACACCGAGCGCCTCGAGTTTCCTCGGTTCATACCGTTCGTTCGCCAATCTTCGCATTCACTATTGGGGTGCCTCCCTCGAACGCGGGAGCAGACTCGTTGGCTGGCTAGAGTCCCGTTGTGCGTCGCTTCTGGTCGGTGAGTTAACTTAAAACCCCCGGCAACCAACACCGAGGCGAGACGTGTCTGATGATTCTTTTCTCTAGATATGCACAGGAGGGTGCCTCAACTCTCGGCCAGAATTTGGCCCGCCAGGTTTGTAGACTCATCCACTTCCGAAGCCAAGGGGACCCAGGGCGACTACCAGGGCTCCTATCTTGTCGGATTAGAGTGGATGAACTCGGACGAGAAGCCATCAAAGGATGACTTGGAGACGGCGCACAGTAACCTGCGGGGCGTTTTGCAGCAGTTTGAAAAGCTTATCATGAGTGACGAAAAGTATTTCGATCCAAACACTATGTGGTTTAGCGCGACCGTTGTAAGGGGAAGCGAGCTGGGCGACCTGCAGTTGGACAGTCGCGAATGGGGTGTATACGTTGACGGTGACGACGACTCGGACACGGAGGATGAAGAACAGGAAGAGGAGGAGGAGGAGAACCAGGAGTGGCTCTTGGAGAAGGCGGCAAAGAAGGGCAAGTCGGCAAAGCAACGCTCGACGACGACCCGGAAACCCGAGGGGGCGGGCAAGCTGCGCACAGCACTTGACGTGCTGAACCGGTTGCGATGGGACCCGGACATTGACAGCAATGACTTCCTTATCGGGTACGAGGATCGATTTCTAGGGCCACAAGAAAAGGCTCTTTCTGCTTGGAAGAGTGAACAGACGCATGAAGAGTTCATCCCCCAGCACCGCATCTTATGGTTCAAGCGCCGGAGCGACGATGTCATCGTTTGGCATAGGTCCGAACGCATTGACCTGCTCTTCAAAAAGGCACAAGGCAATGTCCCGGATACGACGCAGCAGGAACGAGGTGAATGAGAATGGTCATCATGGTAAAAGCTTGGGACTGGCCGGGCGCTGTCGACGTGAGCTTTGGCAACGGCGTCTTTGATATGGACATGTTAGAAGAGCGAATGGGCCCAAGATAGATCTGCAAATACAACGTCACTCGCAGCCCATCCTATTTCCTTTGCCCACAGCCGTGTAAGCACCGGTTCTCGAATTGGAAGCATTGTCTAGCCCTCTTCAGTATGACATTGATACTGGCAGTGTACCATAATTATTAAGTCTTCTAATGCCTTCAATTATATTGGAGAAAGGAAGGCGTATTGTCCTGCGGGCTGCGTGGAAACCATCAAGATCGCTGTGCTTAAGCAGCCTCCGCGTGCCTCCCCGATCTATCTTCTCCCATGCCCAAACGAGACCCTGGCTTACACCCAACATAAAACCCATTCGCCAAACCGCGATTTGGTGTTCGCCACCGAAACGCCCCGCCAGTTCCACGATGAAAAACAACATGGACCGAAAACATGGGGGGGGGGGGAAACCCAAATGTGCTCAGTCCTGACAACCAAAACCCCTGCCTAGTAGAGCGTCATGAAAACGGCGGCTATTCCAGCCTTGTCGTACTTAACATGCTTGCCCTTGCCCTTGTCAACCTCGTGGTATCGATCCCAGAAACGATTGTACAGAGGCTCGAGCATCTGCTGAATGTCCCGAGCGAACATCTGTCGCACCTCCCGTTCCATGTTGTACGTCTTGTGTCGGCTGACCATCTCATCAAAAGAGGTATTGAACGCCTGGAACTTGCCCTTGATATTGTCCTTATCCCTGCTGCTCAGACCCTTGAGGATGGAAGCTGAGTCGGCCTGGCCCGACGTGGGCCGTTGCTTGCTTGTGTGGATGACATCAAATAAGTGTGTCGACACCTCTTTGCAGTCCATTGTGTACATGCCCGTCGCCTTCTTGCGCCATTGGTCCAGCATGCCCATTCGACCCTCGAGAAGAGGCGCGAGGTCCGAATCGCGGATCATTCGTTCAACAATGACAACGCTATTGGCCAGAAATACACCAATCACAGCCCTACCACCCTTGAGAACCATCTTCGCCTTTTGGTCAAGTGATGTCATGAGCATATCAACCGTGTCTGAGCAATAATGTGAGAAGATTTCCTTGCCGTCAGCGCCGATGTCAAATGAGGAGAGACTGGGAATTGCGTCAGTGGACCGTCCGTCGGTAGCGGCGTTGGATTTCCAGCCCCCATCACCCAAGGAAAACATGATGCTCGAGATTGGCCGCAAGAATTCGACCATGGTCTGCAGACGTTGCATCGTCTCGGACACGATTGGTATGGGTGCACCGTCTTGGGGAAGTGTCTGCATGGCAGCGATCCTTCGTCTTGTGTCATCTAGTAACTCTCCCAGCGACAGCTTGGCCGTCTCTCGCACAGGCCGGAGCGCTGCAGCAAGCGATGACTTGAGCTCGCCAGTACGTGTTTCCAAGTTGCTCGACAAGCCCGACATAATCTCGGTGATCTCATAAGCGAGGTAGCAATCTGTGTTTAGGTGACCCTTGATATGACTATTCAGCTCTCGCAAGGTGCGGGCAAGCTCCGCCATGGCGGCCTGGCACGTGGCCTGGAAAAGGGGGCCCCAGTCCTCCCGTGTGAAGATACTGCAGATGTTGTCGTATTCAGCCAGAAACAGACCTTCCATGGCCTGCGCATACGTGCCGATGCCGTTGGTTCCGGCGCGGTAAATGGCGTCAGGGTTCTTCTTCTTCGTCGTGTTGACGCTGGCGGCGGCCAGGTTGGCCAACGTAGACGAAAGATAAGGCCCGCGTATTTCGGCATAGATCTTGGCCGTTGACGAGTCTTGAGGAGCAGCACCACCACCATTCTGACGATGGGTGCTCGATATATACGAATTGACCAAGCCGAGGCGCGTGACCTTGTCCTGAGACAGAACCGGGAACGGCATGTCCTTCGTGATGTAATGGAGCGGCTCTACCGAGCGGGGGGTATCTCCTCGAAGTAACTTATCGAAGTGACCCTCAAGTTGTGAGTTGCCTGACTTGATCAAGCGGACCAGCTCCGCCATTGTCTGTTGGTTCGCTCGCAAGTTGGACGCCTGCATGTCGGCGAGAGCCTTGGATAGGCGCTTGATCGAGGCGAGGAAGTTGGAAAGGCCAGCCTTGTCGGGACCGGCGCGAATGATCTGCTCTTCATCGTTCTTGCTATCGGCAGGTTGGCGAAGGCGCTCAATGGCAGCGAGGACAGCATCGATATCTGCGAGTGAGGACCAAGAGTCAGTTTATCTGGGGAGAGGACCCGGGGAGGGAGGATCTTCCCATGGACGTACTATTGCCTAAGACCTGAAGCTTCTTGGTCTCTCCGCTCAGGGGCCAGCAACTTCGCGTACGCTTTTGCCGGTAGATTCTAGCCTTCCCATGCATGCTTGTATCTTCTTGGTCAATTGAGAGGTCTTCTCGAGTCGAGAGTTGAGCACATCGACCTCGGCACGAGCCTCTTCATCGGCGGCATGACGACTGGTCGCAGGGCCGACAGACATGATGTACTTTTTCGTTTGCGCCTGCAATCTGTGGCGGTTGTGACTCTAAAGACAGCGACAGAGGAAATGAAGACAGGGTAAGATGGAATCAACTGCGCCCCGTTGTCGGCTCAGTAGGAATCATGGGGAGCAGGAGGCCGGGAGTGAGGCAGGCGGGCGTCGCCAGTGTCGTAGTCGCCAACGTAGCGGAGGTGACGGCAGTACTGTGGTCGTCGCGAGAAGGTATTGTCGGTTCGGTAGGCGCGAAGTCAAAGTAAAGTCACCGTCATCTGCAGTTCGCCGTGGGGTTGATTCCCAAGCTAGGGCGGGCGGGTGGATCGTGGTAAGGTACGCCGGGGTTGCAGAGCGGGAGCACGTTAATTGGGGCCCCGAGTCGGATAAGATACCTAGGTGCAGCTGTGGTCCTGGGACCTGACGCAACGGGCAGGCGGTTTGCGTCCAGGGGCGAGGTTGGATGAACCGAGTTGGGATGAATTATGTCGAGTTGTTGTGGCTGGTGCATTGGCTTTTCCCGAATTTGTGCATCATGCACAACACAATAGTCTAAGATATATCTATGCATGCATAGTTTTCTGTGCATCGCCCAATAACTAATCAAGTATCTCAAAGCAAGTTGGGGAGCTGTCGAGGCCGTGTGTGTAGTCTATTTCAAGCAACGTATGAAGCACTCAAGGCCAAGCATTATAGATCATACGCAATGCCAGGTCTTTCAAGATGCTCCCTCCTGTGGCTGCTGTTTGAGGAAGGGTTAATACCTTTGCAGAATGCTACAAGACGTCGTTACTCGACTTGTCACCTTGACGTCCATCCAACAGACACCGATCACCTATCGTCTACAGCTCCGTCATATGACATTGGTCCAACCTGTTCAACACCTCTTGCTTGTACGGATGGGCTTTGCATCTCACTCGGTGAAATATATGGAACAATCAATTCATCTACTACCTATTCCAACATTGAGAAATACCCCTTGATCAGCCTTGTCACCGTCCTCGCAACATACTCGATGTCGTTCTTTGTCACAGTGTATGGCGGCGCCACAATGATGTGGTCGCCCAATATGCCGTCTACGGTGCCTGCTCCGGGATAGACGACTATTCCATACTCCTCTGTGCGTCCAAGATCACTGATTCCCGCCGCAACCTGTGCCTCTTGGGGCCACGGCTCCTTGCTGTCCCTATCTCGCACAAACTCAATGCCCCAGAATAGTCCCTTGCCGCGAATGTCTCCAACATAAGGTACATCTCTGAGTCCTTCTCTCAAGAGCTCCGACAGCACTCGGCCCATGCTTCGTACGTTATCGAGGAGACCCTCTTCCTTGATGATCTGCTGCACTTCGAGCGCTGCTGCACACGCAACGGGGTGGCCCTGATATGTATGTCCATGAACAAAACACCTAGTCCCGCGTTAGCCAATCCTTTTGCCGCCAAACTGCCACTGCAAAACAACAGTAGAATTACCTGGAGCCCTTCTCCAACGCCTCGCTCACTCTATTGCTGACTAGAACGCCTGCAATCGGTTGGTAACCCCCGCCTAGCCCCTTACCGATCGTCTGAATATCGGGTACCATATCTTCGTCCTCCCACGCATGGAGTGTTCCCGAACGGCCCATGCCGCACATGATCTCGTCCAGAATTAGAAGCGCTCCATATCGATCACAGACTGACTTCATCTCTCGGAAGTAGCCGGTCACGGCTGGGACGCAGCCCAAGGCCTGCACGAACATGTCAGTCGGATCAACCAAATTGGTACCGCTTAACGCTGCTTCAGTGGATCGCCTTACAGCTCCAACAACCGGTTCCGCCACGAATGCGCATACTTTCTCTGGGCCCACCCGGATGAACTCTTCCTCGAGCTCCTGGGCGAGTCTTGCAACATACGACTCATCCGATTCGCCTGACGTCTTGTGCCTGTATCCGTAGCATGGGGAAACGCGTGAAACAATGCTGTCGATAAGCATAGGCGCAAAGTTAGCTCGACGGGCCACGTGGCCTCCCATCGACAGTGCGCCTAATGTTGTTCCGTGATAGGACTGCTCTCGCGCTATGAAGAGATGCCGCTGCGGTTCAGCTGTTTCCTTTTCCAAATAGTACTGCCTTGCTAGTTTCATGGCTGCCTCTATAGCCTCAGATCCTATAATGCGTTAGCAGCGGGCTGAAGAACGGTTCCTGCCAAAGCCATGCACACGTACCACTATTGACTAGGTAGGCTCGTGACATGTGGCCGTTGGTCGAATCGACGAGGAACCGACACAGTTGTTCGCATACCGACGTCGTGAAAAATGTCGAAGGACTGTATGCGATACCGCCTAGCTGCCGCATCATAGCATCTGCCACTCTCTGGTCCCCGTGGCCAAGACACGCCACTGCGGCGCCTCCAGAGGCATCGAATATCTTCCTGCCACCTTCCAGCACATAACAGTGGCCCTCTCCGCCAATTACCCGCGCAATTTGACTCCGTAGATCACGGTGAAGAACGGCTGAATGACTAGCATCAGTGAACTCCGCGGTATTAAGCGACTTCAGAGCCATCTTGATCAATGGGTATGCTGCGCCAAGATGTGGACAAGAGTGAAAGAAGAAACAAGGGTCGCGGGACAAAGCGTAAAATGTATGCCGGTATGGAACTATAAGCACAGTGTCTTTGGTATGGCTAAATGGCGTCCGCTGCAAGATGTAGAGGCAAATATATATGTCTTTTCCCATTTGTTTCCACGGCAAGCCAGCCCTTTTACAGAGGATGAAGCATATATCGGGAGCCTACGGGATCTCACAAGCTATTGTGTCGGTCTACCGTCCGTGTAAATGCCGGCAAGCCGAAGCTAGAGTATTCTGCTTTCCACACTAGTGTCCTGTATATACCTTGTGGAGAGTACATATGAGATGGCGTAGTGTGATCCCCCATGGTGAGAGGGGATGTATTGGCGCATCCTACACGGGGCGGAGAGGGGCGTGGCATCGGGGTTAGAGTTCAAAGTAAGCAAGCCATCGCTGGGAGAACCGCCATGAGAGGTTCGTGCCGAAGACCACAACCCCAGACAAACGAGCCGCGCCGCGATAGCTTTGAACCAGCTCCAGTGATTGGCAGGGTGCTTCACCCCTGTCGAGAAGGGGGCGCAGACGTGTCCATCCCGCCATCGGCTTGCCAGACGGAACGGCGAGCTCTTCGAGCACCAAGCCGCTCCACAAAGAAAAGAGTTGGTCGTTGGCCGTTGGCTCTCTTGTGCTCTCGTGCAGCGACCATCGCCTCTATCGCAGATTAGACCCCCTCTATTGGCCTGCAATGTGAACTGGCGTTGCTTCGACCGCTCTGTGGAATCATCGGGTCTCGGGAGGGTAACACTCGGAGCGCCGGTAAACAACCCCGTACTTTACCGCCGATCATAGTGCAGAAGTCTGGGTGTCTATCCAGGCGTGGCCCCTGCATATAAAAACCCGTCACCTGATGATTGTCATGTCACCAACATACCGGGAGGCTCATGATGTATCGGCTATCCGCTGCTCAGGCGGTTCTAGTTCCGACGTCAATTTTCTCGGGATACAGATACATTTTCGGGTCGCCTACTTTGGTGCACTATGCGGCTACCCCTTTTCAACATGGAACCGATGTCTTGTCGTCATCTAGGTGGCTGTAGGGCTAATGGATGAGGCCTGGTTTAGAGAATGTTAAGCCCAGGCAAGGCTGTATACCTCCTTTGTCGTGGATACTCCGAATGACGAGCGCTTCAAGAGTTGCACACGGAGCACACGCGCCGGACAATTATGTCGTCAGATCACCGACCTTCTTGGATGTTAACTGCCGTTGCTGTATGTGTCGCTCCCTTTGACCACCGTTACCTAGTCGCTGGTAGGGGAAGAGCCTCAGTCAACGCTTAGCAAGATGACGGGTATAAGGGTACCAGGAGTTGACGGACATGAGGTGTTCGGATTCAAATCCAGAGAACTAGCTTGCCACCTTGATTGATCAGCAGTCATATTGCAAGGGGGGGCGTATGCGCCCCATCCTCGACAGCTGGCAACGAGTGAGCCCTTACCAGCTGAGGGGAAAGGGAAACCATGACGAGTGACCGAAAGTCAGAAGACTTAAAGGTGGTCGGCCATTTGGGATACGAGTCGTTCCATTACTCAAATAACGCTTACATTCACTACCGATGAAGCAAAGAAGGTCGCATCCATGGCTGCTGGAACAAACCAGTCTACCTGTTTAACGAATTTAAGGCGACAGGCGTATACGCGTGGGCGTTTGGCAATGGATGACCAGAGGCAGAGAAAACTGTGGCGATCAGCGACAACCTGAAGGCGCCAGTGTGACCAGCGTCACTTGAAAGGAGCGGTATCATGTAGTCGGGGCCTTTTCGTTTGCGTTGGGCGGCGGACCGCGTCTTCGATATAATATCGGCATGGAAGCGCATGCGCAACAGAGACACTGGGCAATGGCAGAGACTCATCCGCCTCCAGCGGCTGGGGCAGGCCAGGACACCTCAGCCTCAGAAACGAGTAGCGCGGTATACGAATGTTGGTATCCGTGCCTTCGTTGTTGATGCTACTGGTGTCGGGTAGCATTCCGAGTGGCTCAGCTGGAAGCTGGATGACCGACAAATCCGGCATATGTAAATTTCCCTACTTCAAGATTTATCAATGGGACGAGACAGCCCAACCGACGTCCTTGTCACTTTCTCATCAAACCAACATCATAATTGTGACATCTGTACGCTATCTAAGACGCAACAAAGATAAGGTGGTTGAGAAGTGCGACGGGCCAGCCGCAGTGTGACAAACCTCGAGGCTTAATTGCTCAAGAGAAACGACGAGAACCAGGAGAAGAACAAAAAGTAATGTGTCACCGAATGTATTGCCGTCTGGCGGAAGGATACAGTTGAAGTACGAGTATAGTAAGAGACGAACACCTCTCACCCGCACAAACGTAAGAAAGAGGTGAGACAATGTAGGGATTATGTAAGACTCGTTCACCAAAAGAGAGAAAAAAACAAGAAGGAAAAAACGATGGATGTTGAAAGTTTAGACGAGATGATAGCAATTACCGGATGAATGGGCATCACCTCTTGTACCTGCATCGATACGTCTGATCAGACGACGTCCCGATTAATGAACAGTGCGGAAAGCACCGCCGCTCGCAAGTAAATCCTCGGGTTACACAGAGCATATGTACAGTAGTCAGGGGTTGAGTCCCCATATACCTAGCGAATGGCTTCCACGTCACCCAGACACCAGCCACAGGGGCGGGGCCCATCGGATCAATTAACGCGTGCCACCATCCATAGCGCGTTAAGTCGCGTTTTGATCTTCAATTTGTCCCCTCCTTTTTTTTCTTCCTAGGTAACCAGCCTGGCTTGTTGTGCACCTGCACCTGCACCAGCACCCGCATCTGCACACTCTTTGCGGTGGGACCGCTTTCCTTCGCATTTCACCCCGCCCCCCTTCAACACTCCCATTCCAATCTGCAATCTGCAATTTCCATCCCACCTCATACTGTCGCTTTCTGTCGCTAACCTGCGCTTCTGATACCCTTTCCCTAATTTCGCCTTTTCCCTACTCCACCTCCTGCCGCTGAGTTCCGTAAACAGTCGTCGCCATGGATTCCTTTATGCTGCAAGACGCAGCCGCCTTGGACCGCGTCCGCGCAGCCCAAGAGTTCCTCGACCCTCGTATGTTGTTCGCGTCTGGCTGGATCCTCCAGCTTTCCTTTGTGCCACTCGCTATCGCATGCACATGCTGATTTGCGACCTTATAGAGAATGATTCCCAAGGGCGCAGCTACAGGTCAGCCATCATCTTGATGCTGCAGAAGAACCAGAGGAGACTCGTCGTCAATCTCGACCAACTCCGAGCTCACAACCCTGAACTTGCCTCTGGAATCCTCGAGGACCCCTTCGATTACAGTCTAGCCTTCAACCATGCTCTCAAGCAAATCGTCAAGACTTTGCCACAGTCGGGCGACGCCGAAAAACTGAACGATGTTTCATATTACTGCGCCTGGGCTGGTAGCTTTGGCATGAATGCCTGCAACCCTCGCACATTGTCCTCCCAGCACCTGAACAGCATGGTGTCCCTCGAAGGCATTGTTACGAGATGCTCTTTGATTCGCCCCAAGGTGGTGAAGAGTGTACACTATAATGAGACCAAGGATGTCTTCCACTTCCGCGAATACCAGGACCAAACCATGACCAATGGAGTCACCACGTCTAGCGCTTATCCACAGGAGGACGACGAAGGCAACCCCCTCACCACAGAGTACGGTTTCAGCACTTATAGAGACCATCAGACTGTTTCCATCCAGGAGATGCCCGAGCGTGCCCCTGCCGGTCAGCTGCCTCGTGGCGTGGATGTAATACTTGACGATGACCTCGTGGACAAGGTCAAGCCTGGCGATCGCATCCAACTTGTCGGTATTTACAGGACTCTTGGAAACAGAAACACAAACCACAACAGCGCCCTGTTCAAGACGGTAATCATTGCCAATCACATAATTCTTCTATCTTCGAAGTCTGGAGGAGGTGTTGCGACAGCCACCATCACCGACACCGATATTCGAAACATCAACAAAGTCGCCAAGAAGAAGAACCTTCTCGACTTACTATCCCAGTCACTCGCCCCTAGTATCTATGGTCACGCTTATATCAAAAAGGCAATCCTGTTGATGCTCCTCGGTGGAATGGAGAAGAATCTGGAGAACGGCACCCATTTAAGAGGTGACATCAATATCCTCATGGTGGGAGACCCCTCCACGGCGAAATCTCAGCTTCTCCGGTTCGTCCTCAATACGGCACCGCTTGCCATTGCTACCACTGGTCGCGGCTCGTCTGGTGTTGGTCTAACGGCTGCTGTGACTTCCGATAAGGAGACTGGAGAGAGAAGACTGGAGGCCGGAGCTATGGTCATGGCTGACCGTGGTGTGGTTTGTATTGATGAGTTTGACAAGATGTCTGACATCGACCGAGTTGCCATTCACGAAGTCATGGAACAGCAAACTGTCACCATTGCCAAAGCCGGTATACACACATCACTAAACGCCAGATGCAGCGTTGTTGCCGCCGCCAACCCTATCTTCGGGCAGTACGACACCCACAAGGACCCGCACAAGAACATTGCCCTGCCGGACTCTCTCTTGTCACGTTTCGATCTTCTGTTTGTCGTCACCGATGATATCGAGGACACGAGAGATCGACAGGTCTCGGAGCACGTTCTACGGATGCACCGCTACCGCCAACCGGGAACCGAAGAAGGCGCACCGGTGCGTGAGAATGCTGGCCAGGCCCTCGGCGTCGCCCTCAATAATCAAACTGATACTCATCGACCCACTGATGTTTACGAGAAGTTTGACGCGATGCTCCACGCCGGTGTCACATTGACGTCTGGCCGTGGAGCAAACAAGAAGCCTGAGGTGCTCAGTATTCCTTTTATGAAGAAATACATCCAATACGCCAAGACAAGAATACGTCCAGTTCTAACCCAGGCGGCATCAGACCGTATCGCCGATATATACGTTGGTCTACGAAACGATGAAATGGAGGGCAACCAACGTCGAACTAGTCCTCTGACTGTTCGTACCTTGGAGACTTTGATTCGTCTAGCTACCGCTCACGCCAAGTCCCGACTTTCCAACAGAGTCGAGGAGCGGGATGCACTTGCGGCGGAGGGAATCCTTCGTTTTGCCCTGTTCAAAGAAGTGGTTGAGGACGAGTCGAGAAAGAAGCGGAGAAAGACACAGACCACCGAGTTTGCTTCATCCAGCGAGGAAAGCTCCTCTGACGAGGATGGGGACGACAGGAACTTCAGAAGCTCAGCTGCCCGGACACCAGCCGCGCGTTCCACGCGATCTACAAGAGGTGTTGCGCGTCCTCGGACCACCGCTGGTGACCCGCACGATACTGGCGCCAACGGAGATGCTCATGAGAGTGATGAAGAATCATCGGCACGACCTGACGCAGAGGAAAACGATGAAGAAGGCATATATAATGCCACTCCCCGTAGGTCTCGTCGTCGCGGCGGGGACGCTGCTTCCTCGAGTGCGGCGCCGCATACGCAGACATCTTTTGCTTCATCAGTACCCGCGTCTCATTTGCCTTCGCAGTCGCAAGAGGATGCGGAGGACGACGACGAACTGGCTTCAGAGGCAGCCGGTCTTGCTATTGCAGACGAGCCTATCACTCCTCAGCGACTGACGGCTTTCCGAAGCGCTCTCGGTCAACTACTCAACTCAGCTTTGTTCGACGACGATTCTGCCAATGTCGATGCCGTTCTTGAAGCAGTCAACAATAAGCTGCAGTCTCGCAGTGGTGCTGCTTTCAGCAAGCAAGAGGCTGTCAAAGCTCTTAAGAAGATGGACGAAGCTAATCAGATCATGTATGTTCTCCTGGTGCATTGTCTCCCCTGTGTCATGTTGGATTGTGTACGTTCAAGGCTAATAAGAAAACAGGTACACCGATGGTGAGCTTGTATACAAGATCTAGTTCTGTAGCATGACGTGTTGGGTTGATTATGAATGAAAACCGGCGTTGGGCTCATGTCAAGGCGGCGTCCGAGGGAGGTATTCTTGAGTAACGATTAGAGGGTCGGTCACGTATAGTGATTCTGGCAAACACTTTAAAAGACACAGTGTTTGGCGTTACCCTCTCCGCGAACTCAAGTGTTGTAATGGAACCTCATGCACCAGTCTCTATTCTCTCTACAAACGACTTTTGAATTCGGCAAGCCGGTCCTCTACCCTGACGCCATTCCATGTCTCGTTGCCCTTGTCATCTTGTTCCATTTGAGGCACGCCCACTTGCTCAATAGCAAAGCTGGCAGCGACACTGCCCCATATGGCAGCCTCCTCGACGCTCTTACCTCTCGCGAGTGCGACGGCGAGACCGCCCAAGAAGGTGTTGCCGCCTCCAGTTGGATCTACCACCTTGGCGCGGTCGTTGTGGACAGCAGGAATCCACTGCTCCGTACCGGAATCCACCTCGATCTCCTCGCGAACAACGACACCATCGTCATCCTGAAGCAAACCGGCGAAGAGTGCTTCCATGTCGGTGTCGGGCTGAATACCGCCTCTTGTGTAATCCTTTTTGCGGCGCTTCGAGCCTATGCCGTCCCGTGTCTTGGGCTGGCGCTTACGGCCGCCGTTCCGAGCGACATAGCAGCCCTTGTCGCCAGCGCGGATGACTAGCGTGAAGGATGAAAGAGGCATGCTGGCAAGGAGCTGCTCGCACGATCTCTCGACGGCCGCCTTGGAGATCTCGCCGGTTTCCGTGTCCAATCCATCGTCGCCCATGAAACCGGCCAGCTCTGAGTGGTTCGGACTACAGATGTCGACGAGGGGTAGGGTATTGGTGCAGTTAAGGAGCTCGTCGGGCGTACATAGGTCTGGTACGGGTTCCCATATGAATATGGGCTTTGTGTACACATCCGGCGGGCATATACGCTTGCGGGACGAGGTGATCTCTGCTACTAGGTCTCTGCACCTGGTTGGGGAGCAGATGAGGTGGAATGACTTGGAAAGTAGCAGATGGGGTGTCAAATCGCCGGCGGTAAGGCGTTTCTTGGGGGTAGTGTATCTGAAGGCACGCTTTTCTGCGCTTTCATAGCCATTCCATCCGCGAGTGGTCAGACGCTCAGGGTCGTCGCGGAGCACAACGGAAGTCCCCCAGCTGCTGATGAGGTCGGTCAAGGACTGTGGAAAGTCAGAGCCTTTGTCGACAATCCAACCCACAGAGGAGGCGTGGGGAGGCGGCGAAAAGAGACGGGCTCCCAGGGCACCATATGACCCGGCACCCCCGAGGATATCATAAACTGGTGGCGTAGGCGGTAAGAAGTGTATCTCATCTACGATTTCCGTCAATGAGTGCGGGGCTTGTGTGCTTATAGCTGAGTCGAGAGGGAATGGGGAAGGAAACGGTTGCTTTGCTCACCAATTATGAACATGCCCAATGTCACAAAGTCAATGGGGGGTAGCGAGGCAAGCTCTTCGTCGGTGAGCCGTTGCTCTGGCGGCTTTTGTGAATCGTCATCGGCCATGGCGACGAGTCGGCAATCAGCGAATCCCAGGGTATGCCACAAAATGCGTGATGCGTCAAGGGGTAGTTGGATTGCTGGCTGCTGCTATGGCGCAACTGACGTGCTCTTATTAGACTGGTGTAGTTTGTATATCTTCCTCGACAATACTGATACCACAGCTACGACGCTGCAGCTGGTAAGCGATTTTGAGGGTAGGAACTGGCGGGCGACAGATTTTTGGTATGTGGCACTCAGTCTGCTGTCTGTTGGGGGTTGCTGGTCGTGAATGAACAGAGGAAAACACATGCACGAGCGGAATTGAGTGTGTGCTCAGACAGGCCACTGCATCTGTACTCTTAGGGGAGGTGAATTGAGGTGAGGTGAGGAGAGGTGAGACGGGGAAGAGCTCTCGGCGAGATCAGAAGTATGCGGGTTGAGTGGTGAGGCGGTAACGAGTCACCAATATCAGGAAACGAGAGACAAATGAGGTAGGTTGAGAAGCGCAGCTCGAGAGAGCGATTGACATCAATTGATAACGAGCCTCAATATTCCATGATAACCGTCCATCTGCCCTAAGTCCCATCGTCTCCTGCTAAAGTCAGGCATGGACACCGCTGCGAGCCTGCATAGGATTTGGACAGGGTAAGCCTGCAACGGAAAATGCCAGGCAAGTTCCAGAAGCTTTGTCTCACCTCACTTAGGCTTGCTTAAGGGGGGAAACAAGCTCGCAGTGAAATCGGACCTTACCTCCGTTCTCGGCAGAGATACAGAGATGACCATGACAGCAATCACTAGAGAAGTCCCGCTATAGGCACCCATGGCGGGTGATGTTTCCACAATTGAGCGTGCATGTTAAGTTGGATGTTACCAATAACTTCAAATCATGCCTCGCGTTCCCGTTGACGGGTTTCAACAAACGGCGTCAGCATCATTTGGAGATGGTAATGATGTTTAGGCATCCAAGGGAAGGGGCTGACTATAGCTAAATACATCTGTTGCCTTGCTTCCATTCATAATGCGCGTGGCAGTTGCCTGAGTGACATTCGTCAACAATGTCGTCAGCACGTAAGCAGGAGTAGGAGTTGGGGGGTTCGATAACCTTCAACAAGTGGCATTCATCAAATTCACACAACACCCAGAGTAGTGCGCTTTCATTGCCAGGCTCCCAGAGACTCTTGTCCACCATTTGGGCGTGGACCCACCCAAGCTTGAGGTAGGTACATAGCAAGGTACCTTCTGCCTCTCTACCTGTACATACATAATGCGGCGTGTGCGGCTGGCGGTACCTCTCAGTGCCTCTGTTGTCGGCACGAGGTACGTACCTACCCCCACACATTGGACGAGTCGTGGTCTGGCATGACATTAGATGTTTGCGATTATACCCATCCAAAACACCTCGCTCACCCAATATCATCTTGTCCCATCTACAAATATCTTCAGCGCCGCCGACCCGTTGCTCTTTGCCAGGTGCATTTCCTTCCATCCCGGTGGCCCTGCACCAGCTGAAACCTCGAACCCATTTGGTTAGCTTCCACTCTGATCAATCCATCCATCGACGGACTGTTGCTACTGCTGTGTTCGTGCTGAGCTGTCATTATCCAGCATTCTTCACTCGGCCTCGGTTGCATTGAATCCGTATCGCATTGCGAAAAAGCCGGCCCTGTTCACCGTCCTTCACCATTGGATTCCGTATCTTGACATTCTTCGTCACACCATCTCTGCCACGCGTCGTAGCCCTTGGGCCATTGCCGACCCATACTCCTCTCTGTCGACCCTGATTACCTCGCGAGGAGCTTTGGCTTCTCCTCTTTGTTCAACATGGCAACAAACAACATGCACAACCTCACGACTCTCATCAAGCGGTATGTTGAGTGCCTTCCCACAAACCAGAACTCCTTGCCTCTCACTGCGGGAAGAGGATGACGATGGGTCTCGCGTCGTTCCTGTTTTCTATCAAAGCAACCCGTCAGCACGTCAGTAGCTAACCTTGAAACAAGGCTCGAAGCTGCTACAGCTAGACTTGAAGATATCGCTACCTCGACCATCGAGCTCCCTCAAGCCGTCCCTTCCCTTAATCAATCTGTCCCATCGCCGCCTACTGCCTCCAATGCCTCGGCCCTTCCGCCTCCCCCGCCGCAAGCTACCGCCGCGCCCCAAGCGCCCCCTGAGCCGGTCCCCGAGTCCGTCGAGGAGTTTGACCAGTTCATAGCTACCTCGGTCGACAAATACGTCACGATTAGCAAGCAGCTGGGTGGCCTCATTGCTGACCAGGTCGGTTTACGTCTGCTTCATGCGACGAACTCCAACTTCAAAACTGACACAAATCTGTACCACAGGCAGCCAAAGTATTGCAGGGTTTCCAAGCTCAGCGCAATTTTCTACTTATCACTACCAAGGCCAAGAAGCCGGACCTGAATGGGGCCGAGATGGCCGTATACCAGGACCTCCTCAAACCCATCAATGAAGCTCTTGTCGCTGTCAGTAACATCAAGGAGTCCAACCGAGGATCGGCTGTCTTTAGCCAGCTGAGCGCTGTTGCCGAGGGCATCATGGTTCTCGCCTGGGTCACCGTCGATAATCGCCCCTATAAGCATGTCGAGGATTCGTTGGGTTCGGCCCAGTTCTTCGGCAACAGAGTGTTGAAGGAGCAAAAGGACAAGTAAGAATGGCCTGACTGGCCTGGTTTACCTTAATTTCAAGGTGGAATCACTGTGCTAACGTGCTGCCTCAAGGGATCTACAACAGACGGAATGGGTCCAAGCTTTCTACCAAGTTTTTCGCGATCTGACCGACTATGTCAAGCAACACTTCCCCAACGGTATCCCCTGGAATCCCAAAGGTCAGCCTGCTCAGGAAGTCGCCAAGTCTTTGTCCGCCTCTGCCGTTGCCGCTTCCGCCCCACCTCCTCCTCCTCCGGCTGGCGGCCTGCCGCCTCCGCCCCCGCCTCCTGGGCCGCCTCCCGTGCTCGAAATCAAGGAAGAAACCCCGGGCGGAAAGGGTGGGCTGGGCGCCGTCTTTTCTGAGCTGAACAAGGGCGAGGCTGTAACAAAGGGCCTTCGCAAGGTTGACAGATCGGAAATGACGCATAAGAACCCGTCGCTCCGCGCAAGCTCAACAGTATCTGAGCGAGAGGGATCTGTACGCGGCAAGAGCCCTGCTCCGGGAAAGAAGCCTAAGCCGGAAAGCATGCGCGTCAAGAAACCGCCAAAGAAGGTGCTTGAGGGCAACAAGTGGACTATCGTACGCGACCCCGTTAACCCAGCCATAGTAGTACGAAGAAGAAAAACTGACATATCCATTCTTCTAGGAAAACTTCGAAAAAGAGCCTCAACCTATCGAGATTGACGCATCCATCTCCCACTCCATTCTGATCAGCAAGTGCAGCAACACCACCATCATTGTCAAGGGCAAGGCAAATGCCGTCACCATCGAGAACTCGAGCCGCCTGTCGCTGATTGTGGAGTCTCTGGTGTCCACGGTGGACGTAATCAAGTCCCAGAACTTCGCACTACAAGTTCTTGGGGCTGTGCCAGCTGTCCTAATGGATTCGATCGATGGCGCTCAAATCTACTTTAGTAAGGAGAGCACGGGGACCAAGATCTACTCGAGCAAGTCTTCTGGCATTAACCTTAATGTTATCTCTGGGGAAGATGAGGACTACAAGGAAGTGCCTCTGCCGTCGCAGATCTGCTCCTACTTCGATGAAAGCAAGGGCGACCTCGTCAATGAAATCGTCTCTCACTCCGGATGAAAGACTCGGGTTCTACGCTCTGATGATTGAATAGAATCGTCGACGCGTCGACCTCCCGTTTCTGACACTTTGCCTAGTTGCCATCCACATCTTTTCCATCATCCTGATTTTGTCTTCTTTTTAATTTAGACCAGCGTACATTTTCAGCGCCCTGCCGTGCATTCTTCTCTAGCTGCGTGGATGGACGGAAAGAGACCGAGGAGAAGGAGTGAAATATGGTCCGACTTTAGCGGTGCAGCCAACGCTGAAGTGTATTGTACATTGGAGATAAAAAAAATGAAGGGATTTTGGAAAACACTGGAATGATCGCGGCAGTGCCGACACTGCCGGTCACGTCTATCATGTTGCGGAAACGCTTCTACTGTATCGATGCCAAGCATAACTGGCCGCCCACATACAAACACGTATAGCCACGGGACTCATCCTAGAGACAGCCCCCCACCCTTCTCCCTCTCTGCCTCACTAGGCTTGGGCTCGATTCCCCACCTCTTTATGGCCTACTAATTCTGCGCTCTCGTATTCGGAGTTTACAACTTGGCCTTGGCCGGCTTGATGGTGGGAATGAGCAGATCGCGCATATCGCCCGCAGCCTCGTTCAGGAAAAAGCTCATGCGCTGGCTGCCCAGACCCTTGGAGACAACGTTGAAGTTGATGCTATGAGAATTGATCGGTTAGCAGGCTCTGCAGAGTGTAAGAGTGGAAATGAAGTTTCCCGGCACTCACCTGTTTTCGTTGATCATGTAGGCAATGCCGAATCCGGCGTCAATGACCTGGCTCCACCCATATCCGTTGAAGTACTCAGAGCTGAGCTGAGAAGACGAAAGGTACCAGGAGGACGAGTACGTGAAGGCAGGGTCTTGGTAAATGGCCGGTAGCTCTTGGCCAGGCTCCAGAAGTTTCTTTAGGCCAAACAGATGTCTATCGACACCCTTGCCATCCGAAGCAGCGGTGATGTACTCGAGATGAGAGTCAATGGCCTGGCGGAATAGGTTGACTTTGTCCTTGTCCTCCACGTTGGGATCGGCCATGGCGTTGCACCAAGCAACAGAGGCGTCAGAGACGGTTCTGCACGTCTCGGTGCGGCCTTGCTGGAAACGGCGGGTAGCGGCTGACTCGTACGTAGGGCGATTCTTGCCGTACATCTTGTGGTAGGCCAGCTGAATGACCATCTGGACATAGGCGTCGGGTGAGCACTTGAACTTTTTGATCAGACCCTTGCCGTAGCCCTGGTAGGCCTGGACAGCAAGCTCGTGCTGGCTGATAACATCATGAAAGTCCTTCCTGGCGCGGTCAATCTCGGCCTGAACCTCCTTAGTGATTTCAAACTTGACAACCTGAGGGTCAGGCAGGTTGGACCGGATCGATGGGTCGGAGAGGTCGATCTTGTTGTTGAAAATGAGGTCGTTGATGAAGTCGTTGAGACGATGTGTAGGGGTTCCATCCATCATGGAGTGCTCTCCCATGAAGCCTGAAGTAGCGTTGTCGTTGACGATGAACTGGCACGGCTTGTCGTACCAGCGGTTCGCGCCATCACCGTGCCAGTATTGGTGTGCACGCTCCTCAAGGGTGACGGGGGCGGCGTCGTCGAGGCAGACAACGAAGGAAGACGCCTCAACGGCCTCCAAGGCAGCAGCGTTCTTAGGGCTGGCCTTGAGCAGAATCTCGCGCGCATCGGCCCAGACGTCGCGGTTCTCACTGGTCAGAGCACCAACAGCAGGGACTCTCTGGGCCAACTCGTAGACCTTGTTGAACTGCTGCTCAAGCTCTGAGGCGTTGAGCTGCTTACCGTCGACCTCGTGTAGGATCTTGAAGATTTGGTTCTTGCGGATGGCAATGATGTACTTGTGATCCTTGTAGGAGAACTTGACGGGGTAGTCGGCGGGCTTTGCGGCGACACGACTCGTGTTGAACATCCACTTGTAGCTGTCCATGCAGATGGGCAATCTCTTCATGTATTCAGGCTCAAGGGTGCCGTCATCGACCTGTTTCTTGAACTCGAGGACAGCTGAGGTGATGGCGGCGGCTCTCTTGGCAGGGTTCCTCCTCCGACGGTCATCGCGGTGGGAGTAGAAGTAGCTGACGTAGGGGACAACGGGGTCTCTGTAGCTCAGGTATGCTGCATCGTTCCACCACTCGTATAGCCAGTTGCGGTGGGCAGGGTCTTCTCTGCGGGCCAGCAATTTCTCTTGGAGCCTGCTGCCCACACCACCTGGCTTGACGAACTCTTCGACGGCCTTTTTGCTGGCAGCAAACTCGGACTCGGAGAGAAGGGGGTGTAGTGTCTTGACATAGCGCGCGGCCGTCTCCTCGAGTGTCGGTACAGGCAGTCGGGGAAGAGAGTCCTGGAATCTCAACATGGGGCCCTTGGACTTGTCCTCGACATATCCTGTGCGCGAGTGGATGTCAGCCGGTACTGTTGGAGGCAATGCGACCGATGATGAGCAACCGCGAAGGGTTGCGGGACTTGGATGCGAAGAGGGACGTCGCAGAGGTGCAACGCAAGGCAATAAAACATACCTGAGGGAAGGGAACTGTTGTTCCGTTTTGCGGCGGGAGCCATTGCTGCTGCAAAGGTCTGGGGAAAAGTCAATGAAGTGTTAGAGGCACAAGTTGGAGGAAGAGGAGAAAGAGGCAGATGTGGCATAGCAGAACGGCGGAAAGGGACGCCAAAAACAACGGATGGAGCCAGCCAAACAAGCGGAGCGGGGTGGGATCAAGGATGATGGGGTTGAGCCGAGGATATATGGACTCGGGAGTAGTGCGTCAGGCAGACAGGATGACTTACGGGACGATTGAACCTCAGATGTCTCAAGGACGACGTTCGTACCGTGGCAGACCTAGCCTCGAAAGCTCGCAGAGCGGCCGACATGACCAATTCTTGAAAGGGGAAGACGTATGGTGGTGGTGCCGTGTGTGTGGTTGGTGTGTCCAAATAGTTGCAGTTGCAGTTGCAGTGGCACACGTAGCCGCAGGAAGATCCGCGGTAGAACGGACGATACGGCAGCGGTAGCAAGTCCGGTCAGTCAGCTTTCGGTGTGGATCGGAGCGGAGGCTAGACTAGCCGTCGCAAGTGACAGTAAGAGACTGGGAAAGAAGGGACTGAGAGTGGCTGCTTGTCACAAGCCAAAACCCAGCTGCCACGAGGGACCGGCTTTATTATGTCAACAGGGCAAGGATGCGTGGCTGGAGATCGGTGTTTAGTGTGTGTCGAGGATTTGAGGTACCTTTCAATCCCTGTTTCTCTTGGGGAAGGGGGCAAAGGGAGAGGAATCAGGGACGCGGTTACGGTTCGGTACGGGGCCCTGGCTATGGGGGATTTGGGGGGGGGGCGTGGACGGGGTATGGGGATTACCCAGGCGTTGCTTCAGGCCTTCTTCAATGGCGAGGGTACCGAGAGATGGAGTGTAACTCTTTGAAGAGAAGTATTCCTGATTGCCGATACCTCGGCTTGGAAAATCTCTACCTGTTCCCTCCAAGGTAATTTGGTCTATGTTGATCGCCGGGTTCTCAGAGGTGCAGCAGTAGCGTCGTTGAAAATGCAGCAGCAGTAACGCTGGAATGGTGACCAAAGGCGGGAGGCGACAGGGTAGCTAGATAATTGGTGTGGGGAGGACGGCGTGGGGATCGGGTCTTCAGTCTTGCTGCTGATGGGGAGACCTACAACGGACAGGTGTCGTGCAGTGCAGCGCGGCCAGATGGGTTGCCAGCTTACGGCTCTTATGGCCAGAGGAGTATTAGAAGAAGGGGCAAATGGGCAAAGACCATGGAGAAAATGAAGACAAGAGAGAGAAAGAGGGAGAGAGAGAAAAGTCGGCGTAGGTTGGGTATGTACCTGTGATATCGGCCTTGGTGGTCATTGGCGCACACTCATTTCCGGTCTATCTCGTTCATCCTCCCTCCCTTTCCTCCAGGGCATTGTTCGCGCTGCCATCTCTTGCCTTGGTCCGGATGTCTGGTCTCACCTTACACAGTACCTTGCTTACCAGTTGGTCTTGCACGGTGTAATGACTAGGCCGGCGGAGGTAGAATTGGGGAGCAGGCAACCGCAGCAGATGACAGCTCGACCCCCGTATCTGGGCCCTGATCCCATGCTATGCTCATGTGTCTGCTCGAGCATCCAAACATACATCGATTACTACTATGTATAGGATAGCAGTAAATGTGTACGTACAGCGCTATACTCTTTCTCCCTCGTGCTCCTTCCTTGAGTCTTTGCTATCCCTCGGTACCGTGCGGCGCAGTGAGTAAGCGTTGTCTTTTTTATTTTATTTTATTGTCTCTTGTGTTGTGTGGGACCTTGAGCGCCGGGAGTAGTGTGGACTGTGCCACTGAGCCGAGGTTAAACAGGGGGCCTGCGCGCTTTTACCCCGTACTCTCCGTGCCGACCGGTGGATGTGGAAAGCGTTGCTGCGCGCCGCTGCACCAAGAACAAGCAAGGTTCTACAGTACGTGCCCCACGGGTGCAGCTCTACCAGTACATACATGTGTGGGCGTCTCCACACCCCAGTCCTTCTGGAGACCGAAGCAGACCTGCTGAGATCCAGTTCCAAGCCGCCCCAGTCCAGACAAGTACATAGTGTAGGTAAGCCCAAAGATCCACTCTAAAACGCGCTGCCGTCAGCCATGACATCTTTGGTGCAGCTTCACCATGCACCTCCGATTCGGAAATGGTAAAAAGTCCACATACTTTGTTTGAGCCTAGGCTCTGAACGGATTTACCTAGGTAGGGTGGCACCTTCGGTTGACTTGTGTATGCTGACCGAGCTACTCGAGCCGGCCGCCGTTGCGATACCCCCGTCAAACCCTCTCGTGACCACTTCAGCTCACTGTCTACAGCCCTTATCACGAACCACGACCCGCCACTCCCGCTTCTGGAATATCACCCAACCTGGGCGACGGTAGTGTTCCATCTGGCCCACGACCAAAGTGCTACGTCGATGGGACCAGCTGCGGAACGTGTTCAACTGAAAGTTGGACAATGAGAAGGCTTTCTACCAGGATAGTAGCTACCATTTTGCGACGGACAGGGGAGGACGCGACCGGAGAGGAGGATATGACCGGACTAGGCCGGACTGGACCAACGGAGGTTCCAACGGAGTGGGTCTCTTTACAGGCCTAACCAGACATCTGAGGTATCTCCAGGCCCTAAAGCAGAGCACGGCCTTGAGTAAACTGCGCAGCGCTTGCTCGCAACTTCATCTCCAACACTCTCCAGCTTTGCAACGTTCTGGACGAACGGACCCGATGATCACTTGCACTTTTGGAGCACGGGGATCTTGGCCGGCCCTCCATGAACACAATGCGCAGCCTGGCCTTGCCTTACCACCTTGACATGCACAGCATCTCACTCTTGTGTTAGCCTACCTCCGGCTTGGGTAGACCTTACATAGAATGGTTGACGGAAAGCAGAAAGCCAGGCTTGCCGTGGCATCTGACTGCAGCTTTCTCACTGGTGTACTAGTGGGCATCTGGTTCTAACCCTGGCGCGCCTATTCTCTTGAAATCTCAAGCCATTATACCATTGAAAAGTACGTAGTAGCCAAGGTGCAGTCCAATGCAGACACGTGTGATGTACCTTGATCTTACGTGCCTTGACCTCTCTGCATCTCAATATCTATCATATTGGCATCTGACATCCATACTACATGTGACATTGTACTTGCTGTAGTTACCGCGATTGGCCTTGAGCACCACCGTCGATGCCATATGTATGATTTTGACCAGCATGGACCACGGCTCAATTCGCGGGGCTAGCTAAGTTAGATCACTACTAAACCACATGCAACTCCCACATGCGTCGAGCAGTAACCAGTTGCAGACCACTTACATGGACCATCGACAACACGGAGGACCCAAGAGCGACAAAGGCAAAGGTAACTGGGTAATGTGACTATCTAATACACTTGCACAAGGCGACAACACGCCGCAAAGCAGATTGGAACCCCTCCGACGCCCAAAATCACCCGGACTAGTTCAATTCACCACAATTATTCGTGCCGTTTCCTGTTCATCGCCAACCCAAACCCCTTGGAAAAGAATCCCCATCTTCCGCACGTGCGAACACACCTACACACACAACAGCACATACACGGTTACATTCACGCCACAGTTGGGCCCCTCGTCGCTGTTGTGGCCCAAGGTAGCCTAGTCAGAGCAAGAGACTCAGTCGCCACTCAGGCTTCAAAGCTCTTGATTTGCCCTTCGCTGCTCAGCGGCTGTACCGCGCCGGGCCCGGGTGCCGCCTGGAATGTGAGGCTGGCACCGTCCGTCATGGCATCTTGCGCCATCTTCAGGCCTTGGTCCCCACCCGTCTCAACCGCCGTCTTGAGTGAATCCTGTACCTCTCGGACACGGCGCTTGAACGCAAGCCGGTCCAGAAACAGTTGTTGCCGGCCGCGCTCAAGCTCCCTCCGCTCTGCCTGCAGGATGGCTTCCATCTCGTTGAAATATTTCAATTTCAGCTCCAACTTCTGCAACGTAAGGTTTGCTGCAGCAGAAACCAGTCGCGTCATCTCACGCTCCTCGTGTGATACAAGACCGGCAGCACGGGCACCCATAGTGGCCATGGGGATGGTCGCCAGCGTCGTCGTCGTCGTTGTTGTCGTTGTCGTAGTCGTTACGTCTTGTCGGATGTCAATCTCCATTGAGTCACCATCCTTGTCTTTGCCCTTGCCGTTGGTGACAGCCTGCTCCTCGGAGCTTTCGCCCTCAAGCCGTCTGCGGAGCTTGCGCTTTAGCTCCTCGGCCGACTTGTTGGCCGCCGCCGCCGTGCTTGCAGGGTCCGCGAGGCCCGCTAGGAAACCAACCACTGACATGACAGGGTTGTCCGCTTGGCTGAAAGGCAGATGACCACCCTGCTGTCCGAGCATCGCAAGGCCGGTTGGGGCATTCACGGCGAGGTCCGAGTCCGCGTACTTGCCCTCAATATCCAGCGACAAGAACTGCAAGACACACTCCTCGCGCGTTCGAGTACCCACGTGATCCGCAATTTCATTCCAGTCGTCGTCCATTCTCTCAATACCCTCAAGCAACCGGAGAATTTCGGCATCGCTCCACGGCGCGTCCCGGTCGAGAACGGTTGTGTAAGTAGGGTTCTCCATGCGGGTGAACTGGGCACTGGTCTGGTTGCCAGGAAGATGACCTTCGAGGTAGCAGCTAGGGCAAACATCGTACTTGGTCTTGGAGTTGGGATCGGCCTGCGAGCTGTGGTAATATAATCTGGTGCAGTCGATGCCGCATGTGTAGCAGTTGACCTTGACAATAGGCGTCTTTGTAGCCTCCTCGACACCCGAGATACCGTTAGTAACAGGTGTTTCGCCATTGGTCTTGGGCTCCGTTTTGTTCAGCTTCGTTCCCTTGGCGCTTGCCTCATAAATGTTCCGGCTAACTTCCAAGTTAAGATCGCTCTTGGCAGCAGACGTTGCCGTAGCTTTCTTATCGGTATCGGCACTTGGCTTGCCAGTCGAGACAACGGCATCGGCAGACGGTTGCCAGGGCTGGAGGCCACGGGGCGTGTCGCAAATGATCTTGAAGTGGCCAGTGAAGGGGGGCCAACGTGCGAAGGTCGTTGCTCGGCATCAACCTAAATTTCTGTTAGTTCGTGCTGTAAATTGTGCGCATCTCATGGACATATGTACCTGGTAGTTGATCAATCCCCACTGCTCAAGGAAAGAGTGAACGCGCATGATGGCGCAAACGTCTCCAGCCAGGTTGCGCCGGCAAGCCGTGACAGTGAGATATTCGACAGGGTTCAGTCTGTAGGTGTTGATCATGAAGTCGCGGTAGTCCTTGTAGACGGCAGGTGTCTTGCTGCGGTTGCGACTGTTGAAGAATTCGGACATGGCCTTACGCTCAATGTCGTTAATGGTGTTCATGTCAAACCAGGTGCTATAGCTCGGCAGGACAATAGCATGCGTTTGAGAGATGAGGTGCTCCCGAGCCGCGGATTCGAGGGTCTCCTTGGTCTTGGAATCTTGTCCTTCAGCATCGTTTCCGGTAGCGGCATCGTCGCCATCCTTTGCCGCAACCTGGCCATCTTTCATTTCGTCGCGAGAACCGTCCATTTCTTGGTCCTGCGTAGCCTCAGGCGCGGGCCCATCGGGAGCATCGAGAGGGTTGTCGGACGTAACACCTGGTGCGGGTGTTGCGCTGTCCTGCTTGATGTTGGGTTCGGCAACAGGGCCCTCGGTCATCTGGACATCTACATACAAGATTATTAGATGGCGCCCAATATCGTAACAAGGGTGGTGTCAATCAGGACAACGCTCTCACTTACCTTCAGCTCCATCACCTGCGGCGGGCGCAGCAGGCTGCAGAGGTGGTTGCGAAAGAATTGGGTTGCTTCCAGGAGAAGCGGCATTGGAGATTCCATAGTTCGATTGGTCCTCCATGATGACTTCTGGTAAAGGAAACTCAGGAGCAAGCGAACATCAAGACAGTCGGAAAGTCGCGAAGTAACTCAACAAAGCGACGCGCAGAATGGAATGCAGATTGCACGGATGAATCAGCCTACGGCATGCGACTGTTGAAATTGGTTGATGGATGATGGAGCCCACAGGTGTTGCCCCTCCAAAAGCGCGTGGTTTCGATGAACGTTGACGAGGTCTGGTGATTATGGAGTCGCGTCTGGACCTGGAGAAATTTTGGCGCGAGATGCTTTGGGGTGAACTGCTCCAAGGGGCGGCTCTCTGAGTCTGATGGCCACCGTCCAATACGCACCTCTGGCTCTAAGCTGGCAAGGTGTAAGCGCGACGCTTGGACCATTGAGTCACGTGGAGATTAAGGTCACGTGGACGAGGCACAGCGTCTAGCAAGATTCAGCTCAGTCAGCCAATAACTGTCCTGAGGCCGCAATGAGCATAAAGCCGACTCAAGTTGGCCCACACTAGGCGTACCCCAGGGACGTGCCCATCAGCACCCTGTTGCTGATGACGGCACTTTGGCAACTGAGGAAGGCTTCATGCGAATTCGGCGTAGTAACCTCGGGCCGTGTCCAACCGTCCCTGTACATCTCGCAGTCATACACACCAAGCCCAGAGTCTGCCAGCTCACGCTGAGCCTCGTCAATTGCTCCTCCCCACCGAGTATAATCTATACTGTGCCTTTCTCTTTTGTTTGCACAAGCGACGATGCTCTTTTTTGCCCGAAGAGCAGCTGCCAGCGGGGCTGCGGCGGCGTCAAGGGGACTTTCGGGGTTCCGACCTGGATCTACGAGGAGTCTGCTGTCCACTCTTGCGATTCTGGAGCAGAGGGAAGGCCAGTTGAATCATGGATCTCTGAGCGCCATCACTGCTGCGAAGAAATTGGGCGGCTCTGTCCATGGCTTTGTGGCGGGAAGCAACATCAAGGGTGTTGCCGATGAGGCGGCAAAGGTTGAGGGTGTTGAGAAGATCATTGCGGTTGAGAACGCAGCATACGACAAGGTCGGTATTGCCGCCAGATGAGACAGAGTACTTCGCATACAGGCCACTGACTTGAAACTTCTGTTCAGGGACTGCCCGAAAATTACGCGCCGCTTTTGGTTGAGAACATCAAGAAGGGCGGGTACACTCACATTATCGCCGGACACACTGCCTTTGGCAAGAACTTGATGCCTCGCGTTGCCGCCCTCCTGGATTCGCAGCAGATCTCCGATATCACCTCTATTGAGAACGAGAACACTTTCGTCCGTCCCATCTACGCTGGCAACGCCATCGCAACCGTCGAATCGTCCGATGCGATCAAGATCGTCACGATTCGCGGTACGGCCTTCCCCGCTGCAGAGATCGCCAGCGGTTCAGCCGCGGTCGAGGATGGTGTTGACCCTAAGTCCGAGTCTACGACCGAGTGGGTGTCTGAGGACCTCGCCAAGTCTGACAGACCAGACCTCTCAACTGCTAGCAAGGTTGTATCTGGCGGCAGAGGTCTCAAGTCCAAGGAGGAGTTTGATAAGGTTATGCTCCCCTGGCCGATTCTCTGGGTGCTGCCGTTGGTGCTTCGAGAGCTGCTGTCGATAGCGGATACGCAGACAACAGTCTTCAAGTTGGCCAGACCGGCAAGGTTGTTGCACCTCAGTTGTACTTGGCCGTGGGTATCTCTGGTGCCATCCAGCACTTGGCAGGTATGAAAGATAGCAAAGTCATTGCTGCCATCAACAAGGATGGAGACGCTCCGATTTTTCAAGTCGCGGATGTCGGACTCGTTGGCGATTTGTTTGACAAGGTGCCGGAGTTGACTGAGAAGATTAAGCAGCAATGATTCTGTAATATACAAAGATGGGTATTTCTACAAGTGATCGTTCTTCTTACACTAGTATTGCACGACATGGGGTGGTTTTCTATGATAGTACTTCCAGCATGGCCTTGGTGGACGTAAACTTTTCCCGCTCCTTGCCTGCGGCTCGACCCTTTTCCTTTTCTGCACTATCTATCTTATGCCAGTCGTCCCATCCAATCCTTTTGGATGCAGACTCGCCAATCTCCGTTCGGACACCCTCCCAGCCTGCCGGGGGTTTTGTGTCGGCCTGTGAAAGGAATTGCAATCCGGACAGCCAGTCCTGGACAATAGAGTCACCTGTCTCGAAGGCATCCTGCATCGTTGAGGCAATGACACCAGTTGGGCCTCGCTTCACCCATCCAGCGCAGTACACGCCAGTGGACACTCCTGACTGGGTCGAGTCAGAGGCTTCATCCTGGTCTATCCCGAGAACCCTGCCTCGTCCGTCGTTCACCACAACGCCTCGCCGATCGTCGAACGCTATGCCGGCTTCTTTGAACCCAGGCAAAGGTACGGACTTGTATCCGATAGAACGGAAGACCAAGTCCGAGGATAGTGCCAGTATTTCCCCAGTAAGGCGCGCCTGGGCACCAGGGTCGAACTTGTGGGACAGTTCGGTCCGCTCAAATACGGTGCTCCCAACATCGGAAGGGGCCGTTTCGCTGGCCCGAAATTCAATTGGGCTGAGACAGAAATCAAGTGACCATGACTTATCAACATCCTCTGGACGAGCCGCGGAGCCCTTTACGACCACCTCCATCAAGCGCCTTGCTGCTCTAGGCAGTGACTTGATATCTGGGGGATAAGGGTTTTATCCACAGGATGAAAGGCAACATTTTGGATCTTCATCAGCTCTCTGACCTCCTTGATGGTGAACGCTGCCTGAAAAGGGGGGTTAGCTTGAGTTCCCTGCCAGCATGGAAACTAACTATCATACTCACCTGCATTGGTCCACGTCTTCCGACAATACGGACTCGTTTGACACGAGATGTCGCAAGCTGAGCCAGAGCCTCTTCGGTGATGTCAGTTCGCCGCAGAACGTCGATATCTTCAAGGAGCATCCTAGCGACGTCCAAAGCCACGTTGCCCTGACCTATGATGATAGCTTCCTCGCCCTTCGTGAGATCCGGCACAAGTCCGGCGTATTCCGGAAGTCCGTTGTACCAGCCCACAAACTGGCGGGCTGAGTAGACGCCACGGAGGCCAGACTCTCCAGGAATGCCGAGGGTTCTGTCTTTGGCAGCCCCATACGCCAGTAACACAGCATCGTAGTTGCGTAGTAAGGTGGTGAAAGGAACAGTACAACTATCGTGATAAAGACCAGAGTCGCCAACGGAGACGTTGCCCATGAAGGAAAAGTTAGGCGAGCTAGCAACTTCTTCGAACTTATCTTGACAGTTCTGCCGTGTGTTAGTCAGACGCGCAATGTTTGCAGCTGAAGATGCAAGAGTTCCAACCTTGACCTCGGGGTGGTCCGGAGCGACTCCAAAACGAACGAGGCCGAAAGGAACAGGCAACGACTCGTACATGTCGACCTTGGCCTGTGGAAGCTGTGACATAACGCGGTAAGAGGCGTAGAAGCCGGCAGGTCCGGAGCCGACGACGGCCAGGCGGAATGGGGCGTCAGATCGACGGATTTGTCTCGCAGCAGGAGTGGCTTTACTCATCGGGCGCAAGCTTGGGGCGCCGGTGCCCACCTGTGGCCGGGCATGACTACATAACGGTCCAAACCGGGACCGGGTTCGGGACAGAAGCATGACACTGGTGATGAGTGAAAAAGCGGCGGGATGGGGCGGGGCCCGGTGAGCTTTCAGTCAACCGCCTGGAAAGTACCCTCCAGGAATAGCACCTGGTGATGGCCCTGAATGAATTGAAGAGGAAGATCGTGCTAAAGTCGATGGGGGCTTGGCCGAAATAAGATGCAGAACAGTTACCAAGTAGTGATAAGTGAGTTAAGGCGAGAGCACCGTAATGGAAGCTGTCGGATATAACTCCGGAATTCGGACAAGTGACGGGCGGCAGGCACCGTTGGGAGCGTGATCGGCGGTAAAAGGCTGGCAGATGTCTCCGGATCATCAATGTCGATGCACGAGCAGAACAGACACAACTCTTGGCATACTGGGCTGGGATGAAAGTCAGTCGAAGCCAAGAAACTACACGATGGCTATTTACACCAATAAACCAATTCGTTTGTCGTATCTTGCAATTGTTGCGATCAAACCAGCTTGTGCAAACAATATTGATTCCTACCGAAGTCTGACGGGAGGATCTGGTCCAAGCGCAAGACACCTTACCAATCCCGAACTAGCGCCTCGGGAAGCCAGTGGATACTACTACCCACACTACCTCATACACCTGCACTGCGGTTCCTGGGCCAGTAGGAGAAGGACAACTTTCAGTGCTGCAACCAAGTGAAATCTCCTGAAGTTGCGGGCATATAGGCACCCCGTTGCCGTAGCAACCTCTCATGCACCGCAACCTAGCGCATCCAAACCCAGCTTGGTGATGATGCGTTGGACAACCCACCGCAGGTACCTACTTTCAAGGCAACTGGCCTGGCCGGGGTTGATTTGACTTGATTTGGTTTCACCGTGCCTGGTTTTAGTCTTGGTCTGTCTTACTGTGCTCTTAAACTATCTTATCCCGTCGCTCCCACCACGACCGCCTGGCTGGGCATTCCCCTCCTTCATCCACATTACAAGGTATAGGCTGACAGAGAGACCCTCCCAAGCGACCATCCTCTCAGTCACAGTCTCAACCACTTCGAGTTCTTTCGTTGTCTGTTGGGTTGGCGGCATTCCAGCCAGTTTACTTCGAACAGAGCCTCCCCGCGCATTCCTGATACCCTACACTCCTCAACCAGGAAGACGACAAGAGAGCTTGACTACGACGCGTGTCGCGACAATGGTTCACCAACCTTACCTCTACAATGCCGTTAGCCACGACCGCGATGCCCGCTTCCCCGAGCCCAAGTTCGACCCCAAGGCTGTGACTCGAGCGAGTTGGGAACCGAAGCCGCGTAAACCGAAACCCGAAGGCCCTTTGGTCTCCTTCAACCGCCATCCCGAGTGAGTTAATTCTCTAATGAGGTCCATGTTACGTCGACAACGTCTGCTGAAGCCTTTGCAGAGTGTATTGACTGACTACGACATCTTTTTAGCGCACACTTGGTACTTTCTCACCGATCCAATAACTACGTCTCTCTCAGCCCAAGGATGAAGAGTTGGATCAGGTCCATTCGTTTCGTTCAGCTGGGCCTGAGGGCCCTCGAGCTCATCGGAGCCGCTGGGCTCTTTGCTCTGCTTATTTTGCTGACCAACATCGAAACTCTCGCTGGCTGGGTCATGCGTATTACGGTTTGTTCCTCATATCCGCCAGACCTTGAGGTTCCCGAGGCTAACAAAGTCAAAGCCGGGTGTTAGCATAGTCCACTGTTTATACGCTATCTACCACCTACAGAGACCTGCTGGCGGTCGTAGTCCAGCCTCCTCCACCGCTTATCAGCTGTTCGCCAGCATCTCAGATCTGGGCGTCATGCCCTTGTACGCATACGGTGCTCTGAATGCTCACAGCAGCGGCGATGTGTGGAAGATGAGGCTGGCTGACCAGAGCCTGCTGGAATATTTCGTCCCTGCCGTCTTTTATACCTTTATTGGCGCTGGGGGCTTGCACCTGATTTCCTTGTGTATCTCCGTCTGGCTTGGCTTCATGTTCCGTAAAATCACGCAGATGCCTCCGGACATGAATCCCCTAGAAGATCATCTCACCACCCGGGCCAAGCACAAGAAAAACAAATCCAGCGTTGCGACGTCTGTGAGCGGCGATAGCGAGAAGCGAATGTCGACGCCTCTCGAGGACCGACGTCGATCCGGCGCCCCATACGAGGATGTGTCTCGACCCCCGAGCATCCCCTTCCAGCGGACGCGAGCCGGCTCGGATGTTTCCAACTTCACCCGCGACTCCCGCACTGACTTGCCCTACCGCCAATACCAGATCTCCCCAGGAAACTCCCCACGCAACTCGGCAGCCGTCAGCGAATACGCAAGCATGTCCGCGCCTCGGTTCTCGCATCGTGGTTCCTATGCCGAAGTCCCGCTCCACGAAACGAATGCCCAGCCATCCAGACTGTCCACTCCCTCCGCCGCAGTACCGCAGTCTCCGGGTGATCCTCGCAACACTGGCAAATTTACAGAGACCTGGTTCGCAACGGACTCGCTGATCTCACGCACGCAGAAGCGGAATCGCGCCATGGATGCTGCGGCGATCGCAGAGCAGAAGAGAAGAAGCAACAAAGCCTATGAGGCGCTTGGCCAGCGTTACAATGCAGACGATTCCGACTCGGAGCGCGATGAGAATGACCTCGCTGGCAGCGACTTCGAGAATGACGTCGGCAACAGCCCTCACCCAAACCCACTGGCATCCAACCCCCACGCCACTCCCCGAGAGCCAAGACGCCGTATTACTCTCTGGAAGACACGGCATTGTCGGAGGTGGACCTCAACTCACGAAGGGTCAGCGGCACAAACGACATCGCCGACGAGAGGCCTTCCTCGCTCGCTCCGAAGGCCTGGCCGCGCAACCGCGACAGCTCCATCCAGCCCGAGTCCGATTTTTACTCGAAGCCCTATGGCGAGCTGAAGCCCGCGACGCCGCCCGTCATGATCGAAAGCAACCGTCAGGTGTCGTCCGGTAACGACTACGAGAAGAAACAGTACTCGTCGGCCTACGGACGACGCAACGTGAGCGGCAAGGTCGCCGAAGAAGGCTTTGCCGGGTCTAAAGGCGGTTACTCGCGCTACAGCGCGATACGGGGATGATTGGATGAAAAGAGACCTCGGCAAGGAAGGAAAGCGAATGGTTCAGATCATGGGGATTTCTGTTTTGGAGTTGGCGTGGGATTAAGGTCACGGTTTACGACGTCAAGCCAAGTTTGAGTGTGTATGGCAAGATGGCTTCGTCAGGGGAACGGAGAGAGAATAAATATGATTGATACCTTGTGCAGGCCACTGCATTGCAATCCATGTGACGTTTTGTAGATTAGATCAGTGAAATCCAGAGAATTTGAGCTGAAACTTATTGGAGCAACCTCTTGGCCATCCTTCGACGCCAAGCTATTTTATACATACTTTTCAACGAACACCGATATGGTTAATGCTCCTGCACAATATATGCTCTTTTCCCTGCTCATATTGATGACCATGAATGATACCTTGCCTGGCCAAATTGGTTGCGAGCATCGGGCCCTTGATTTAACATCGCAGAACGACAATTTTAATCAACTCTGAGCGTACTTGGCCCAGTTGACCCGAGGCTCGGCCTCTTTCCACCCCATGTCGTCCCAGGGGCCAAGCCCACTCAGGTGCCTCATTGTTGGTCGCCCATGCGGACAGTTCCAAGGCTTGTCCAGCTCGCCCATGTGGCGGACCAGTTTCTCCATTTGCCGCTGTGCTAGAGCTTTGCCGATCATGACGCTGCTGCGGCACGCTCTCATGGCAAACATGGAGCGCACCTTGGATGGTCGCGGGGCGGACGAACTAGTCTCCGTCAGGTGATGGTCGCCGAGCAAGGAGATGAGCTCTTCAAGGTCGGACAGTGTGAAGGTCGTCTCGCGGCTCAGGGGTAGGGCGAGAAGCTTGCATCTAGATCCCACGGGCTGGTCGCCTGAGCTGTCTACACCAACCTTGAAACCGTTGACGTCCAAGGCAGGAATGTTCTCCATCACGATCTCTTCCTCCAAGGCCGTGAGCTCTAGCTGCTTAGGGTGTACCAGTCGTTGTGACTGGACGACCGTTGTCGACTGCAGCCTTTCAAAGTTGTATTTTTCGTCCGACGCGTGTTGGTCAATGATGAAAAGCTCATCGTCCCCCGAGGGATCCCCATCTCCATCTCTCGGCGCGTGACGAACAGCAATGATGAACCCTAGGTTAAACTGACCGACAATGGTCATTTTGGCGAAGTCTGATTTCGATATGATCAGGGACAAAACTTCTTCAGCATCTTCTGCATCGATACCGGAGGTCATGATAGACCGGCTTCGCTGCGGAATGACGCGTTCTATTTCTGCTCTCCACGCCTGGATGCGATACTGCAGATCGGCTGCATCGATCTTTAAATTTTGACTGTGCTGTAGAGTAGCATCCTTGCGTTTGATGCCCCCTTTAGGATATGTGACCTGTGGTCTGTGGACCTGGTTTGCCTGGACAAATCTTGCTTTGCCCCATCGTCTGCTGTCAACAACTGCGCCAATTCATTGTTGCGACCCGGCGATTCCCTAGTTGGTTCGGCTGTTGGACTTGGACGCTCATCAGAGGTGCCAGAAGAAGCGTCTGAACCTTCTAGAACAGTATTATCCTTCATTTGCTCGTCCTGGGGCAAGTCATCCAGTTGACTGCCTTTGTTGGTCTCTTCATCGTCCGAGCCCGTATCCGCACTAGGACTGGTCTTGCTTGACAATTCGGCGCTTCCTCGACTTCTCCCTTCCTGCCTCGTCGACTGAGCTGCTGAAAACATCTGGGTGAGGCGCGAGCCAAAGGAGGCATTCGCTGCCGCGGAAATCGTCAACGGTTTGAATGCGGTTGTCTTTGACGGCAGCCCCGGCAAAGAAGGCATCTCCGACCCAACCTTTGCTTTCTTAGGCATTGTCCCTATAGAGCCTGTGGCCGTGCTGTCGCCAATAGTAACAGTCGCAACATCCGGGGCCGACCGCTTAGGTAGCCGGGGAGCCGATGAAGACGCAAGAGGCCCATCTCGTGGCGTTCGAACCGGTGTTATGGCCGGAATTTGGGCCTGTTCATTACGTTTGCTGCGAACCCCTGGCTGCGAGTCGTTGCCGGGAGACGTCTCCGAGTCATCCTTGTTGTCTTCGGCAAGTCGAGCGTTAAAGTCAAGGACTCGTTGAGGTGTTTCAATAGAATTGACAGATCGAGCTTCAGGCTGGATTGCCTGAGAACCGGCCATTTCTCCAGCTGCCTCGTCTTCCAGCTCAGAGGCATCGGACGTGGCAAGAGCCGCCGGAACCCTCATGCTCCTGCCATTTGCAGGATAGCCCCTAGACCGAGATCGTGTCTCCCGTTCCTCGTGTCGTGTGTTTGTATCGTCTGTGGTTCGTCCAACCCACCGGCTGATCAAGCTCTGTGATTGGATATCTGCAGAGGTGAGCTTCCTGGGCTTTGAGGTACGAGCCCTCTGTGTTGGCTTGGTGTGAGAGTGAGGTTGATTATCACTGTCGTCGTCGTCGTCCCCGGAGCTCGACCCAGCACCAGGTGTCGGGCTTGCTGCCTGTTTGGGGCTTTCGTTCTCGTTGTCGAAGCCGTCGTTGTGAGCAACGGCCGCTTTCTCACCCGGCTTCATCTTCTGCGTCAACTGCTGAGCGGCCGGGATAGAGTAGTCTTGAGACTGGAAAAGAGATGCCAATGCCTCCTTCAAAGACTCCAACATGCGGTTCTGGTCATGCAACATGATGGTGCGCTTATCTGGGCTGACATTGACATCGTATAAATGGGTATCAAGCTGGATGTCTGCGAAGATGAAAGGGGACTGCGACGCATTGTAGGCTCTGTACACTTCATTGAAGACCTTGGCAAACTGGGGCAGCCCGCATGGTCTGCCATTGACAAAAAACATTTGTCGATCAGGAGTCTGACGACCTTCTCCATGGGCCGGCCGACTCACGTAACCCTGGACGCGAACCTCTGTAGAGATCTGCTTGTCCTTAACAGCAGACTTCAAGCCAGGCCCAGTAGTAGGCTCGAACTCGAGGGCCAGGTCGAGCTTGACCAAGACTGTCATTGTCTTGGCGCCGAAAATGTTTACAATGTTCTCGCGCGTGGTGGGATTGCCTTTTGTGGAGAAGAGAACGATACGCTTCCCCTTGGTGGGCTGTTGCGATACGGAGAACTTGACACCTGTCTGAATACAAGCATATTGGTTCAGGAGTGCGATGACCTTGTTCCATTCCCGCTTGATGTTGCGCTGCAGCTCGCGGCGGCGCACGGGAAGGTTATGGAATAGATTCTCGACAATGACATTGGTGCCTTTCTGGGCGGCAATAACGTGCGTATCTTTAAGCTTCCCCGAGGATTCGAAGTCGAGCTTGGTGCCTTTGGGAACATCCTTGACCATGCATGTGACAATGCTGAACTGTGAGAGAGCACACAGGGACGACAGGGCTTCGCCACGAAAGCCAAATGTTTGGAGAGTAGCGAGGTCGGAGTATGTTGAGAGCTTGGAGGTGTAGTGCTTGAGAGCTATAGTCTCGTAGTTGTCAGGAGAGATGCCCGAGCCATTGTCCTGAACTTCAATGGAATCCAGCCCCTGGTTCTTGAAGCGCACATCTGTGGGAAAACAAGACAGACGTCAGCTTCGGAATGGAAGGCAGTGCGGGAAGGTATCCAAGGGTCATACCTATGCTCGAAGCGCCGGCGTCAATACTGTTCTCGACTAGTTCCTTGACGACGGAGCAGAGGTCGACGATGACTTGACCGGATTGGATCTGGTGGACCTTGAGGGTGGAAGACGGGTCAGTACGGTCGAGAATGGTTTTCCGTAAAGGAAGAGATGCTGGGGAGGATGCTCACTGTGCGGCCCTCTATGGGCTTGATTGTGGCCATTTCCACGAATCTTGAACTTGGCATTCAGTGCATCACTTTTCTTATACCCACGCCGCTTTCATAGGCAATACCGTTTAGTACTCACTCACCCAAGGACCCCTCTTACATAATCTTCGCATTCGTAGAATAGGCACTTCAGGTAAGATCAGGTACGTCGAAACGGAGCAGAGATGTGTGCCGATAACGACTCCTGTATGGTGACCCGCGTCAGACGCGCGGTAAGTACCTGGCAAAGACGTGCCGTACACGCGTAAAGTAACGACCCGCTAGTGCATGGTCTTGTGCGCAGCGGACGCACGGTGTCAGCGGATGATGCAACCCGAAGTATGGCCGGCCATACCCATCCATCCAGACGCGATTAAGTAAGCCAATACACTTGCAGCGCAGTGCTCGATTTCTTGTGTCCATGTTGTCCGCTGTGATTACAGCACAGCCAAGCCGTCGCCTACAGCGTCTCCACGCTCGTCTCGGACGCAAAAAATGCTTGATTGTCGGGAGTTGCTCGAGGGGGTGGGCACCAGTGCAAGGAGCCTTCACTCGGCCAATCTGTCCCTAGAGACTTGACTGCAAGCGTTAGGTAAGCAATGACTGGCAAAGGAGCATCAAGAAGAGATTTGAGTACATAGTGTACTATGGTCAGCGGTCTGCAGGACACTAGACAGGCACTACGGCCCTTCCTTATTGATGCCACGATGGGCCCATCTCATCTCGCAGGTTGAATGCAAATATGAAGCTCGCCTGGTCCAATTGATTTCCTTCTCTTCAGAGGAGACGACATGAGGATGTGCGACTCGGTGAGTAGCCGGATCCAGCTTCATGCGACGTACGGAGCAAGGACGAGCGGCCGTTATTCGCTCCCGTAAAAAAAGCATCCTTGTTTGAGCAAATGTGCGTAATGCAGGTAACGCGTACTGGTAATGCTGAAATAGATGGTCACATAGCTCGAACGTACTCGTGCAGCAGCCAGGTCGATTTGGTTTCCCATAGGTTTCCCGTCAAACTCACCATGGCCGGGACAAATAAGCGATGGAATATCAACGCCCGCCGCGGTGGGCAAGGTCGAACATGTGGTTGCGTTTCTGCCGCATAGCAGAGGAGCATATCTCCTGTCACACATTTACGGATGCACGTCTCCATAGAAAGTCACACCTGTTCAAGCAGGGTGTAGGTAGCAAAAACACCATGAAAAGTGTTCCTCCCATACCAGAGCTGTACGGAGCCCAGTCCGCAAGACATTGCCATACCATGCCGCGTGGCTGGCATCACATACACTGGTGAACTGAAGCGCCGTAGGGAGTAGCAGCTGCCTATTGGGCGATCTTGTTGCATTGCGGCCGATACACCTCACTCCTTGCTTGGAGGCGTCGATAAGTAGGTGGTGGCTGTTGGCCTGTTAGTTGTCGGCAGCGGCGGCGGCGGCGGCCAAGAAACGTAGCGACGCCATGTGAAGCCAGGAGCTCGTCATTAACCCACGGCCAAATGCCATGTGCCATATGCACTTATACTTCCATTGCTGCTCCTTTACGCTGGGTCGGTAAGCTCGACGACGACTCAATACTCGACAGTTCGATGTCCCGCTTCTCACCATGAGGGTGTTTTCTTTCACATTAACCAATCGACTTTTGAGGGTCCAGACGGAGCAACCAGGGGGCCATCAGAGGACAAGTGCATGCACAGGGACAAAAAGTGACAGGGACGGTATCCCACTTGTGTCTGTCAATCGCGTCTGAGTGCCATGCCGTGCCAGACCAGGCCATGCCAGGCATGAGCATGGACATGGACATTGGCGTGGACATGGACATTAGCATCGGCATGGGTGTGGATATGTGATGGCAGGGTTTCTTGGCGAAGGCCCACTCTGCAGAAAGCCCATGGCTGCCGGCGCTACGCAGTACACACACTACAATCACGGCGACTGCACTGACTGCCGACAGCGGCCGATGGGGGTCGTGGCGGGTTACTTCGTCCTATGTAGTGATGTTGTGGTTGGTCGGCCTTTGTTCTTCGAGTGTCGACTCGCAGTTTCGCGAAGATGAAAACGCCCGAAAGTTCCGGTCTAGCGGATACCCTCTTGTGGTCTCGGGGCTGTCCAACCTTGCGATGGAAACACAAAAAGTTGAGAAGAGCAACTACTGCATAGTTTGTGTCTCTAGCCATGCTGCGGAACAAGTATAATAGCTTGGTGTACGATGACGACCACAAGACAGCTATCGGCGGCAAACACAGGTACTTAGGTCAGTAACAGTGCTGGACGGGTTCGGAGTTGTGTACACGGCGCGGTAAGGGTTGCATCGTAGCTGCAGAAGACTTGCGCTAGTGATTTATATCAGATTGCTGGGATGCATGTTGCTGAAGAGGTTGGATATCGATCTTGTACCTGGTTTGGCTTTGGGACAGAGGGCATTCACAGACCGTGGCAAGTCGAATCGTGACGGCAGTATCGGAATATCTTTTTTGGATAGACCGGCCGAATTTGCGCTGGAATGCGGCCCAACGACGAGAACGAGGGTTAAGCTCAGAGTTGGAGATGTGAGAATGGGTTTGGGATGCAAGGGTGGGTGGGTGGATGAGTGATGAGGAGAAACAAAACAAAACAGCTGCCACTCATATGTACGAGCAAACGAGAGAGAAAGAGGGCAATGTGAAGCGACCGACACGGACACAGCGTTTGCTGGAGAAACGAGAGGAAAACGTTTCACGTCACATTGAGGGAACCATAGGCAATTGCGAGAGCCAGGGATGCCAGGCTAGCTCAGGGGATACTAATCCTATGTAGTGTAAGAAGAGTGAAAAACAAGGCAACCGGTTGGGACTGAACGGGACTGTAGGTACCATCATACACTAGTGTACGCAAGCAAGAAGACACGGCGGGGCAAAGTTATGAAAGGGGGATCAACCATGGGAGGGTAAGGTGAGCGGTATTTCGGACGTCTGCAGAGTGTGGTGTACACATGTTGACGCTGCTGAAGTCCCCCCATCCATGAGTCGAGTCGGGTGCTTCGGGACAAGTTGTGACAGAAAGCCTTTGCCGCCAGAGCCATTTTCACGCAGAAACCGGCTCCTACCACCCCCTTTTACTTTATCATCTTTTAGTTCTAGTTTTTGTGAATCCTGCGTTTCCCTCTCATTGTCGAGCACGGGCTGTGCAGAAAAGCTCGTACCAGAAAGAGGAAGGGGTCTGCTTCCATCAAGGGAAAACCCCCCCGCCCCAAATTGATTGCGAATGGATTACCCAATCCTACGTCTCTGCGCGCATTGCGCGCGCGAGAGGAAGGCGACGACTGGCAGGGTCGACAGGTAGAGTGCAGTACAGTAGGTACGCTCCCCCAAACGTCGGTGCCTCCACATGCTCTATGTTGGTAACAAGTGCAACGCCATGTCGCAAAGGAGGACACCGAGGGATGGCTACACAGGCGGGACAGGTAAGTTCCATACCTAATACACTTTGGGGCTCTGCAGTTTTCGGGTACTTGCCATGCGACTCGACGCGCCCAACCCGTGGATACGTGCCGTGTACCTGGTTCCTCAGCGGAAAGTGGGCTTGCATCAAGGTAGTTCAGAAGTGTCTCACCGTCAAGGCTGTGAATGTTGGAATAACTGCAGCATTTGCTTTAGTGTCCTCTGCGTGTGTCGAACCATGGTTTCCTTATCTGTCTGGGTCAAGTACCCCCTCAAGTACCTTGGAGTACTTTACAGATGCCTAGTCTCGGCAGCATCGAAAGACCACCTCAGAAAGCGAACCTCACTTGCACTTGACACGCCTATTTCCCACCAGGAAGGACGGACACCTCATCTGTGCGGGCCCATCTTACATTGGGAGCAGCACTAACAACAGTAGCCGGGTACCGTGTAAATACCTGAGCGCCAGTGACAGCAGCGATAGATAGCCTACCTAGCTGCGACAGCAGCAGCAGCAGCAGCAGCACCACCACCACCACCAGCGCCTCGCCCAAAGAAAGCACGTTCTTTTTCCTTCCTTCTTTCGTCCCTTCCTCCCGCTACCGTCTGTCCCTTCTTTGTTGTCGTCGTCGCCGTCGTCCTTCGTCTCGCTCCTTAGGTTCTCTCTACCGGTTCCCTCCTCTCCTTGTAGCCAAGAGGTAAACAATCTCCTCCCTCGAGGCTCGATTCAACCAACTAACGCTTCCCTACCGTGGAAGACTCGAGCGAGCCCTCTCCACCCATGAAGAGGCGCTCGTCGGGTTCGACCGACGACAGCGACGAACCTCCCCCCGACCCTCCTGCTGCTGCTATCCAACTTCAACATCAACACCAATACAGACAGCTTGCCCAAGGGCGCAATTCTGCACCACCACCTCACGCTCCTAAGCAGTCCGCTATCGCTGCCGCCGCCGCTCCCGCAGTTGCCGGCGCCTCGAGACCGTCGTCCGCAAGGAGTAGACGCTCAAACAACCCCAATTGGAAGCTCGAACATGGCCTGGATGCGAATGGATCGCCCGAGAACCATTCCTTAATTGCGTCTTCATTGCCGCCGCCGCCGCCCCTCTCGTCTCCGCCCCTGAACGCGCTATCGCCAGCATATCGAGACAACCAACGACAACTCCCGAACCGCAACCACTCCCAAGCTCCCGGTGCCGAACGCCAGCTCCACCAGGACGTCGCCAGCCTGCAAGACGACCAAGGCGGTCGCGACGACACCCCTCCAGACGATCAGATGGCAATGAATACCGAGAAGATGCCCGACGTGCGCTTCGTAGGCCGCCGCTCCCGATCTCGCGGCCCCTGGTCCATCACCATTTTCGCTCTGGCTGTTACTGTTTTTGGCATTACTCTGCTCTGCGCCATCTTGAATTCGTCATGGACTCGCCAGCTCGACGCGAAGGGATGCCGCATGTCATACATGCGGCCCTCTTACATTCGCCTGCGTGACTTCGACACCGAACACACCCGCTTTGCGACAAAGTACTCGCTGTACCTGTACCGTGAGCAGGGCGTCGACGACGAAAGAAAGGTGCCCCCCTCCCCAAACTCTCAATCCCCCGTCAGATGGACTGTACTGACCATTTGCAGTTGCGAGGTGTCCCTGTCCTCTTCATCCCAGGTAACGCTGGAAGCTACAAACAAGTTCGACCGATAGCCGCCGAAGCTGCAAATTACTACCACGAGTCTCTCCAACACGATGAAGCTGCTGCCGCCGCCGGCGCTCGAAGCCTTGACTTTTTCACCGTTGACTTCAACGAAGACATAACAGCCTTTCACGGGCAGACTATGTTGGATCAGGCAGAGTACTTGAACGAGGCCATCAGGTACATTCTGTCTCTGTACATGGACCCGCGCATGTCTGCGCGTGATCAAGACTTGCCGGATCCCACGTCTGTTCTCGTTCTCGGTCACTCAATGGGTGGTATAGTTGCGCGCACCATGCTCATCATGCCAAACTACCAGTCCAACTCGATCAACACCATCATTACCATGTCTGCTCCCCACTCGCGTCCTCCTGTGAGCTTTGACGGGCAGATTGTCAAGATATATGACGATATCAACGACTACTGGCGCCATGCCTACTCTCAGAAGTGGGCTAACAACAACCCACTGTGGCACGTTACTCTTGTTTCGATTGCTGGGGGTGGCTTAGACACCGTGGTCCCATCCGACTATGCTAGTGTCGAGTCGATAATTCCTGAGACGCACGGTTTCACCGTCTTCACCACCGGCATTCCTGGTGTCTGGACCAGTATGGATCACCAGGCTATTCTGTGGTGTGATCAGTTCCGCAAAGTCGTTGCTCGGGCCATGTACGACGTCGTTGATGTCCACAGATCTTCGCAAACGAAACCGAGGGCAGAGAGGATGAGAGTCTTTAAGAAATGGTTTCTTACCGGCATGGAATCCATCGCGGAGAAAACTCTACCTTCCGAAGGGCCAAGCACGCTGCTCACTCTCGAGGACAACTCCAACGCGATTATGGCGCAAGGCGAGCGCCTAGTTCTGCGGCAGCTTGGACGCGACCCGAAACCGCGGGCACATTTACTTCCAGTGCCTCCTCAGGGGTCCCCAGAAGGCAAGCGTTTTACTCTTCTGACTGACACCACGTTGGATGGGCCGGGAGAACATGGGAAACTGGAGATCTTGTTCTGCAGCGTTTTCCCGCTGCAGCCTGGCCAAGCGACAACCTTGTTTTCCATGAACATGGATCTCTCAGGAGACAGCACCGGGTCGACCAGGTTGGCATGCAAGAACGCTGCGCCCGACGCTATCTTGCTCCCTGCTTCGACACGATCGCGTCATGAACCGTTTTCCCTGGACAACGAGCCGGTAGCGAAGCCCTTCTCATATCTTCAGTTCGACATTGAAGACATCGCCGATCACCAATTTGTGGCCATTGTGGATAAAGCTGTCAAACCGACTCAAAGCTTTGTTGTAGCCGAGTTCAGCGACAACTCGCAGTCCCACAGGCGGCGCAATATCAGTCTACGCAGACTTTTCGCTTTTGGTATGACATTGCGACTTCCATCGAACCGTCCCATGGTTGCGGAAATCAACATCCCCACGCTCCAATCCAGCCTTCTGGCTTACAATCTGGAAATTGGCAACCAAGCGTGCGGCACCACTTCAGAGCTCTTCTCTCCCCTGATTCGACAGTACCTGGCTCAGCCGTACGAGTCCAAGTTCTTCGTAAACGCGAGGCATGCAAGCATCAGTATGCACGGAGTAGCCCCCTTTGTTCCGCCCCCCTTGAGGCATAAGGAGCATGATGAGCAGGGTCTGAGCCTTCAATTCTGGACTGACCCGACATGCGAATCTACTATCCAAGTCAAGCTGACGATCGACGCATTGGGCAGTTTGGGCAAGCTATACATGCGCTATCGAACGGTATTCGCAGCTTTCCCACTGCTCGTGGTGACCCTCGTGCTTCGCAAGCAGTTCCGGGTATACGACACCACTGGCACATTCATCTCTTTTTCCGAGAGTCTCGACCTCTGTTTGCGGCAGTCGCTACCCCTTATGCTTCTCTCTCTGACGTTCCTCTCCCTGTCAATGACAGGATCCTGGTCGTCGGGGCCGGGTGTACTCTGGCACTGGCGGAATACAACGTCAACTGCGACCGACTTTCACAGCAACGACCTTCTGACGGGTACTCAGGATCCTTTCTTCTGGTTCTTAATCCCCCTAATCGGAGTTGTCTGTATCGGCGTGTGCGCTGTTCTTCACTATATTACCCTGGCCTTGACTCAGCTCCTTGGATTCGTCTACGCGTCGGTGGCTCTTCGACCCTTCGGCCAGGCGCGAGATGAGCGCCGACGAGCGCAGCTACCACTTTTCGCCGCTTCGTCGCCCCGACGGCGCATGGTCACCACGGCTGTCCTTTTGTTTCTAGTGTCTACCTTCATACCCTACCAATTCGCTTACTTGGTAGCATGCCTCGTCCAGCTGTTCACCGTTGTCCGAGCTCTCCGAATTGCTTCGGAGCTCAAGTCTGGGCCGAACTTCGACTTCTACCACTACGCCCACTCAATACTGCTGCTCATGCTTTGGGTCCTTCCTATCAACCTGCCGATATTGGCCGTGTGGATTCGCAACCTCTCAGTTCATTGGCTTACACCATTCTCCTCGCATCACAATGTACTCTCCATCATGCCCTTCATACTTCTTGTGGAGAACTTGACGACGGGCAAGATGGTGCCTAGAGTCACCGGCAGAATGAGGCATCTTACAAGTGTGCTTCTGTTTGGCACAGCCATTTATGCTGCCATTTACGGCGTTTCATACGCCTACATGCTACACTACCTTGTCAACTTGATAGCTGCATGGTTAGTGGTGATCCACTCAACAAATGATAACTGGCCCCTCGCCGGCTTCAGTTCAATCTTCGAGAACAGTCACCTCGAAGGCCGCAAGCGTGGTAAGACACCATGACGGCAGAGCTGACAATTGGTCAATTGTCCAGATTGCCATGTCATTGGCAATGGCTGCTCGGTCAGAAAAAAACTTTCATAGCTTCTTGGAATCCGACTTTTAACTCGACCAGTCCACGATGTATATACGACGAATGCGATCAGCTCGTTGCGCCCTCACTTACAATATGAGGGGGTCGCAACGGTGAAGATGCAGGAGCCTTCATTTCTTTGATATAGACAGTCTCAGCCATCTGTAATCGACGTCAAATTGGTATTGACTCGACGTCAGGACGGATATACCAGGCCTTTGACCACGACACATTGGCGTTGGCACAATGTTTTTGGGTTCTCGTCATTTTCGTTCATCTGCATCTTGCATTGGCTGGGGAGTTTGCACGGTTTGCACGTTTTGGCTAGAGGCGTCGAAACGAATATGTTTTCCTATGGACTAGGCCATAGAGCTTCGGTCGTGTCCTGGGTTCTCTTTCCTATTCTCCTATTCCCCTTGGACCAGGGAATTGCACCGTTGCACAAAAGCATTCGCCCGAAGTGGCGTTTCCATGTGGCAGGCTATATGCTAGAAAGGGGAGACTTCTTTTCTCCCAAGGTTCTGTTTAATGACATGACGGGTTTTCATTTTAGGTGTTGGATCCCGTCCCTGGTTTTTAATCTAGTAGCAACCCAGAGGAAGCTTTACATTCTCTACACGCGCCGGCCAAGAGCGCACGCCAGGAGAGAAGAACGGGGCGAGGAGGAAGAGGAAGTGATGATATGCGTAAGGAGACGCGCAGAGTTGCCAAATGGCGGCGACTGCCCACAGATACTCGATGAAATGCTAGATCGGTTCTGCTACTATTGCTGAATCCCCGCAAACTCGCCTGTGACTTGGCATGTGCTTCAGATGCGGTTATGTACGTTGTATGTGACCGGTGCTTGTCCAACCCATCATCTACATCAACAACAACAACAACAACAACAACAACAACAACAACAACAACAACAACAGCAACAACAATAGTACACTGGAAGTTGAACAATGGAGGCACCGGGAGCTTGCGGTGGCCCTCGTAGAAAACAACCGGAATCAACTCCTATGAACCTGTCTAGTAAATGGTGCGCTAGTGAAGCAACCCAGAACGCCGATACTCTATCCTTTGTCTATGGTCGTCGCGTCGGAAGGTCTGCTAGAATGTCGACCCACGCTCCGATACCGCCCATCCTTAATTCGCTTTGCCCGGAGCAAGAGAGCTCTTGGGGGCTCACTGAAAGTCGGGGCCATATCTCTCATGATCAGCCGTGTTCTCCGCTTTTTTATATATAACCATGTCTCCGATATCTGCCACAGATGGCTTCTTCTTCAGTCATCCTGCTCGGCCTTGCTCTTCTCTTCCTTGGCCCATTTTACTCGCTGGTGGTGGATAACCCATAGCGTAAGGACCAGGCCAATGGAGCATGCTCCAAGCGTCATGAGGTACGCTGCGCGGTAGCATTCGAGCCCATCGTGGCAAACACGCTCGCCATCCGGTCCCAGGATGCTATGCTTGTCGTAGATCTTTCCATAGAAAATATTGAACACGTTACCAGAGACAACGGGCGACAGCGTCATCAGACCCCAGTTTTGGCTGAGCCCGTGGATTCCAAACGTTTCAGCAACGATGGAGGGAAACACCCCAAAAAGGAAGCCATACGCGATGCCAGACAGACCAGAGACCAACCCAAGCCAGTGAGGGTTAGTGACGTGCAGAGCCAGAATTTGCGCTACAAAGAAGACGACACTGGATGCTACGAGGCACCAGACTCGACTGCCGTGGAGTACCTTGACAATGAAGTCGGAACCAACACCTGAGTCAATCAAGTCAGCTAGTGTGTAGGTGGAGTTAGGATCTTCGACAGTGATCGTACCGCTAAGAAGCCTACCCGCAAAGCTGCAAACTGATAAGATAGACACGTGCATCTGCTGCCTCGTGATGAGATACGCTTCGTCCACGGACTCATCCCAATGGCGCCAAAGGGCTTTTACGTCATTTCCAATGTTGCTAGAGGCATCTTAGCTTCGGACTGCAGACAGTCTCGCGAGACCTCGCGACTTACTTGATGGTCATCAGGCCAATACCCGTCAGGATTCCCATGATGATAAACAACTGCCAAAAATCGACCTCACGCAAAAGTGCCCAACCACGAATATCTACTCGATGAGAACGATCCAGATCAACACTACTCTGCACAAAAACATCACCGGGCATAGAGGAGGAGCTTGACACCAGCGAGGACGTCTCGTCGGGCTCATAATCATCGGCATCGATGGTTTCGATTTGCGCCTCATCAGCCTCGCGAGACGGCGCGGACGGTTCCTGTTCTGGCTGAACAGGCTCGTAGTCGGTAGTGGTAGTGGTGGTATTGGCATCTTTAAGCGACGTACCAGGTTCAATCAGGGCGGCGCCGTGTGCATGACCAGGGCGGTTGGGCTTGACCTCTTGCGAGGACGTACGACGGAGATGCTGCGAGCCAGATAGGACATCGCTGGCGGGCACGCTGTGGTAGTTGGCATGGGGCCAGACGCGCAGGAAAAAGAAGCCGAGGAAGGTCAGCCCACAGGTTCCAAAGGAGAGCAGAGCCAAAAAGGCACTGGTGTTTCCCGGGAAAAAGATGGTTCCAAATGTCGAGAAGAAGAAGGCGCTCAGACCAAAAGCAGCCAGAGGAAACGCCGTTGCGGTGCCCCGATGATGCGGCCAGTTCAGAGCAGATGTCTTGACAGCCGCAGCAAAGGCCAGGCAGCCACCGAGACCAGTCAAGTAGGAAAAGAAGCATAGGAGCGCCACAGGAGCCGCGGCGCGGTCGTAGGCGATGTGGAAAGGGAAGTATCCAAGGGCGAGCAAGACGGAGCCAAGAATGACTGCAGAGCGAGGTCCTTTGTGGTCGACAAGCATGCCGACGGGAACGCCCAACGAGTACATTCCCAAGTTGGCGGACAGACCAATGACGTTCGTTTCGGTCGAGGAAAGCTTCAATCGCTCAGCGAATTGGGGTGCCCATGCTGAGTAAACGTACTGTACAATATAGCATGTTAGCAAAGAGGGCTGAGCTGGGGATCATGGCAGATGTTGTGGAAAGGGAAACGATCCGGTCGCGCCAACTCACATTGGTGCCACATGCCAGAGAGATGACGGTAGCTGCGACGCTGGCAACCAGGCGCGCGCGATGCAGCTGTTTCTCTCGTTGGTTGACCATGCTTGCTGTAGACCTGTAGTCAAAGAGGAAATCCAGCCTCTCAAGATATCATGCTTCGAGTTTCGGGTAGAAGTACGAATGCAACCGGCCGTCGATGGCTGACAATAGCGACAATCGGCAATGGGCGGCGATAACGGCGATGCTTTGGAGTCTTTGTGTTGAGTTGGGGTCAACGTGCGGTGTGGTTGGTTCAGTGTACTATCGGAGGCGCAGATTTCATAGCTATACGGACGAGGTCAACAACATGCGACATGTAGAATAGGCGTCGCACGGAGGATCTGAGGTTTGGTAAGTGTAACAGGTCCGGAGGAAGTAGGTGGTGGAATAAGAAGGGGAAAGGGAACAAGAGGGGAGGTGGTTAAGGGCGGCGGGAAGCTTCGCGGACGGGTAACGAAACGGGGACGATGCCGGATCCCTTATCTTCGGGGAAGGAAATCACGAATCCTTTCGTAGTGCAGAGGTTCCCTGCAATTGCCAATGACATGTACGTGTACAGTGGCTTGAGTGGCCCATCCCTCCGACTGGGATGGCAACGGGAAATAAGGTAGGGAATTGGGAGCCCCCTGTTTCCTCCTAGGTCGGAGCTGCAATGCCGTAAGTTCGCTGCCGAAAAGGCTAACCAGCTACGTAACGAGTACCAATGACGGTAGAGATATTACATATTGGATACGTAACCCGTCTCGTACCCAGTACATTGAAGGAGTTCGGAACATCATGGCTCGACGCCGTGCGGCGTGCTGCGCAAAGTAGCGCGTGCATGTGTCAACTGGACGGGGCCTTCTTCCCTCCCTTTCCTTCAGTGCCCCCTAACCCCTGTTTTTGGTCCAGATTTCAAAATCCCATGCGCCGCCGCCGTTGCCGCTTGACAGGCTTGAAACCGCTCGTTGCGCGTCCAGAAGTATCATTGCGGCACCGGTCTGTCGACCATCATCAATCAGTCCGCCTTAGCATGCCTTTGTGCCGATAGCTGTGAGCGAGAAACCCCAGTCGACTGTTCAATATCTGTTTCGGGGTGGTTCGCGCGATACTTAGGAATGGCTCAGTCATATGACCCATTCAAAGGCATCATCATGGAGCGCTAGAGGGCGTGGCTGTCGCGGAGCAGGGAACTAGTTGGGCTGCACCTCGAAGATCAGGACACGGGCCCAAGTCACTAAGGAGGAACACACCCAGTAGTTTGGTCAACTTCTGTAATCCACAAAGGGCTTGGCATCCATGAATAAGTATGTCCGTTGGCCGTGCTGCAACATCGAGGGCCGGAACTTCGCAAACTCCTCTAATCGGCTCTTTGAGTAAGTGAGATGAACGATAACACGGCGCAACGCTGAACTGCACCTTGCATAACGAATGCGACTGAAAATGTGGGTTCGAATGATAACGGTCCTCGCACGCAAGAGAGCATAACCATGCCGTGCCCAAAATACCGGTACAGGCCCTGCGAGGAGGTCGAAAGGCTATAGCGAAGAGTACTGACAGAAACCACCACCTCGATACACCAGCCGCACCGCGATGCCTGTCCATTCCCAAATTCTCAATATGCCTTGGAGATATTGCTGGCCGGAACAGAAGCTTTGCCTACCCATGAAGGTTCGGCATGCGTTAGATCCGAAATCTGACAACTCAACGCCTGTGCCACGATATGATGTCTTGCAGACGCATCAGCGTGGCCTATATGCGCTTTGCTTGGGCATGGATGATAAGACAAGCCACTGGGCTTTTGTGCAGTTCCACTTGGTGCTGCGCGGCAGGCGAGGTTGGGCAGGGATGGTGGGGAGGATGTGCTAGATTGGAAGGTGGTTTCATGGACTGCGTATCTGTTCAAGATGTCGGGAATCGGTGCCTCGATGCCGACGGCGGCGGTTGGCCGACTTCGGCGGAGAAATCCTGAAAACCTGGGGTCGGGTCCGGGTGGGAAGCCGCAGCCGTCGCAACAACCTCCCGGCTCCACCTGTGTGGCTCAGGAGGGTATGACTACGTAATCTCACGTGCACCTTCAGCCTTCGTCGCCCGAGCTGCCCCATTTCTTGCTGGTTGTCCTGGAGTCGGCTTTCGGGCTGCGCAAGCGCAAGGCGGCTTCCGATCCCAGCCCCGAACGACGACTATTGTTACGACACCGTCGACGACCACCACACCTTTCACGACTGATTGTGATATCCGCTCGCCGTTCCACACGTTTCATACGATCGATCGCGTTTTCCATACCTGACTGACGCCATGGGTGCGTTGCTGTCTTTGCCGCTGATGGCGGTGCCGAGCATGGGCACGGTACGTCGCTTTACTTGTAGCATACTGCTCCCAAGGTTCATCGCTGGTTAACGCTTTACAGGTCATAGGTTTCGCCGCCAGTTGCTGCGGTGCGGCAACATGCTCAGCTGTCTGTAGTGCCTGCGGAAAATGCGGCAACAGGTGCGTTGTCGGTGTTACGCGAATCGCGATGGTACTAACCTCGTCCGCAGTGTCGCTACGCGTATCGGCTACGCCCTCATACTTCTCGTCAACTCGATTCTGTCCTGGATAATGCTTACTCCGTGGGCCATAAAGAAGCTTGAACATCTCATGCTCGACTACGTCAAGATTGACTGCCCTAATGGCCAGTGTTACGGTTGGATGGCTGTCCACCGCTTCAACTTCGCCCTCGGTCTCTTCCATCTCATCTTTGCTGGCCTCCTCTTCGGCATCACGTCTTCCAAGAACCCGCGCGCCGCTATTCAAAACGGATACTGGGGCCCAAAGGTTATTGTTTGGCTCGCTTTTGTTGTCCTTTCCTTCCTGATACCCGACGAGTTCTTCCAGTTTTACGGCGCCTATATCGCCCGCTTCGGGGGAATGCTGTTCCTCATCCTCGGTCTCATCCTACTTGTTGATCTCGCACATAACTGGGCCGAATACTGCCTCGAGCAAATTGAGGAAACCGACTCTAAGGTCTGGCGGACAGTACTCATTGGCTCAACCTTGGGCATGTACCTCGCTTCGCTCGCCATGACCATTGTCCAGTACATCTTCTTTGCTGGGTCTGGCTGCTCCATGAACCAGGCGGCCATCACCATCAACCTCTTACTATGGCTCGGCATCTCGTTCATCTCGGTTCACCCCACGGTTCAGGAGTATAACCCTAAGGCTGGGTTAGCCCAGGGCGCCATGGTAGCAGTCTACTGCACTTACCTGACCATGTCCGCCGTCTCAATGGAGCCGGATGACAAGCTATGCAACCCTCTAGTTCGTGCGCAAGGCACTCGAACAACCTCGGTTGTTATTGGTGCTGTTGTAACCATGCTTACCATCGCCTACACTACCACGAGGGCTGCGACCCAGAGTCTTGGACTGGGTTCCTCGGGCGGCATCCGTCTTCCCGAGGAGGACGAACACGATCTCGTCACCCAGCAGCCTAATGGCCACAAGCAAATGCGAGCCGAGGCCTTGCGCCGCGCCGTCGAAGAGGGCAGTTTGCCGGCAGACGCCCTTTTGTCTGATGACGAGAGCGACGCCGGCGGTACCCACACTCACGGCGACGACGAGCGCACGAGGACCCAATACAACTACACAGTGTTCCACATCATCTTCTTCCTAGCTACAACCTGGATCGCTACCTTGCTGACCCAGAGCTACGACGACCAGAATGCCGATGGCAACTTTGCCCCCGTTGGCCGATCTTACTGGGCTAGTTGGGTTAAGATCGTGAGCGCCTGGGTTTGCTATGCCATGTATGCTTGGACATTGGTAGCTCCGGTCATTCTCCCAGACCGCTTCGACTTTTCATGATTGTTGTTTTGGTTACAACATACAGTCTCTTTTCTCTTCCACGGATGCTGGAGTTCTTCGGGAGTCTCACTTGGAGGCATAGTGTGCATTAGACGGCCTAGTTGCTTACAACAAATATTGTCTTCTAATTTGACTTTGCCTGAGGCCATTCGTTATTCGAGACTATGTTTAGCCTACAGGGTCTATTGGGGTTGGCTCTGTTGCGTAACAGTGCCTTTTTTGTATGTACAATTCCGCATCACATATATTGGTCTGATGTGAAGTTGAAATAAAGGCATACGAACTGCTCACTCATCGTTCTGAGGGTCACGTACAAATAACGGCAAAACTATTGACACTGTCCTGAAGCAGCTCCACGCAAATTCGTAGCCGGGGTAATCTATGCCTTCGCCTTTTTTTTTCTCTTTCTTTTTCCCTCTTCACCCTAACCCTTTCTCTTTTTTCCATAACGCATCCGAAGGATACCTAGTCAAGCACCATCGTGCTACAGATATAGAATTTCTTCCGTTCATCACCAACACAGGGTCCCTGACTAGGTCCAGTAACGCTGGGTATCATAGTCCCGTGTCCGGTAGCACATTTCAGGCTTGCTGGACAGAGTCAGTGGCATGGAATCCCTCCAAGGTCACGTTGACTGCTCCCGCCTGAACGAGCTGTCAAGACAGTTAGTTGGGCTTGTAGAAGTGTGAAATAGATGGCCACTTACGGCACGGGAGAGATCCTCAATCAAGTCCGTAACGTCCTCGATGCCCACGCAGAGCCGAATGAGGTCTTCCGGCATCTGCCTCTCCTTCCGGGTTTTGGCATCGATGCTAGCATGACTCATCTGGCAAGGCATACTGATCAAACTGTTCACACAGCCAAAGCTCACGCTAATGCTGTACAGTTTAGCAGCCTCGACAATCCTCTCGGAAAGCGCGGCGTCGCCAGTCTCAAAAGACAGAACAGCGCCGGCGCCACGCGCCATAGACCAGTGCAGGTCGTATTGAGGGTGGGACTTGAGTCCCGGGTATCGGACCTTGAATCCATGGGACTGGAGGAATTCAGCGATTTGCTGGGCGTTGGCCTGCTGCTTTTCCATGCGGATAGCGAGCGTCTTGATACCTCTCATAAGGAGGAACGAGTCGTTGGGCGAGAGACCACATCCGGTGGCATTGATAGTAAAGAACAGCTTGTCTCCAATGGCCGAGTCGTTGACGCCAATCACGCCTGCCATGATGTCATGGTGTCCAGATAAATACTTCGTACCCGACTCATACACAATGTCGGCACCAATGTCCAGAGGATTCAAGAGCATGGGTGAGAGCATGGTGTTGTCGACAATGACCAAGGCTTTGTCGTTGACATCGTGCACAAGCTTGGCAATCGAAGGGATGTCGACAATCTTGATGAGGGGGTTCGTAGGCGTCTCGAGTAGAACCATGGCCGTCTTGTCAGAAATGACATTACGAACGTTCTCCACGTTGGTGGTGTCTACATGGTGAACGATGATTCCCTGGTTCGAGGACAGGTATGCGAGCAGCCGGTTGGTGCCTCCGTACAAGTCGTCGCCGGTTATGACCTCGTCACCGGGGCGCAACAAACGGGTGATGACATCCAGGGCACCCATGCCGGAACCAACGGCGAGGGCTCTCGTGGCATTCATGATCTTGGCCAGATGGCGCTCAAGGTGAGTGCGGGTTGGGTTGCCTGACCTGGTGTAGTCGTACTCATTGCCACCGGTGGCTGAGGTCTGCTTGAAGGTTGCGGACTGGTAGATGGGAATGCTGGACGCGCCATACTGGTCATTGCTGTCAGTGTAGACCAGCTCAGTGGCGAGAGCATAACGGCGACGACCATTGCGAGGGCTGGAGGGCGCTGGAGATGGAGGGAGATCGTGACCGTCGAGATCAACCCGCTTTAGGGGGTTGCTGGACTTGGCCGCAGGTCCGTTGTTAGGCGGTGTAGACATTGTGAGACAGGCAAGTCGTAGCGATGGCGGGGTAGCGCAACGTGGGAACTGCCGGCTTGTCTGGCTCGAAGCGGCGAGTGACTGGGGCTATTCTCGGCTAATCGGATTGACGATAATGTACTACACAGACAGCGTCTGTGACCGTCGCAGTTAATGGTCGAAAGGGAAGAGGCGGGAACAGAGGTTCGGAAAGGCTTTAGTAGATCGAGTACAGTACTACCGCTGGTCTCGTAAAGAGCCAGACTTGTCGCCGCGGACAGACTGAATTGCTCAGCAAATCAATTGTCCAAACGCAGCACCGGCGTACTCGATTGAAGCAGGTGGTTGGCGGGAAGGACGAAAAGAGCTAATGGAAGCTTGTAGATGTGTAGGAGAAGTTTTCCGGCGATGTTGAAGGGAACGGATGGCGGGCTTTTGGGGAGACGGGAGCGTGTGACTCGAGCAGCACTGACAATGACTATTGTGGATCCCCATGGATGACGTGATTTGTCGGTGTACCCAGTGTCCCCCGAAAGTCGGCGATGGCGGGGCGACTTGAACCCTGGACATGGGACGCGGAGGTGAGGAGCGGCGTCGGAATTGGTCAATGCACCTGGGCATGCAGGACCAGGGCCGTTAGTCCGGACGTTTGGGACAAGTACGGATGGCATTTACTGCAATTGCCCGGCACCCAGGAGAAACAAATAATTGGCATGGAATGACGTCTTCTCAACAATCTTGAAGTGATTGGCGCATGGAACAAACGACTTCACGAACTAAACAACCCTAGACAAAGCAGAGGTAGCTGGCAGAGCAAGCACTCGTATAACCGCCGAGCAAATCTGGCTGTAAGTTGCGGTCGCCATGAGAGGTGTTTTTCTATGTCTGGTATTCATCCTTGGCCCTGGATAGTACAATTATTGTACAAGGAATTGCCGTTCTAGGAGGCCTGAAGGCTGGCCTTGCCATGTAGATCTATCCTCAAGACCGCCAAACTCACGCGCAATCATTTTTACATGTGAAGAGTTTGATGTCGTCAAAGACACGCCTCCGAAATGTGTTGATGCGCAAAACAGTCCAACATTTGTTCGATACGCCCAGTGATGCATTCACCTTATCCCAATTCCTCAACCATATCCTCGTACTCATCGGTTGCTGATGTTCCTGAACCCTTCGCTGAATGCTTCGCATGGTTGTCCATCAGAATCTGACCCCCGCCTTTTCTTCCGAAAAAGTCTTCTGTCCGTATCCCCCGGAAGTGCTCAGGCGTGATGCTGGACATAGAGTTGCCGCTGGCTCGGTGCTCTCGCATATATTCACGGACCGGTGCCATGGCAGCATCGCGGCATGCTTCCTTAATGTCGCTACCTGACATGCCGGCAGTGACTTTGGTTATGTATTCAAGACTAAACTCTGGATCAGTCTTTGTGTCCTTGAGAATGAGCTGCAAAATACGCCGTCTTTGCTCTTTGCTCGGCAAAGAAACCGGGAACTTCTTGGGCATTCGTCTAAGAATGGCCTCGTCAATGTCGTGTATTCTGTTTGTTGCCCCGAGAACGACAATTCTAGCAGGCATGCCCGCAGAGTTTGACGACGTCAGACCATCCCATAGGGTCATAAACCTGTTTTATTAGCCAATTGAATATGATGACGTCCCCTTTCCAGTGACTCACTCTGCCTTGACCATACCACTGGCCTCATGCTCGCCGCTTCTTCTCGTACCCAAAACGGCATCAATTTCATCAATGAAGATGATTGCAGGCTGCATCTTGCGAGCCAACGAGAACACAGCTCGAACCAGTTTGTTCGAGTCGCCATACCACTTCTCGGTCACAGTCGAGATGTGCAGGTTGATGAAAGATGCGCCACTTTCCCGGGCAACCGCCTTGGCCAGCATGGTCTTCCCGCATCCAGGAGGGCCGTACAGCAACACACCAGACGGCGCGGACAGGAGCGGCGCTGCATGAGAGTACAAGTGTGGCATGGTGAGGGGATAAATGACAGACTCTTTGAGCTCATCGATAATGTCCTCCAAGCCGCCAATGTCTGGCATGCCTCGTTAGCGAAGCCCCGGGCCTGATGTGCCGTATCGAGGTGCATGCGTAGCGCTTACCAGAGAAGCCGATAGGAATATCCTCCGGGGCCACCATCTCCAGAGCAATGAGGTTCTCGTATTCGTTCAACACCAGCTCTTCTGGCTTCGGTCCGCGGCGGGACGCGCTGCTATCGTCCGACTGTTCCTCGCCGGATTTGCCGACATTCTTGCCTTTGCGCAAACGTTCCAAGTGGGCTTTTGCCTGCAGTCGTGCTTGCTCGTGTTTCTCTCGATCGGGGTCGGCGAGGGTGTTGGTAAGCGACGATAGAAAGTTTCTTGCGAGGTATACACCAGTTGCCATCTGCGAAGCCATGTCAGCCTTCAAGCGCCATCGCATCCATGACGATGTAGTCCGCTTACCATGCCAGCCACTAGCAGCAGGTCCAGGGCAAAATCGCCCAGGCCCTTTTTGCGGTCACCCATGCCGAGGAGTTTTCCGACGGAGCCCAGCCAACGGTCAAGGTCGCCCGTCATCAGTGTTGGCGTCGCGGCGAAGGGCCGACAGGATGTGGTTGAAACAGCCTAATGTGTAACGTAATAGTGAGTGGTCGGTGTCAGTCGAATGCGATTTTCGCGGTGGTCTCTCCTTGCAATGAGGAGAAGAACGTCGCTTTGAGGTTGCACGTCGGCAAGCAAAGATTGTGTAGTGGCTTCGTAGGGCGCATCCAGGTGAGGAACGGACGGCGGGCGGACGAGACGTGGCCCCCGTTCTAGTGTAGAAACTGAGCCGAGTTAACGCCACCCGCGGTAAGTATCTTTGCACTGTGAGCTGTCGGAGGGAATTGTAAGCCACACATGGATTGCCGTGCACCAGTTTCCAAACAACAGGTGCACCGCCACAAACACGCACGGCCATATGCTTCGGCCAGGAAATCTGCCAATTGATGTAAACCTGTGCAGGTTAGGTCCAGGGGTTGCTGCTGGGCTCTTTGTTTACTTTTTCGTCGCAAAGTACCTGTAGATATTCGCCTTGCTTGCGCAGATGCCCCTCCCCTCCCGTGCTTCTCAGTCGGGATCGCAGTCTGCGCAACCCTTCGCTCCAACCCCCTCTCACGAATACCTGTCGTAACGTACATGCCGTCAATTCCCTGATGAACACGATTCACCCCGTTCTTCAGCAACAGCCAACGACCCACGAATTACGACCCACTACCTTGCCGTGGGATGCGGATGGTATCCTCTCGAGCGCGTGCCCAAACCCAATTGCTCTCCACTGCGTAACTTGCGCCGACTAGCTTACCCACCACAATAACTTCCGGCGCGAATGTCGCGTACTGCTCGTTCAGCTAAGTTGCTGGCATTGGCGGATTCGGATTCCGACGAACTTTCTGGTCTCGGCGCGAAAGTCAGCAGCGACAGCGCGTCGAAAGAACATAAGATGCCGCCGGCGAAGAAAGCCAGGGGCAGACCTCCGGCCGCCAATAAAGTCACGAAGCCACCGCAAAGATCAACGAAAACTCGTACAAATACCAAGCTCGCAGCCGCAATCAGTAAGAAAGAAGAGGACGATGCCGTTGACGCATCGACCAAGGTCGATAGCGAAGCTCCGAAGAGGGGGCGCAAAACAGCAGCGAAGGACAAAGAAGAGGATGAAGATATGGCCGGAACAGACGAGGAAGCTCCTTCTCCGGTGAAGTCGAGTGTCCCCAAGCCTAGAGGGCGCCCAAAGGCCAGGGCAGCAGCAACATCCAATGTAGACGAATCGAAGGAGGTACCAGATTCCGCCGTGAAGCACACCGCGCCGCCAGCCAAGCGTGGGCGCCGCCCTGCTACCAAATCGACGCGAAACGAAGAGGCGGAAATCCCGGAGACACAGCCTCAAGATGCTATGGACGTTGATACGGAGGTTGATGATCAGTCCGAAGACCTGCCAGCACCACGACAACCCGCTCACCGTTCCAGTCAGGCCAGCGGGAGCTCAGACGTGGAAGCAAGCGAGGTGCAACTACGACGCCGGCTGGGTGAGACGACCAGGAAGTATGATCACCTTGAGGCGAAATACCGTGATCTTCGGGACATTGGGGTCAAGGCAGCCGAACGCAATTTTGACAATCTTAAAAAGGAAACCGAGGAACGAGCAAACAGTAAGTATCGGGCCAAAGCCGGCGAAAGAGCAGTGTTAACATTTTCAAGCTGCGAGCGAACTCATAGGTCATCTCAAGGCCGATCTTGCCATGCAGCGGGATTTAGCAAAGGCAGGACAACAGCACAAGAAGCAGCTTGAAGAAATGGAGGCGAAAGTAGCAGCTTTGACTACATCGCTGGCCGAAGCAAAACAAGAAGTTAAGACGCTGTCGACGAGATTAGCCGCGAGCAGGTCTGCTGAAGCTGCAGCAAGCGCTAAAGTGATTCCTGGCAGTGCTGTCAAGGCTGGAAGCGCTGCAGCTGCTCGAGCTCTCGCTAGCTCAGATGCGGTGCAAACGGGGCAATTGAAAGAGGACCTTTATGGCGATCTGACTGGGCTGATCGTCAGGGTCACGAAGCGCGACTCCGCTGGTCAGGTTTTTGACTGCATACAGACGGGAAAAAACGGAAGTAAGTTAACCCCTGGCAGCAGTATCCTGCAGTACCCTGAGGACTGGTCTCCCTGTACTAACTGCTCTTCAAGCACTTCACTTCAAGCTCGAAGTCGAGAGTGAGAGTTCAGGCGAGAACTACGAAGAAGCACACTTCACGTACAAACCACAACTAGACGCAAACCGAGACCGCGACTTGATCGAGATGCTTCCTGACTTCTTGGTCGAGGAGATCACATTTCCTCGACCGCATGCCGCGAAGTTCTACGCGCGTGTGGTCAAGTCTTTAACCGAGCGCCTCGATTAGTCTTCCTGGGTTGGACGAATGTTCTTGTTAGGGATAAAAGCTTGGGGTGGCGATTAAGAAGCATTTGGAATTGGTCAATACGATACCCCTGAAGACTCTGTTTTCTCAACATCGCTCGAATGTATAGATTTGGTCGATAATTTGACTTGGTTCTGAAGAGTAACGACTTTGCTGAGCGAGACCTGGCGTTGAGTGTGGCGGTTTCCGGACCATGGTGCACTGAGCGAAGCGCCTAACCTGGCGCCCTGCAAACACAATCCTCTACCACGCAAGGAGCTTGTAAAAATAAAGGGTGTCATGGGACGAAATAATGTCTTTATTCAAAGAATTTCCGATCCGCCAGGACACGTCATGCGGAGGCAAAGATCGCCTTGACAATAGGCTTTGGGGTATCATGCATACTTGGTATATCTTTGCCCTCAAAGCAGATACCTTGATGTCCGGCAAGTCGTTTGCTAATATCCTTGTGGCTTACAGAATATCGCCCGAAACTGCATTTAAAGGGGCGACGAGAAGAAAGCTTCGCCATCTATGAGGTTAGGGGGGCGATGACTGGCCCGCTCTTGTACTGCCTCTGCGCCAACCAACGTTGTATCCAGGATCAGTTCCTCCAGAACCCCGCTAGGTGCCAATAGCCGCTCCCGCGTCATGGTGTAGGCTTCCGGGGTGTTGAAGTGGGTCGGTCCCTTCTGACCTAGGAGCCCTGCACCTCCAAATTGGTGCATTACGGGTTGTCAACGTGTCGCGAAGAGACCAATAATTTCCGCGTCGATGTAACAAGCGGGACCAATTGAACCTGGATTGCACTGCGCTGCACCGGACTGGACGGGACTACAGTGTTTCCCATTTCCCATGGGCAAGAAAAATCCAGCGCTGCGCATCACCAACAGCCCCAGGAGCAATGCTTTACGCTGGGAGATAATGCGCCTCCACTCCCTTGCGCAGAAGAAGAAGCCCTTGGTCCCCATTTCTCTTCACTCTTTAACCCCAACCATTCGGTGAGACGACTTGAGCGTCGAACCAGTCGAACAAGCTATATAAACCGGCCAGCCTTGACGCCTCCCTCCCCGGTCCATTGTCGGTTCGGCCACTCCCATATCTCTCGGGGCGCTCAAGCGAAGCAACAACACGACACAAAGGACTCGAATAGAGTCAAAGGACGGAACAGCACCAGAAGAGCTCCGACTCCTCGCTGTTCTACCCACCATGGCCGTCTCTTCGCGCGCCAGCTTTCTGGCCATCGCAGTCGTCTTTCACCTCGCCTACATTTACTCCATTTTCGACATTTACTTTGTTAGTCCAATCGTTTCGGGCATGGCACTTGTCCAGATCGACCGGCCCGACCATGTCAAAGCTCCTGCTGATCGTTTGGTTCTCTTCGTTGGTATGCGCTTGCTCTGTTTCCCTAACACCTGGCGCCGACTTGCGAGCAAGCTTCTGACACTTCAACTTAGGAGATGGTTTGCGAGCGGACAAGGCCTTCCAGTCCTTCCCAGAACCATACCCCGAATCCGAGGACGACCTGACTCCACGGCCATTGGCCCCTTTCCTAAGATCCCGCGTCTTGGAGCACGGCACCTTCGGCGTGTCGCATACACGCGTGCCCACTGAGTCTCGTCCCGGTCACGTTGCGCTCATCGCCGGCCTATACGAGGACGTCTCGGCTGTCGCGACTGGCTGGAAGCACAACCCTGTCAACTTCGACAGCGTCTTCAACCGGAGCCGTCACACTTGGAGCTGGGGTTCTCCTGATATCCTTCCTATGTTCGAGGACGGTGCTGTCCCTGGCCGTGTGGATTCCTACACCTACGGCCATGAGTTTGAGGATTTTAGCCAGGATGCTCTGCAGCTTGACTACTGGGTCTTTGATCATGTCAAGGAGCTTTTTGCCGAGGCGGCCAAGAACGAAACCCTGGACGCTGCCCTTCGTCAGGACAAGGTCGTCTTCTTCCTCCATCTTCTTGGTTTGGATACCAACGGTCACTCGTACCGGCCTTACTCAAAGGAATATCTCAACAATATCAAGGTTGTGGACCAAGGCGTAAAGGAAATAACTGCGCTTATCGAGAAGTTCTACGCTGATGACCGAACCGCTTTCGTCTTCACAGCGGACCACGGCATGAGTGACTGGGGAAGCCACGGCGACGGCCATCCGAACAATACTCGTACGCCCTTAATCACCTGGGGTTCTGGCATCGCACCGCCGGTGCTCACGCCAGACTCCGTTGCTCCAGGGCACGACGAGTACTCGTCCGACTGGCACCTTAACAGTGTCAAGCGACACGATGTGGCGCAAGCTGACATTGCGGCCCTGATGTCATACTTGATCGGCGTGGAGTTCCCTGCCAACTCTGTTGGCGAGCTTCCCTTGTCTTATGTTTCGTCGAGCATCGAGGAGAAAGCGCAGGCGGCTCTTGTTAACGCCCGTGAGATTCTCGAGATGTACAGAGTGAAGGAAGAGCGGAAGAAGGCGACGGAGTTGCGCTATCGGCCGTTCGGACCACTGAGTGACGCGGGTTTCACCCCTGATAGCCGGGTGGCTGACATTCAACGTCTGGTCGACGCTGGCAACTACGAAGAGGCTATTGAAGAATCGGCTGCTCTTATGAAAATTGCGTTGGAGGGCTTGAGATACCTCCAAACATATGACTGGCTCTTCCTTCGCACGCTGATCACGATTGGCTACCTTGGCTGGATGGCGTTTGCACTCACTATTGTCATCGACTTGCACGTCTTGCGAGGCAGCCACCCCCCTTGCCGTACGACAATGGGCACAATGGTTTCCACATCAGTACTCGCAGCACTGTACGCATCCTTTATCATCTCCAAGTCCCCGATCACCTATTATGCGTACGGTTTCTTTCCCGTCGTCTTTTGGGAAGAAGTTTGGGCCCGACGCCGTTCACTTGTTGAAGGTAGGCAGGTGCTTTTCGGGCACATCAAGACTGGAGGCAGCCTGGTATCGTTTTCGTTGAACGTTGTGTTCTACGTTGGCATCATTGTCTCTTTGGTAAGATTCATCCTCACTTTTAACCACTTTGATGTTGCTAACACAGCCGAGGCTCTTGGATACATCTATCGCGAGGTCTTGACCGTCATTTATGTCCTTGCGGCATTCTGGCCCATGACGTACGGCTTGAGATTCCTCCATACGAACGCGTTGCTGTCTGTGGTCTGGTTTCTCTCGTGCCTCGTCATGAGTGTATTCACATTGCTTCCGGCCATGAAAACAGAGGACGTCCCTCTCATGTATGTTTACGTTGTTCTGTCCCAGGAGTTCTCACAGGCTGACCCATTCGCAGCGTGGCCGGTGGAACTGCCATGGCAGCTATTGGTCTGGCTTATCTTGTTTGGGAAGACAAGCTTCTTGCAAGACCAGCTCTGCCGACTGCCAGGGCTCTGACTGGTGTCCAGGTAAATATATGGCTCTCTGCAAATCGGCTCTACAATTAACACAGTTGAATATAGGTCGGTCTCATCCTGCTCGCAATCGTAGTTACCCGGTCCAGCGCCTTGTCTCTACAAGCAAAACTAGGATTGCCTCGGGGCAACCAGGTGGTTGGCTGGGTTATTCTTGGTAAGTGTAAAGCACGGCTCGACGTTCAATGGTGCTAATTATTCTGTAGTTGTTTCGCTGCTTATGCCACTGGCCCATCGCCTGCAGCCCAACAATCACTACATGCACCGTCTGATGACTATGTTCTTGACCTGCGCGCCGACGTTTGTAATTCTGACCATCTCGTATGAAGGGCTTTTCTACGTGGCTTTCAGCATTTTGCTGGTCGCCTGGGTGGGCCTTGAGCATCGCGTATTCATTTTTAACAAGAGCTCTGCAGACGAGCGACGCTTGCAATCCAATGGTACTGCCAACAAAAAGCCGGAAACGTCTTCGTCAGCTTTCAGAGCCTTGACTCTCGCCGACGCGCGAGTTTCATTGTTCTTCTTCGTCTTGCTGCAATCGGCCTTCTTCAGCACAGGCAATGTGGCTTCGGTCTCGTCCTTCAGCCTAGACAGCGTATACCGGCTGATCCCCATCTTCGACCCCATTTCCCAGGGAGCACTGCTCGTTCTGAAGCTCATGATCCCCTTCGCCCTCATTTCGGCCAACCTCGGAATCCTCAACGTTAGACTGGGCGTGGCGCCCTCGTCTCTCTTTATGGTTGTCATGGCCATTAGCGATGTTCTTACACTCTACTTCTTTTGGGTGGTGAAGGACGAGGGTTCGTGGTTAGAGATCGGCTCCACCATCAGTCACTTTTTTATTGCGAGTTTGCTCTGCGTCTTTGTGGCCGCCCTTGAGGGAGTCAGTGCGCTGTTCATTGGCGGCATCGAAGTCGAGGGACCGCAAGGTAATGGCATACAGAACGGGACGGTAGCATCTCATACCACAGGACACACAACTACCAACGGCAAGATACCTTCAGCCGTTGCCAACCCATGACGGACCGTGGTCCTTGTTTAACAAACCTTAATATATATATATATATTGGCGTCATGCTTTAATACGAGGCCCAAATAACCCGGCAGGCACCATCCTACTTGACTTTTTCCAGTTTGGCGTGGGGGGGTAAGTGAATTGACTAAACACATTCTCTGTAGCTAAGGCTTGCGTTCAGCTCTCGTATCGACCTGAGTTTCTTCTACAACCAGTCATTCTGGCTTGTTACTACCCGATCTCCTGAGGTCATCCTCAGCAACGTCGATGCGTAGTCCAAACCATCATCGACCAAGCCTTGCCTTTGGTCACTGTCTTCAGGGACAGTTGGACCTCGGCATCATGTTGAAGATACCATGGGGACAGCAAATCCATACTTTGGAAGCCTATAGGGATCTACAGTACTGGCTGGGATCGGTGTACCAGCGCATGAAAATAAACCGGAAGCGTGGTGAGGGGTCGCTGAACCGTCACGCCGTCTCCGTTTGTGGGAGTGCAGGGGTCAAAGAGGACATTGTGTGCAGGAGACGACCTGGCGCGTGGTACCTTGCAGGGAGTTGGTTGTATACTCCTCGCGTGTTGCAAGTTCGCCAGCGGGTCTGAGATGCCTCGTGGTATACCAGAAGAGGGGGTGAGAGCCGAGTTGTCCAGAGCTCTGCACAGTTGGATGTGACCTTCGTGACCAGTTGGATGGACCGCGTATCTCTGCTTCTCCAGACTAACAGCTTCACGATTCTACAGACAAGGAGGGCCACCCTGGGGCCAGCCAGATAATGGAGGGCAGCATAGGGCTTACGATGCAGTCGCCATGTCGCATTGGAGTGCGAAAGACTTATAGTAGGACATGGCCTGTCGAGATGTACATGGAACCGAGTCAAAACGAGAACAGTGTCTGGTGGTGTGATTGAGGGTGGTGAGTGAACCATACGGGGAAGCAAGCCAAAGTCCGTGTTGTTGCGGAGCGTCTCAAGCCAAGCTTACCTAGAAGTCGACTCCATCCAACACTATTTGACTTCGGGCACTTCGATTTAGCAGGGTCCCTCATGGTAATTAGGTATGGGGTCCAGTGAAGGTGACCAGGGACATTTATTCCGATGTGGAGGCTCGGCTCGTTGTTGGGGGAAAATAAAGATAGGTTCCAATATCATAGGTAGTCAAAAAGGACTGTGAGCAATGCATGTCTACCAGCTCGCTGCTCTTGCCGTGAGATGACGCGTTGTGAGACCTCGTTCCTCCCGCCTTCCACATGTGTCTCTCATAGGACTAATATACCAGAAGGGTATGCACCACGGTAGCGGTGTTTCCAAGGAGATGTTTGCTATCTCTTTCTTCTCAAGCTTTCTCGAATCCATCCATTTCATTTCATTCATCCCAAGATGCCAAGATCAGCAAACGCACCCCTCCCTCCGTTGCGTCATGCCCATCACACCCACCGGTCTGGGTACACATCCGAATTGTGCGACACGTCGCAGCGTCTGATACCCCATCATTCACAGAGGCATTTGTCACTCTTGATCAGCTCGATTCAAGTTGATACCCCTGCCACAGTGAATCACCTCGATGTCGTTCCTCCGCGGATGCCGTGCACGCGAGGCTTTCGACGACCAGCTCGAGGGCTTGGCTCCCCCACCCCCAAAGTATTGCAGCGCGTTTCTTTCCAAAGTGTGTGTGTATAAGTGTGTGTATGTGTATGTGTGCGTGCGTGCGCGCCTCGCCATTTCACCACCATCTTGTCATTTCTAACACTCATCAAGTGGTGTGCTGGCTTGGTTCCGGACGACGTCCGTGGCCTAGAAAACGCTGTCCAGACTCCGAGAACTGCCGGCTAGTAACGAGCTCATCGGTTAGTTTTTCGACATTTTTCCCCCCACTACAGTGTTGTCGATTGCCTACGGAGTGGTGGGAACACGCTGCGAGCAAGACGTTGAGCACTCTCCAGGAAGATGGCATCACAACAATGGACGATCCAAGACCAGACGTGATCATATGCTTTTCTCGGCAACATTCTGGGGACACGAGGGAAGGATTTCCATATCCATGTCCACGCACAGCGTGGTCCTTGCCTAAAAAGGAAACGCATGCGCGGACCAAGCCGTTTCGGAGCACATCCCCGATCCACAGCTTAACCGTGCCAGCGACATGCTGAACTCTCGACTCACCTTTCGACCCGGCTGTTCTTGTCTTCGTGGCGCGTGCCAGCGCTTCGCCCTGATCCATGCAGTACCTACCGTACCGCACTGCCTCCCGTTTCTATGCCCTACCCACAGCTGCGCATCCAAGTTGCACCATCCCAGTCCTTCACACACTCATCTCCTATTACCCCAGATCTGGGGGCCTGCGGTCCAACTTCGATCAAGTGGGAGGAGGGCAAAGGGGCATTGGCAGAGGGGACAGCGGCCGGCCGGGGACGAGCGGAAGGGGGTGGGTTCATTTCTCATCCCCGACATGGGTAGATGCATGCATGGCTTGGCGGCCACTGTCCTGAATTGGACTTTTGATGACTGGCACACACAGTCACTAATACTGTCTCGCGTCCAGGTGTTCTCTGGCAGACCAGTCATTGTTCATCCCCGTTGCTACCTCGAGTTGACATGCCTTCCACATCTTCGCCGGGAGCCGGGACGGGGAGCTTGGTGGAGGGGTCGCAATTTTGTCAGCAGTGCCGTTGAGGGAAGTCTCACATGCTTGCCAAGCCGACGTTTGTGGCGTCTATTTCTACTGCTCTTAGGCAAGCGTTGTCCAGCTGCCACACTCACTCACGGGGCCATGATTTGAGCGTCAACAGCCAGGGTGAATGAAGAAGCTAGCTATTGGTTGGCGGCATAGGCAGAGCCTGGCATTGATCATGCCGGAAGTACATGGTGAGAAGGGGGACGATGTGCTTCTCGTGGGCGTCGTACCTGATGGCTTGGTATCTGCTAAGCCAGCCTTCTCGCAACCCCCGTCACCGCACCGGCACTCCTCTTTCTATAATAGCATGTGGTCGCTCCCTTTCGAACTCAAGAGGCCCTCAGAGTGTAGGCAGGCAATCACTGCTGGGGCTCACCAAAAGTAAAGCAAGCACACCCGCAAATCACCTCGATCGGAACGCAGAGCGTCAGGAGTCGACTACAAGGTCCAGTCTAATCTCTTGCCGGACAATACTCGAGCTGCATTTCGGGATCGATATCTGGGAATACGACTGACGGACCCCCTCCACACCCTTAGAGTACTAGCACCTCCAAGCCCGTTTAGCTCACCCCGGCCCAAGGCAGACAAGCTTACCTTGCTTGCACGGGAGCCGGTTGCGAGTTAACGGGAACTGACGAGTAAGGGCCGTTAAAGTGCATTGCATACCACAGCAGTGGGCCACGCACAGCGTTTAACCTGGGAGCAGACGACGGCAACCAAGAGAAACGCCAAGGGCTTGTTGCTATAAAGCTAAAGCTGATTGCCTTTTCTGTGCTACAGTGACAGGCTGCTCGGTGATGTAAGACGGGCTGTTCGAAAGCCAACCCAGCAGCGGCGAACCGGAACATATCTGCGAGAATCTCAAAGGGTACGACCTGATCTCTGATTACCGATCTCTAATGCGCCGTCATCCACCAACCCCAAACTTTTAGGCGACAACTCTGTTACAAATTTAGGTCTTGAGACGTCTTCAGAAGGGGGGGGCAAGGTTCGAGAGAACAGTACATGACAACCATTTTAGCTCTAAACAACGTTGGTACGGAAATGACATCTTTTGGGCTACTCCAAGGTACCCGGTCCATCGATTTCTGCGTCTTATCTACACCTGTTGCGCTGCATACTATTCCGATTCTTCCCTCAATGCTACTTTGCCCTGGAGTTTCTTCTGGCTATTCGACGAGGAGGACGTTTTCGCGCAGAGAAGAGCCCGTAAGAGCAGCGGACAAACACTGACCGACCATCTTGAGCGAGGCAGCCACTGCCCTAGCTTACCGAGCGCTCAAGACAACTCAATCAGAGACGAAAATCAACACAGCAGCAGGAGGACGGCTGTCTCCTAAACCACGAGTTGGATGGCTGTACTCCAGTGGCCAAGCGTGCCGAATCTGGAAGCGGACGGCGAAGTCAAGTTTCCAGGCGTGCTGGTATTGAAACCTGAGGGAAAGCACCAACAGAATCAGGGAAGGCTCCTATCTCAACAGAGCAGTCTCGAATCTGAATATCCAGACGGTGGCAGTCGTCTTGACCCCAAGCTGGACCTTGGATACCACCACGTTGCCAATAGCTGCAACCACGCCGATCTTCACCAACACGTCGACGGCATCGTCGACGTTGACCTGGACTTCGCCTTCAGCCTTGACCTCGGCGCCAAAGTCAACGAGGACCTTGACTTGAACGTCGGATTGCCAGTCGTCAACGCGGGCGAGACCCTGGTTCTGACAGAGAACAATTACAACGCGGCCCCCGGTCTGCAGCAGGACGAGACCACTCTGGCGTCAGTGCTCCTCTCACCCCTCCAGCAGCTTCCGTTCACGACGACAACGAGCGAGGCGCACATAGGCTCCATTGCGGGAGGAGAAGCAGTCCAAAGTGGTGCGTTTGCACCTGCCTCGAAAACTGCTACATTTGCATCTGCGTTGCCCAGTGCTAGACTTGAGCAACGTCACGGTTTTGCTGGTTGTGGTCCCGCAGTCGATGACCCACTTTTGTCATTGCTGGGCCCGGCCGCAGGAGCAGCAGCAGGACCGTCGGCAGACGTGCACTTGCCGAATTCCATTTCATCCACGTCCAGCCCCAGCAGCATCAGCACCGATTCCACCAGTTCCAGTTCCCGCTCCCGTTCCATCCTCGCAGCTTCATCAGGGGAAACACCACTCTCGCACTCCTCTCTGCTGGCCTCACCCCCCCTCCACCCGCATCCGCACCCGCACCCGCACACGCACACGCACACGCACACGCACCCGCATCCACGCCACCTGAACAATCCTCTTACACATCAGCAGCACCAGAACCCCCAGAAGCTCCAGCAGCAGCACTCCCCCTACCCAGCTGGAGGAGCCCACCGTCAGCGCCGCCGCCAGTTCCCGTGCCCTCCGCCAGCGCCGCCGCCGCCAGGGACACAGCAGGAGACACAGCCAGACGTTGCGCCTGGGCCGCCTCTAGAGCGAGCAGCACCTCTGCCGCTGCCAGTGCCAGTGCCGCGCCTGTTCCCTCCTGGTGGCCCTCTACCTCCTATTACTACGACTCGACCAGAGAAATTCGTCGACGACTCTCTTCACCACTTCTCTTACGACTCCATCGCAGCTCCCGCTTCATGGTCGCCCATGGATGTCGACATGTCATCCACCGACCAGTCGGCCCAGCAGCCGCAACAGCAGCAGCAGCAGCAGCCGCAACCGCCGCAAAAGTCCGAATCGCCATCCCAGTCTGCTGGCGGAAGTTCCAATGCCGCCAACACAAGCCCCAACGCCCAAGGCAGCTCTGCTGCTGCTGCCGCCGCCGCCGCTGCCGCTGCCGCGGCGAACCACATGAGTTTTCGCAGGTTCGTCCTTCACCACCAACCTCCGCCCTGGTGATTCTTCACGATGACCGCCGTCGTTGTCGTCGGTTTCAAATGGCATGTGTGTGCTGACATATCTTTGATTCATAAGGCAACGAGCTTCTAGAGCTTGTGAGGTACGTAGTCTCCCACCTTTATCTTGGCCGCGCCCGCTATCCCTCTGCCCCTCTGCCCACTTTGTGCCGAGGCATCTTTCCTTACCTCGCGCGCCGCCACGCCGCGTTGCGCTGCACTACTACACTGCGAGATTCCATCGCCCACCACAGCATTTTGACCCGTCCTGATTCGAACCAAAACTGACTATTGGCCTTTCAATATATAGACATGTCACGCCCGCAAGGTACGCATACGCAATTGGCGCTTTTTTTTTGTTTTGTTTTTTTTGCCACTCACCCCCTCTGCGCCAAACGGCATGCACCGGCTTCCTGCGCGGTCATCCATCTCCCAAACCCCTCTTCTTTCCACCGAGTCTCCTCACCAAGCCTCGTTTTACTGACACTTGCTAGGTGCGATGCGACGCCGCGAGTCTAGGCGTGCCTTGCACGAATTGCGTCGCCTTCCAGATCGAGTGCCGCATCCCTACCCCTAAGCGCAAGAAGACGACAAATGCCGGAACGAATAAGGACTCGGACAGGTCTGCCTCAGATTCGCCATTCCCGCATACCCCCAACACTGGGCTAACTGAGGTGCGCTCCAGCGAGAAAGGAGATACTGCCGATGACCGTTCACCGAGAGCCCCTAGTATCTCTGCTCCAGGCCCTGGGACATTTCCGCCGCGAACACCTGCTGTCTATCACACCACAGATGGTACGCCGTCGTCCAACTACACCGAGTCGCAAGCCCGAAAGGAGGAGGTTGACAGTGGCACCTATCTCAACCTAGTGATGAAACCAAAGTTTACGAGGGCTCCCATTACAGATGCCGGCAGAGTCGCATATCTCGGAGAATCTTCTAACCTGACACTACTTGTTCACGATCGCCAAGGCTCGTCGGATGTCGTCCACTATCCTTTGCCCGAAAACGTCAGGGGATCGAGAGCCCGCCTAACCGAGCTGGACAACGTCGAAATCGACATTCTGCACCAGCGCGGCGCCTTTCTTCTACCACCGAGGTCACTATGCGACGAACTCATCGATTCGTACTTCAAATGGATTCATCCCATCGTTCCCGTCATCAACCGCACCCGTTTCATGCGACAATATCGCGATCCCAAAAACCCGCCCTCCCTTTTGCTGCTGCAGGCTGTGCTGCTGGCCGGTTCCCGAGTCTGCACGAACCCACAGTTGATGGACGCCAATGGTTCAACGACCCCTGCGGCTCTGACCTTCTATAAAAGAGCCAAGGCATTGTACGACGCCAACTACGAGGACGATCGAGTGACCATCGTGCAGTCACTGTTGCTGATGGGCTGGTATTGGGAAGGGCCGGAAGATGTCACCAAGAACGTGTTCTACTGGAGCCGAGTCGCTACCATCGTCGCTCAGGGTTCTGGTATGCATAGAAGCGTTGAACAATCGCAGCTCAGTCGCTCCGACAAGAGGCTTTGGAAGAGAATCTGGTGGACTCTGTTCACGCGAGATAGGTCCGTTGCCGTAGCTCTTGGCCGGCCGGTACACATCAACCTCGACGACTCGGATGTCGAAATGCTTACCGAGGATGACTTCATCGAGGATGACGGCGACCGCAACAGCGAGTACCCTCCAGATCCGATACACGTTCAGTTTTTCATGCAATATGTCAAACTCTGCGAGATCATGGGCTTGGTGCTCTCTCAACAGTACTCGGTGGCCTCGAAAGGCCGACAGCGCAACGCGATTGATTTGACGCATAGCGATATGGCTCTGGCAGACTGGCTACAAAACTGTCCCAAGATTGTGTACTGGGAGGTTGCTCGGCATCACTTTTGGTCTGCCTTGCTTCACTCCAACTACTACACAACCTTGTGTCTTTTACACAGGGCGCACATGCCGCCCAACGGCGGAAGCAGGTTCCCTGACGATTCTCCATACCCATCGCGGAACATTGCGTTCCAGGCAGCAGCTATGATCACCTCCATCATAGAGAACCTGGCGGCCCACGGCGAACTGCGATTCTGCCCTGCATTTGTGGTGTACAGCTTGTTCTCTGCTCTAATCATGCATGTGTATCAAATGCGGTCGCCTGTGCCGTCTATCCAACAGGTGACCCAGGACAGATTGCGGACTTGTATGCAGGCCCTCAAGGAAGTTTCGCGGGTGTGGCTGGTGGGGAAGATGGTGTACACCTTGTTTGAGTCCATCATAGGAAACAAGGTCCTCGAGGAGCGTTTGCAAAAAGCCGCAGGCAAGCGACACAGGAAAGCGCAACAGGCCATGGCGCAGTTGGAGCAGCATTCGCGTCCTCAGGATGTGGCTAAGAGGAAGTACGATGACATGGCGATCGATTTTAGCGTCAACACTCCCACGCCTCAGGAGTCGTACGAACGGTCTCGTCCTCAGACGCCCAGCCACATGAAGGGCGATGGTAACCCCCAACCCATGCCGCCGCCGGTAACCTCTCCTAACCCCAGGCAACACGATACATTCATGGGCGGAACATCTTCGCGGCCGCAGACCAGACCTGCAACCCCGTTCAACCCTTCTTTCTCAGTTCCCGCTACGCCACCAGATTTATACCTGGTAACCCGTAACTCGCCGAACATATCTCAGTCTCTGTGGGAGAATTTCCAGCCCGACCAGTTGTTCCCTGATAGTGCCAGCATGCCGGCCTTCCCCCACATGTCGCCTCCACCCGCAAACCAACCAGGCCTCGACGCAGGCCTCATGGCGCACTTGCAAAATCCCAATATGCAGAGTGGACTGCCAGCCCAGAACACTTCATTCCAGCAAAGGGGCCCAGCAAGACGGGTTTAAGTGGAAGCCCTCTCCAAGGTCACAACGTCATTCAATCAGGCATGCAAGGCTTCCAGCAGCAGCAACAGCAGCAGCAGCAACAACAACAACAACAACAACAACAACAACAACAACAGCAACAGCCGCAGACGCAAGGACAAGGGCAGAACTCCAACACCAACAACAGTCTTAACAGCAATCTGTGGACTGCCAACTTTGATGGATTGATGCCTGACGGACAGAGTCCGAGTGATAGCTGGAGTACAGGGTCTGCTCAGGGGCAGCCTGTACCAAACACTTTGAATGTTGAAGACTGGTGAGTGAACATGACGCTCGCAAACCTACTCACTAAACTGACGACGGTCGACAGGTTCCAATTTTTCGGCATCAACAATGGCGACTTGGCAAGCATGAATCTTGACCTGGGGCTCGGCCCTCAGTGAAGATGGCTCAAATGCGCTCTATGTACATTCTCCGCTTCATTCCCACGGCACATGTAGCCAAGCTTCGTCCAAGGCGTGTCCATAGCTGCAAAGGAAGATAGAGGATGTGTAAATGAACAGTGTTCGAGATGTGTAGCGAGAGGCTTTATCTTTTGTTTCATCTTGTGCTTTGCTGAGAAGCGCCACACACATTCTCACCGACAACTGATTAATCGCAGTTGGCCCGACATCTTTGCCACGAAAATTGTGATAAAAAGGCGGTGGTGCAATGTCCAAGATTCGTTCTAATCGAAGAAACAGGCCAACTTCTTCCAGGGGCTCCTCGCTCCGCAACCCCTTTCCCTCTCCCCTGCCCGTTCACCACCTACACCCCCATCGATTCATTCCCTAGCTTCATACCTAGACCGCAAAACGTTGAAGAACAAATACATAGTTCCCATGTCTAATGTTTATGAAAAAGAGATTGGTAAATAAAGGTGGGAGGCAGTCGTCGGTCAAGGGCAGGTTGGGCGACCATCCCAAGTGGAAGCCGTGGCAGACTGACAAGCCACCCACCCTTGCCGTAAAACCCCCTTCTATGCCCGCTAACGCCTTTGCAAATGCTCAATCACACGGCACGAATTCGAATGTTGCCTTCCCTCGTCACCCCTTGCACCTCATGGGCGTTTCCGTCTTTGCTTTAGATAATGGTACGCGTCCTTGTTGACACCTTGAGGGCGTGGTAGCTGTGCATCTCGAGATTGCCAAAACAGCACCGGCATCTCGAGTCTAATCAGACTTCTTACCCTTGGCAGCCGCTCCCATATTGCTTGAGCCTCGCCCTCTGACAGACCCTTTCCCGTCACTCCTGCTCGTGGAGCCGACCGTCATCGGGGGGGCCTCCAGTAAGCCTGAACTTGTCACCCCGCCGCCAACCGGCATAGGCAGTCTTCCGTCGTCACTGTTGGTATCCGTCAGTTCGATGAGATCGAGATCGTCCGGGTGGCGGCCCCGGGTCCCTAAAATCGGCGTGCCAGGGGATTTGGTGAAGGCGCCGCGCAACCACGTTTCTACCGTCGCCGCAGCACGGTCAAGACCCGAGCCTTGACGGGAACTCGCCGAGAGATCCTGGCCCTCATCGAAGGGGCTTTCGACGATCCCGCCGCTAGACCCTGGCCTAAACCCAAAATTGGCGGTTTCGGAGCCCATGACAGAAATGGACGGCAGGGATTCGTCGATGGCGATCCCAGGGAGATGCTTCTTCGCCCACGAGTTCAAGTAATCCTTTTCCGGGCCAGGAGCCCGCACGCTTCGACTTAGGGAACCAACGCCGCCAGGCCTCCTCATCCATGCTGGCCGTGTGTCCCCCGCATCGCTGTTCATCCTGCTTCTGGATGACGCAGGTGTAGACAGCCCCGGAGTGCTGGGTAGGTTCGGCCTGTTGCTGAGGTTGCTTTGACGTCGAGAAGATGGCCTGCCTACTTGTTCGGGGCTTTCCGTGAACCCGGCTGCTATCGCTGCAGTATCAAGAGAGTGCCTCGGTGTCGACATGGTCGAAGTGCTTCGGAGGCTCTTCTTCCGTCGTGGCGGGAAATACCCTATTGTTTTCTTGGAAACACGGGCGATCTCAACTGGGTTCGGAACCGAGTCCAGAGCAACCCACCGAACGTGAGTCCATGGCGGCTCCTCCTGCTCCTCCTTTTTGGATAGCTCGGATGCTGAGCCATTCGTGGCCGGCAAGCTGAAGAAATCAACTTGCTGCGGTTGAGCGGAAGTAAGCCCACCCCGCCCATGCGCGCTTCTCGGCTCCGGTGTTGGAGCCAGCAAGTCGACAGCTTGCCCCTCATATGAAGGCGGCTCGCATGGGCGGCCTTTGATCTCGCATGCGTCGACCGGTATGGCTAGCCATTTTCGCACTTGGATATCCCTAGACCACAAGCCATTGGCCTTTCTGAATGCGTCCTCGCGGCACCTGTATTTGAGCACTATGCCGGCATAGGTGTCAGTTGGTTGCACGTGGTGGATATACACCAGTTGATCTTGAATTTCCTCCTCTTGCGGCATGTCTCTGGCAACCTCGTCCGAGTTCCTCCTCTTGTACCTGCCCGCCACGTCAAGACCCCCATTGACGCCCTCGTGGCTCTCCAGGACGCTCGCCGTCCGGGCTGCTTTGAGGGCAGCGTCTCTCTCCGCGAGAGAACCTGCCGCTATGTCTCGATGATCAGGCCGAGAATTCGATGGAGGTGCAGGACCCCAATCCTTTGGAGCCTTCCGTGGCGGCGTAGAATAGTCCCGTTTAAGAGAATTGAACCCCGTCCGTCTCCCTTCCCTGTGATCTGACTCGTAGCCTGCATCGTGGACACTTCCACCAGACAAGATGGAAGACGCCAGCCCTTGAATCGAGGCCCAGCCCTGGGACCACGTCGTATCCAAAAAACTAGCAGTACTAGGTGCGGTATTGTTTCGTCGGTTGCTGGCAGGTGCATCTCGAGCATTGGGCTTAGTAGATGTGCCCCTGGACAGGTGGCCGGAAGGCATAGGGCTGGGCTCGCGGCTAGATGGGGTACGCAGGGCATTTAAGGAAGCAGAAAGCCTCTCTATAGGCCCGCTGGTCGAGGAAGAATCGTCCATAGTGCTGATGAGGCGTCGGTTGCGCGGGCGGGCTTCGGCATCATGGCGTGCGGGCATGAGGGACGATGAAGACATATGGGATGCCGACCCGACCGGGTTCAGGGAGTTTGCCATGATGGAGCAAGGCCGCCCACCTCGTCGGATAGGTGGCAGGCAGTTGAAAGGGAGGGCATCAGCGCGCAGCTTGGGACATGAACGACGTTCGATCGCAAGAAGAGGGAGGTGATTCGGAAACGCGGCGTCGTGGGCGGCTTTGGATAAGAGAAAGCGACGAGGGGGAGGGCCGGTGTGGATTAGGTTCACAGGAGATGTCGGGAAGTATGCAGATTCGCCCTCGAGACGGTTCGAAAGGAGGGTACGTAAGGGAGGCGGGGAATTGCAATCGGTCGTTGAGTAAGAGGAACGAATGGATGAGGCGAGATAGTAGGATGGCTGAAGCTGAACAACAGTGCGTGATCGGGACTGTCCGTGGTTCGTAGTACCTCTTCTTTAGCGTATGTCGCTGCAAAGTAGAGAGAGCAAGCAGCAGCGAAGCTGTAATGGCAGCGGGAAAGTGGATGTGGATTGGACTGGACTGGACTGGGTTAAACTGTCCTCCACTGATTAGGCGGGCGGGACTTGGACTTGGACTTGGACTTAGGACTGATTTGCTGGAAGGGCGAAGGGTCAAGGGGACGGGGACCCTTGGTTGAGACGACGTAACCAGCGCCGCGAACAGCCCTGCCCATTCCCACCCCCTTCCCTGTCGCCGTGAATGATGATTAGCGGCCCTTCCGTGGGGACGGAACAGGTGGCTTTCCTGCAATCCTCTCAATTCGCTTGAGGCCTGGGCCGTTTTAGGACCCGAGTTAGCGGCCCTCTCACTCCAGTGTCTTCCAGGCGCACTGGAGAAATGCCCCCGCCCAGGCAAGCAAGGTGGGGGTTGTTTTTCAACAGCACCATACATAGTGCTTAAGCCACTGGCGGGCATGTATGTACACCTGCAGCTGTCCTGCCCGTGAGAGGTACCTTAGTTCCGACTCTGCGCCCGGCATGCAGCGACCCCACCTGGGTTCGTTACTGGCTGCGAGTGCGAGGTCGCGCTTCGGCAGCTTCCAACCTAGAGCTTGGGCGACAAGGCTACACTGATTGAACTCGGCATTTGCGCAGCATACAGCTTTCTATACGACTCAACACACCACGACAATGCCACGTGCTGCGACCGCTTTGTTTCTCGGTCGATTCTAGTCGGATTGCATTCAGTGTCGACCAGCGTTACCAAGTTCGCGTATGCTGCCGCAGCGCTTCGGCTCTGACTTCAGCACGCGATGCCCATTTGCATCGAGTGCCGGCACCCGGTCAAGACACTATGGACCAAATACTCGAACGCTGATGACAAGTCCAGCGGACACAACATACGCTTGACCGTCTGCAGAAACTGTGGTCACTTTTGCGACAAATACGTTGAGCACGATTTCGTCGTGCTCTTCATTGACCTGGTTCTGATCAAACCCCAGGTCTACCGTCACCTGCTTCACAATACCCTAATGAAGGACGATGACCGGTTCGATGTAAGGCGATTGGCGTGTTGACTACTTGATGTTCAACAGTTGCTGACATGGTCCATGATAGTCATCCATTGTGCGACTTGGCGTTCTGCTGCTGCTGTTCGACGTGTACTTGACATGGGCCCGTATCGAGAAGCAAACAGTTCCTAAATCCGCCCAAGACGAGGGCGCCAGTTTAGGTAGCCTGACCCAACAGTCCATTGTGTCGCAATACCTCTTCTTTTGTAAGTTTGTAACAATAAAGAAATTGAAAACACCACAGGGGCATTGCGGAAGCATAAGCTAACATGTCACCAGTAATCCTCTGTGCTCTGTCTACCCTCGCCTTCCACATGAGTATCCGTTTCATGACCTCGTCTGTCTTTTCTCCGTTAGGCATGCTCAACATCCTGCCTCGATACTCGCGTCCCAACTCCGTCTCGACCGCGCTACTCGTCTCATCCTCGACCAAGCTCTTCCCGATCCTCATGGTTATATGGCAGTATGATGTCCCAGCCGCAGCGCGATCGCTTGGCTGGGCCGTGGTAGCGAACAATGTCGAGGCACTTCGTATTCTGTTGGACTGTGGCTACGGGGTCGCTACCTTGCTGGCCACGACGGGAGCTCTGGCGCGCTGGGCTGTAGGACGCAGCGTTCTGTGGGCTGCTGGGCTAGATGGCGTCGATTCCATTGGTGAGACGAGCATTGCTGCAGACGGTAAGGCCCTCTGGGCTCTGTTGATGTACGTGAGGGGATGGGCGAGCGACTTGGCCGCCGGGTAACAGGGCGTCTACTACCAAAGAAATCATATAGAACGTGGCAAATAGTGTAGAACTCAGCATTGCCTAAATTGATGTTGCCTAAATACTTGCTTCGCCGGCTCGAGTGCGCATACGATCGAGCACCGGCCCAAGCCGCGAGTCTCGCTAGCGCCATCAGTTATCGTCATCTGGCCTGGAAAACCCGTGGCAACACCCTCGACGGCCGGCAGCAAGCCTCTATGACAGAATCCCCGCAAGTCCCTAACGCCGTCCATATGAGGTTGTAGTTGTGTAAAGTCGGTAATAGTACATCGGTATCCCATCGCGGTCCTTCGGCCGCCATCGCCTCGAGGTATTCATCAGTGGTGCACGGCGCTTTCTCGAAGGTTGCTGCGTTTGGGCTCGATCAAAGGGTGGAGTTGGGCGAGGAACGTGATAGCCCACATGAGGTAGCAGCATGCGAGGGCCAGGAGGAGGGACGACCTCCAGATGCTGGCATTGGCGTTAGCAGTGCCACATAGAAATGTGAGGCCCGATTGGGCTCTATCGTGACTTGTATCCCACGGGATAGAACCTACATCTGAGTATCGCCCTTGGGCGACAAGAACCATGCGCCAGCGCCCATCACCACAACGACGACGAGGCCGATGAAGATGCTGTACCTATTGTCCCTCGCGTCAGCATTCCGCCCGTCGAACAGGTGGATACGGGGTAGACGAACCCTTGCGCCATTTCGATGTTCGATTCCAAGATGTGGTTTTACGTTGGGGTGTGCAAGTGTACCGAGCTTCGCGATGGTGCTGTCGTGCCGCTTTGTCGTTTACTCCTGTCGTCGGCAGGAAGGCTGAGAGGTTGGATGTCGACAGTGGGTGCAGCTGTCGATACAGTGCCAAGGACAGTGTGGCTGACGCAAGGCCCAAGAGGACGAACGTCAATGCTTGCTTAGTCATGCACAGCCCCACGCGCTCTGTCATCGCTTGGTGTTCCTGCCTTCACATTCTCCGTCTCGAATACAGAAACGCGCGCACTTGTCAAGCAGAAGTCAGGCACAACATCTTGGTTTACCCGTACTTTTGAGTCCCCTCTGTTCGTCGAGTGTATCTCACTGCTATCCCAGTTGGTGCACGGACGAACAGAAAAGTCGATGGGGCAGACTGAACTCTCGGGGACGAAGGGAATTGTGTCAGGCAGATGAAGGCGAAGGGAAAGACGAGGAGTTATTCCTGCTTTACCCTATTCCGCCCGGATGTCCTACAATTTTGAGAACTCGGCTGAGTTGTTCTACATCGCAAATCTATTCAAGAGTCATTTTCAAATTTGAGACCAGCTTCCTTTCTCACGGCGCCATAAATGCCAGCCATGTCACCAGACGGTCCTGCGTGCTCCTTTACAATCTGGAGGTGTTTGTCGGCGGTTTCAATGTTAGGCAGGCGCGTGCCAGCAGCTTTGGCGATGGCAATGGCATGACCTGCATCCTTCCGCGCCAGATCAACCGCGAATAGCGGCTCTTTTCTCTTATAGTAGTCACCCTCCAACATGCGTACCGAATACGCAGGGTACGGACTCCCACCGAAGAGAGCATCAACAAACTGCTTGACGTAGCCAGTTCCAAGCCCGCTCTTCTCGGCAGCCACATATGTTTCTGCCAATTGCTCGACCATGCCCAGTATGACAGTGTTTCCCAGCACCTTCAACGTCGAGGCCTTGTGGTACGGCTCATCGGCCATGTTGATCTCGCGAGCTGCCATGGCGTCGACATATGGCCGGATCTTCTCAATTGAAGCCTTAGGGCCTGCCAGCACCAAGGTCGCGTTACCAGCAGCCACCATGGCAGGCGCACCAAAGACAGGGGCACAAATGAATTCAGCGCCCTTGTCCAGAACCGACTTCGCGGCGGCCTCAGTAGCACCCGGGGCAATGGTCGAGCACTCTACAAAGACTTTGCCCTTCAGGTCGTGCTCTACTGCCGTTGCGAAGACCTCCTTTACTGCCTGGTCGTTGGCGACGCACGTGAAGATGATGTCAGCTTTGGTGATGGCGTCTCCAAGCAACTGAGCGACCTCTGTCTTGCCCGCGGGCAAGCTTTGACTCAGTTCCGTCGCTCGTTTAGCGGTGCGGTTATAGATGAGGAGCGGTTGGTCCAAGTCAGACTTCTCTACCAGGTTCTTACACATACCCTACGCCAGGTAAGCTTCCGTGCCTTGAATGGTGTGGGAACTGACCAAATTAGAGGTGGGGGAGGCTCACCCTTCCAATGTTACCGAGGCCGATCCAAAGAAGCCTTGGAGCCATTGTGTAAATGTGTGATGAGTGGCAATCAGGGTCAGAGTAAAAACGTCAGAGATATGAGAAAGAGAGCAGCTTCAGCTACTCGGAACTTGGAGTTGAAGAAGGGGTGGAAAGTTGAGAGAGCACAAGAGCCAGGCATGGAAAATCCGAGTAGAAACGCTCCTTAAGACGAAGCTCAATGAGGTAAGTAACTTGGTAAGCGGCATTGACACCCGGAATACCCGTAAGGTAAGCAGCTCAGGTAAGTTTCACAGGGTGACGACAACGGCCGATGTGCTGCAAAGAGAAGCGGGGTCATCTGTGCATATCCATCGACGGCCTGTGTTAAACAACATACGGAGATACTGCAAATCCAACGAGTAGGTATGGATGGGCACGTATGGAGGGGAAACGGCAACAACAACGGCAATTACCTATACGCATAGTTGCGTATCTGCATAGTACTCCGCTTTGCATTTTTAGCGGATTGGTAGGGCCTACGTATTACACATCGCTCTCTTTCATGATCTCAGCTTCTGCACCATGAGTGCCGAGATGTCAGTTATTTCAGGCAGCCAACCTGCTGGCTGTGGCAGCTCCCGTCCTTGCAGTTGGTCTTTGGAAGCCAAGGCCGCAGACTTAGAAACCGATGCTTGCTACATAGGTCCTGTTGGTTGCGAACCCAGTCAGTGTATGTAAGTCGTTCAGAACACACCCATCAACCAACCGCAAGTAGCCGCTTAGAGACTAGTTTGCTGTTCGTCACATGTTTGAGCTGTTTTCCAGCTCGTATGCGAGCGCAACTGGAAAACGCTGTGAGGCATAAATCCTGAGTGTTTTCGAGACATTCTGTGATCACTGTCAAGTCTTGGTCTACCTTTACACTTGGCCGATAATTCGCCTCGGTGCTACGGTGATACAACACGGTCGCCGATGGCGGCCCCATGATGGGGACGTTTCTTGCCTTATCGCCTTATCAGTACGCCCTTTGGTAGGTTGGTTTGACTCACAAAGCGGAAATTCCCTGGTTCGGGGGGAACAGGGCGGGTTGCAGTTCGTGCTCTTCTTCAAGGTCCCCAGCCCGCGTCTTTCCCTTCGTCACCGTCTCCAACTTTCACCAAAGCTCATTTTTTGACAACTGATTCATCTCTGAGCTCGAGCAGATTCCAAGGCAGACTGACGGTCATCTGCATGGCCGTCTGAAGAAATGGCTGGGCTTTGACCCTTCCCCCTTCTTAAAGCGCTGCCTCCAACGGGCCGGGAACTCAAGCACCAGATTTCAACCTACTTCAACGCTCACGACTGGGTTGGGTCTCACCGCCAAAAAAAAAGATAGGAGTTGAATGAGTCTTGGCTGGCTCCCCATCGCATTGGCGGCTACGCTCTACTTACACCAGATTGAGTTGTACCGTCATTTAAGGACGAACGACTGTTTTGGTATGCTCTGTAGTTTTCCACTGCTGTGGGTAAGATGCGGGCTCCTGCATTGAAACAAGCGAGCAACCTGGTTGCGAGGGTATGTGTTGCATCTTCTACCGTTACGATATCCTCTAGAGTCGCAGCAAATGAGCTTACGCAACTCCTTCCAGGCACCGTTTGCTCTCGACTCATGTAGTCCTCCTGATTGCAGACTTTACCACCGCCCGCGGTTAGGAGGCACGCGCCAAGAAGAAGCCTTGCAAAATGCACTCTCGGCAGTCCGCCACTCTTCGAGCTCCAAAGCCCGGGAGAAAAAACGAGCAGAAGACAGGGTAATCATCCATTCTGACAAGTTTCTGCTACCTACTTCTAACTCCACCTTTAGGACTTCATTGTATCCGTTCTAGAGGCATCAGCTACCCGTCGTGATGCCAAGGGATATCTTCAGAAATACGCCCCTCAGTCGGGTGAAGGCGCGCCCAAGAACCGCAAGGCAAACGAGCTGCAAGAACCACCTGACCAGACTTATTCGTCCATCCGGGTTGTCAATCAGGCGCCAAAGTTCATCCAGGGTAGTGATACCAAGACCGAGACTACCGTTCCCCTTGATGAGCCCATCAACTTGGCCATTGTCAAAATACGCCTTCCGCAGGAGATTGACGACGAAATGCTGAGTGCCATGGCCAAGACTTTGACCCAGCTCAGAAAACTCGGTCTTGTGAGTCTCATTGTTCTGGATGGAGGGTCAGCCTCGAACCGAAAGCTCCTCCGTGAACAATCATGGCGGGTTCAGCAAGCCGTCGAGGTCTTTGGCGAACCGGGCTGCATTTTGCTTGACCAATGCGTTGCCGAGGCTCAGTCACAGACGCCTCAAACCCAGGGCTTTATGCCGTCTGGCGTTTACGTCCAGCACCCACATATTTTGCTACGAGCTCTACGGGATAACGCTATCGTAGTCGTGCCTCCAGTCACTATGGCGCACGATATGAAGAGCATTGACGTGGTTGATGCTGATGAAACTATTATAGCGCTTACCAAATACTTTTGCGGGCTTCAGCCCAATGCTTCTGAGCACGCAATGGGGTCGCCAGACTCTAGTCACAGTCCAGGCGCCTGGGTTGCCTCGGTTGAGAAGGTCATCATTCTGGACCCAGTCGGAGGCACGCCTCTATCTGACGCGCACGATGACTCTTGCCATCGATACATCAATCTCGAGCAGGAATTCGAAGGCATTATGTATGGGCTTACACATCCTTCGGGGTCGGAGGCGGCACGAGACAAAGTTCCGGAAGATGCACGGCGGATCCATGCCCGCAACCTTGACTTGTCGAGGAAGGTGCTTGCCATGCTGCCATCGACGTCTTCGGCCATCATCAGCACCCCTTCTGCTGCAGCGAACAAGCCCATCCAGGAATTCACCAGGGTTACAACGCGTAACAGGCAAAACCCTTTGATCCACAACCTCCTGACGGACAAACCCGTCTTCTCGTCATCACTGCCCCTCGAGCGGGTGCGTTCAGGGAAGAAGGCCGATGCAGTATCCGGCGAAACACACGTGGCAACTTTGCTCAAACGCGGGATGCCTCTTACAGTGTACCCTGATCCTACAATTAGTGCCTGGCTGCCACCGCGTCCGGGAGGCCCACGCTTGAGGCTCACGGACACCTGCATAGACCTGCCACGACTGGTTCATCTGATCAACGATTCCTTCAACCGTGAGTTGGACGTTCAACATTATTTGGAGCGTGTCAATGAGAATCTGGCTGGCATCATAATTGCCGGAGAATACGAAGGCGGGGCGATCCTGACGTGGGAGAGGCCGTTCGGGTTGGACGAGGAGACGGCATACAAGACGGGACGCCTCGTTCCGTATCTAGACAAGTTTGCCGTCCTCAAAAGTCGACAGGGCAGCGGCGGTGTTGCTGACGTAGTTTTCAACGCCATGGTGAGGGGCTGTTTCCCAGAGGGTGTCTGTTGGCGTAGTCGACAAGATAACCCCGTCAACAAGTGGTATTTCGAAAGGTCATTGGGAACGTGGAAGCTGAAGGACACCAACTGGACAATGTTCTGGACAACTCCTTATCTGCCACTAAGCGATCCGAAGTTGCTGGATTACGAGGATGTTTGCCGCAACATTGAGCCATCGTGGGCAGATTCAAGGCCACCAGACTAAGACAGGTGTAGACGAGAACTTCCGCGTTCTGTTATTTAAGCAACGCCCAGGTCAATAGGACTGGGAAGAAGACAACTAAAGAGAAATTGATGTCTGGTTTTACGAGCATAGTGGATGGTTACGACTGAGGGGAGCGGAACAAGTGACCAAGATGCACCCATACACCTAATGCTGTAGGGGTGGATTGTGTTGCTCCCACTTGGCTGTTTTGGGACTTGTTGTGAGAGCCACAGTCTTGCTTGGATATGAATCGCATCCCCAGAATGATGATCAGCGTTTGAAAATGGGCAGGAGGAGCAGAACTGTTTGTCGCGTGGTGGATTGTGCATGCACAACTTCGAATTGCACTACAAGTAACGGGGGGTGGGAATGGAGGGAGTACCTAGTGTACCTTAGGTACTTGGCTTGGTTTCTCCACACATCACGTGCCTTGTGCACCATTCCAGTGTTCCCGGTGCTGGCTTGGCTGGTCCAGCTGCCCCTGGATAGCTTGTGACAGCATACTGAACGTTGCTGTGCAGCCAATTTAAGATACTGGATACTTGTCTACCTTGCTCTAGCTGATCGCAGGTACGATACGAAGCAGAACTTCCGCATCTACAACCCACCACCATCCTCTCAACAGGCACGTCTCAGGTGCCGACTTTCCGCTGCGATCGATTCGCATTGCTTTACATCTTCAGACTTCGTCCAGGACTGTCGCAAAGATGGATTTCAAGAACTTTGGCAAGAACATTACGTATGTCGTGTCGCTGTGTACCCTTTGAATGGGCTATCTCGAGGGGTGCTTTCAGGCTGACGAATAACCCTCAACCACAGTTCCTTCGGGGCCTCCATTACCCCCTTCGCCTCTCGTACCTTTCAGTACACCAAGGAGCAGCTCGGTCAAGCCGAGGACAAGGTACGGCACCTCTGACGCCAATCGATTACCAGTTCCTTGACGAAAGAAGCTAACCGTTATGATCTGAACAGACCCAGCTCCCTCCCGACTACATCGACCTCGAGAAGCGAGTTGATGCTCTCAAGCAGGTCCATCAGAAGATGTTGGCTGTGACGTGGGTTTCTCCCAGCGACTACCCCAAAACCAATAATCCATCACTAACACCAATACGTGAAGCTCACAATATTCGAACGAGGCCTATGATTACCCTCCCAACATCAAGGAGACCTTCCAGGATCTCGGTCGCACCGTCAGCGAGAAGGTCACTCTCCTTTCTTCCGCCGCCTCTCCCGCTGAGGCCCAGGCCGCCCTGACTGCCCCTCCCACCGCGAAGCCCCAGCCCAAGACCTTCAACCATGCCATCGCCAGAGCCAGTCTGTCTAGCAGCCAGGTGTTGCACCAGCAGCACACTGGTGCAGGAGAGGACCCCTTGGCTACGGCCCTCGAGAAGTATGCCTTGGCCATGGAGCGCGTCGGCGAGGCCCGCATGGCCCAGGATGCCCAGATCCAGAGCCGGTTCCTTGCTGGCTGGAACACCACCCTAAACACCAACCTCAAGTTCGCTACTCGTGCCCGCCAAAACGTCGAGAAGTCGCGCTTGACCCTTGATGCCGTCAAGGCCCGCGCCCACGGTACCACCTGGAAGATTGGCCCCGGTTCTCCCCGTCCGGACGAGCCTCAGTCTCAGGAGCTGAGCCCCGAGGCGCAGGAAGAGATCGAGAAGGCCGAGGACGAGTTCGTCACGCAGACTGAGGAGGCTGTCGGCGTCATGAAGAACGTATGTGGACATAGTCTCCTAGTTCGCATCGTAATCGCTGCTAACATACAAGACAGGTCCTTGATACCCCTGAGCCCCTTCGCAACCTTGCCGACCTGATTGCTGCTCAGATCGAGTACCACAAGAGGGCTTACGAGATCCTGAGCGAGCTTGCTCCCGTTGTGGATGGTCTGCAGGTTGAGCAAGAGGTTAGTCGCGCCTCGACCTTCGATGTTTAACAAGCCCCGTCCTTGCTGACGCCGTCATTTCAGGCCAGCTACCGCAAGAGCCGTGAGAACGCTTCTTAAGCAACTCCATTGAGTGTCACGTTCTTCAAAATCACCACCACTGTGCTGGCAGCTTCTTCACGCCTAGATCCGTTTGATGTCTTGAAGCGTCGAACTTCGGTAACTAGAGTACTTTGAAGGTTGGAGGAAAGGTTATTTCTTGAGTTGCCGCCAATCTGGCGGGACCGCCTCTACTACACACCATTTCCCCCACATAGAACGGCCCTTCATCGTTCTGTGTAGCGTTTGGTGGCTGCTAGGAACACTTCGCATCTCCGCCCGACGACTGGAAAGCAGGGATGAAGGCGCCTTGGTTCACGTCCATTCATGTTTCTTTCCACGACCTACGAATATATAGCTCTTTTCGTGTCTTGCGAGGTCCAAATGATGTTACATTCGGTGATTGGATATCCAATTGCATAACTTCCGAATGGGTATACATCGCCTGACCTGATTCAGTGAAAGTGAGGCGGCTTGATCACGTTGAAGCAGCGCTCCGATCTTAGTGGTGCACACTTGCAAAGGCTAAGTATAAAAGTTCTTTGATTTCTAAGAGCGGCCACGAGCCGCCCTAATACTTTTTCATACCAGTCGTTCAGTGGCTGGCGTTTGACAGCGGGAACCTACCTAGTCATCGCGTGTCTACCTGTATTCTGTTAATTTCTGCGTCATGGCGCTGGGTCACGTGACTTGAACACGCTGACTTATGTAAGGAAATCTACTGGTCAATGAAATCAAAGCGACCGTTGCCATTGCGAGCGCAGCTCCCGACCTCACGCTCCACAGCTCAATCCCCCCAACGCCGTTACCCGAATTCGAGCCAATTGATACCGCAATCATGCGAAGGACATTTCGCCTGCTCGCGGGCGTCAAGCCTGCTCGTTATCTCGAAGCCGGCACCCCGACAGGCCTCACCGGCCTCTGGACGCACAACAGTCCCCGGTCGACGCTGCTGTACCTGTACGGCACTACCCTCGAGAAGCTCAAGACAGTCCCGAGTCCTCTCTATACCGCCAATCTGTCGAAGCCCTTACGAAGCACCGCCTCGGACTCGTCGAAGCCACGGTACCCCCTGGATACGCCGAGTGGGAGAAGAAGGCCGAGCAGATTATGAAGGAGAAGCCCGAACAGTTCCGCCTCGTTAGCGGCCGCGTCGACGGCAGCGGTGCCCGGACAGTGAAACTGGGCAACCGAACGTTCGTCGTTGCTACTCAGCACGACGCCAAGGACGTCCGCGTCGAGGAGTGGGATGGCGAGAAGGACGAGGGCGGCACTCTCGAGGGTCCGCGCACCGAGGCTGAGCGAAAGGACCACCAGCTGCTCGCCGACCGCAAGGATCTGAACGACATCGCCAAGGTCCAGTGGGAGTCTGAGCCGCAGTTGACGGCCGACCAGTATGTTTACGGATCTACCAGTGGGGAACGGGGCTCAATGGCATGGCATGCATACTAACCGGTTTTGCGCGCCCATAGGATTTCCGAACTGGAGAACAAGATTGGAGCTGGCCTCATCGAGGAGGTTATCCAGGTCGCCGAGAGCGAGCTGAAGCTCGTGGACGTGATGACGCAGGCCAAGGTGTACGTTTCTACCCTTTTTCTCAGCCCCCTAGGCCCCGCGCGTACTAACAGTTTCTGAACAGATGGGAGGACTTGGAGGAGAAGCCCGTCGAAGGCCAATGGACCTACTTTGAACGCAACTCTGCGTAAGCTGGGCCACCTACTGCAGAAAAGTAGTCTGCGCGTTATAGACAGTGTATATTAGGCGACTGTGATGACCAAGACACATTGAGCTGTTGCTTCTCCGCGTTGGCTGTTGAGTTGTTGAGTGTGTGCGGGTTATATATCCCTTGTAGTTGACGTGGCTCTATATTTAACACGAGCGCGCGAAAGGGACGCGCTCTCAAAACCTTTCGTGACTATTTCCGCTCGTCTTCTGACATAAGGAGACATAGACTGCACCATTATCTCTCGCAATAGTAAGACTTGGCTTACACGAAAACTATATCGCGAGACAACATGTCACCATAGAGGCCTCTTAATATTGAAAAGCGGTCGACTTCTTTGTCGGGTAACATAAAAGCGTGCACGCCTAACGCTGGGTGACCTCACCCGCCCGCCTCTTGGGGAGCACGGTAGAATAAACCTTGAATGAAGTTACCTTGAGCAAGAAAAAGGATTAGAGAGACGCCTGGGATAAGTTCCACGCTATTGACCCAAGGACCAAACGTACCAAGTATTCCCGAGCAGTTTAATAATAGCAGGCCTCAAAAGTAGTTGGGCAGTCAAAGTAGCCGTGCAACTTGACCAAAGCAGACCGAGGCAGAGAGGGTCCCACTTCGTTTTTCACCGAATCCTTACCCACTGCGTCTCACACCTTACAGCTTACACCGACGACCCAGACTCACTTCTAGTTCGCGCGCGAAACACAACAGAACAACGCACGATATCCCACTGTTACAGTTCGTATCTCGTCATACAATCAGTATTAACACCCCATTGAAATTTCTTCATCGTCATCGCTTCCGGTTGTGAACGGTGGAAGGCGACCATGAGCCGACCAGCTTCTAGCCGCAAGAGGTCTGCCTCAGCCATGTCCATGGGCGACAGCCAAGACACTCACTACGGGTCCCAACTTCCCAGCGACTCCATCAACCCTCTCAGCCACACGCCCTCCGTTCTGCGCCAGCTCCGCCTTGCCGGTCTGGCGGAGACGGACCAGCCTCCCTCGCGGATGCAGCCCAGGTTCCCGCACCGCGCGTGGCAGGACCCGGATGCGCCGAGCCGACGGGGACCCATCGCCACTGCCAAAGACCTGGAAAGCAGCGACGTGAACGAAGATGGCGGTCAGGATGAGGGGGAAGACTCGGACGATGATGATGGAAAGCGGAGAAGGAGGAAGAGGGATGGGGAACCCAAGGCCAAGTACGCCTCCGAGAAGTCGCCGTTCCGGCCCTTGGTCCGCGCCATCTACGGGTTCCTCGACAATGGTGACGTGTCAAACGCCAAGCGCGCCTTTGGCATTCTCGTGAGGTCCCACGTCCACGGGAAGCCGGTCGACATCAGGCGGAACAGCTACTGGGCCCTCGGCGCCGAGATCCTCATGCGCGAGGGCGGCGGCCCGCTCACCGACGCCGCAAACGACGGGCCAGAAGGAGGGAAAGCATACCCTGCGTCGAACGTTCCCCGTGTGCGCGAGTACTTCCAGGACCTCATTCAGCGCTACCCGTACAACTTCAAGTACCGCGGCGCCGTCTCGGCCGTCGACTTCTGGCCCGCGCTGCTGAGCTACGAGGTGTTCCAGATACACACGCAGCACGCATCGTATCTGCGGCGGTCGGAGCGCGAAGCCGAGGACTGGGAGGACGACTCTTGGCAGGAGCCCTCGTCGCTCGGCGACGGCATGATGATGGACGACGCCGACTTCAAGGCGCCCGTCTGGCAGCCTGATGCGCGGGACCGACGGCAGCGCCAGGCGAGGGACCAGATCCGCCTGCGGACGCTGGATGCGATGCGCGAGGTGGCGGGCCGCATGGACGACTTGCTCGAGGACCGGCCGTTTTCACATAACCACGAGCTGCTGCGGTTACGGGGGATGGTGTCGTTGTACATTGGTGACTTGCTCATCCCGGCATACACGGACACGGAGGGTCAGATGGCCGAGGCGAGGATACGGCGTGATGCCGAGAGGAACAACGCGCGCAGCAGCTTTCAGAGGATGGTGGAGCACGGCGGAAAGCCCGATGTGTTTATTCAGGATATGCTCGCACCCGCCGGACACGACGACGGCCCCATCTTGCCAGTTTTCTCGTCGCTTCCCATCCGAGAGTACCGCACGGCTATCTAGAAGTGGTCGTCGGCGTTTTTCTAAATGGTTGAGACGTCAAGAGCCGACAAAATAAAACCAAAAAAAAAAGCCCACGTCCCTTCGTTTTCGCCGGCAGGCACGATATGCCTCGTAGCCTTTCTCCCTCTCACCCCTCCTTTTTGGAAGGCGCCCATCTCTGCAGCACCAGAGCGAAGTTGGAGCTGCCCACAACGACACACCACTGGCCTCCCGGACTCCACGCCACCTGTCTACCCACAAACGTCGATGCGCCACAGTTCTCTATCTTATGGGGCTTTAGAGGCACTTGAGGGTTGCTCACGCTGTATTTACCGTTCCACATGTCCAGTGTCTCCTGGTTGAACTGGCCCTTCAGCTCAGGTGCCTGCTCGAGTTCTGTGCGATGGACCTTGTCCGCCGCCTTCCTCTCCCGGACGGTCAGCCCCGACTTGGCGTTGCCGGTGCTCCTGTGGGTGATGGCATTGAGCCAGTTCGGCTTCGACACAGGCTCCTCGCCGTCTCGCCTCGGCCTCCTGAGAGCGTTGACGTAGTGGTGGAAGCCGGTAATCTGCTCAAAGTCCCAGAAATAGATCTTGCCGCTGGCGTTACAGAAAGCCAAGACGGGATGTTGGTCAGGGACGAAATGCAGTTTAAACCGCATGAAGAACTGCGGGCCGCATCCGGGGGTCTGGAACTCGATCAGACGGGTGTAGGGGGCAGGGCATTCCGCCGAGACTCCTGGGTTGAAAGCAGATCGGGTAAGGTTGGCCGGATTGATGGTGGTCGGGGCCATGGACTGCGGCGGGGGCGGGTCCTGGGACGAGAAACCTTCGATCTTCCACAGGACGATGACATCGTCGTGGCAAGCTCGGGATAGGATGTAGTCACCGAAAAAGGAAACGCTAAGGGACGTAAGCTTGTTGTTGTGGCTGTTTCTTGTGTAGAACACCTACCAGTCTACGAGACTGCTGTGCACCTCAGACGTAGAAAAGTGCGGGTAGTGAACCTCGACTGGACGGTCGGTTGGCTCAGTTGGGAGGTCTGGCACCGTCCACTGCCCGTTTCGTCAGTTTTACAAGACAGCGTCCGATTGAGAGAGGGTCCTTACCAAGTTGATTATCTGATCGTGACCGGCTGAGAGGATGTAACGGCCAGTGTCATGCCAAGCCTTATCCGCTCATGTTAGCCACAGGCTCGCGGCTGTATTAAAAAGGACGATTCTGAACAGACCAGTGTGAGCAAGTTCCAATAGTGACCCTCGCCACCAAGAATACACAGGCATGGCTGTTTCTCATGCTTCGGGTCCAGACTCCATATACGGACTGTAGTGTCATCGGAACACGAGGCGATGATCAAGGGGTCGATGGGCGAGGTGACCACATCGCAAACATCCTGCCGTTTCATCAGCGCGACTCCTCTTTACGAAAATCGAGGCAAAGCTTACTCCTCCATGACCGACTAAACACTAGGTGAGATGTGAGCAAAACGTCCAGCGGGGGATTGTGTGGTTTTCCACACCTACGTTAACAAGCTTGTTCTCAACGATGTCGTAAATCTTGATCTTGGCATCCTCGCCGCCATAGCACAGGAGTGGCCTTCCCGTCTCTGCATCTCTAGTCCAAGTGCAGTAATAGTTTCTAGCCTCGGTCTGCACTTGAGTCAGTCATCAAGGGCCGTATGGGCAGATGGTTACTGTGGGTAACGTACATCGTCATCCCGAATTATGCTGATTATCTCGCAAGGATTAGAGTCATCTGCGGTTGCCGTCAAACGGCAAACAACTATCTAACGACAAGAATGAGTTTACGTCTGGGCCGAAGAGGGGCCCGGTGGTAAGCGGCGTTTTGGGAGAGACTTACATGCTTTTTGCTGACAGCAGCAAAAACGGAGCTCGCATCTAGTGGCTGATAGGGACAGAATTTGACGTCGAAGAACTCTAAGCAAAAGTGCATTAGATTCGGTCTGAACCAGTGGAGTATTGACCGTCGAGCTTACCAGGCACGGGGTCATCTTGAGCGAGGTATCTGGTGTCATCCTGTAGACAATGTTAGCAGGAGACAAGTGGAATTACGCCAAGACACGTATTGCTTGTGGTTGCTGCTGGATTCATGCATTTGTGCGTCTTTTACCGACATTCATCCAGCTGGAGGGAGGTTCATGGAGAGGTGGGATAACAGTAATAGGAGGGGCCTCGGCCACCATGGATTGGCGTAGCTTGACACACACGTACCTCAAGATGGACCGACACTCTTAGTCTTGGAAAGTCATAAGGGGTCGGGACGGAAATGGGGGCCATGGCAGAATCGAGACGGTTGAGACTGAGGTCGGAGATCGGAGGATACGATGAGTGCGACCCCGGTCCGAGTGCTGGGCCAATTGCTCTCTTTCTGCAGTGATACCACCCTTTTTTGTCTGCAAGCTAAGATTTGACAGCGGCAGGCGGAGAGGGTCCCAAGTAGTGCGCGGCGGTGGGTATGAGACAAGGAAGGAAACACAAGACGCGTTGAGATGGGATCACAGTAGCCTGAGGCGGCAGGCCGGTGAGCAAGGGCTGAGAAGGTGTAAGTGGTAGAGTCAATTGGCTGGAGCCGAAGGTTGCGGTCAGACAGTGGATGCAAGGCGGGTAACCAGACGAAGACGACTTTCCAAGATGCAGTATTGCAGACGGGGTTGAGCCAAGAGTGGCAATGGCTGAGTTGCAGTCTTAGGTAGACCAATGAGTTGCAGGTTTTTTTTTTTTTTTTCTTTTTTTAGTTGTTCCCGTCGGGGTTGGCGGGAAATGGGGTTTGCCTGGGCCGGGCCAAGTTCCATTCTGGTGGAGGAACGCTTAGCCTCCTTAGCGTCCACCTCCCTCCTGTGACCCGTTTGTTCAGTGCCTGCCTGAATCAAGGGACAGAATGGCAAATGGGGCCGGCAACGCCTGCAACGGTGCGCCAACACCAAATGGGGCCGTACGACATCAATCCCACGACGGGACCCGCCGCTTCTCCCTGAGCTACCTACACTACTTTAGCTTGCAGTATCTCCTTTGCTATGCAAGCTCGAATACACTAGAGGCAACACAACATGCAGTGTAGTTACCTCTTCGTGGATTCTTCGCAGCTTACCCGTAGTGTCACACAGACCAGACACCCCTGGAGGATATACAGGAAGCAACTCTCAAGGCAACAGCAGCCTCTGCCGGGCCCTGTGAAACCGAACGTAAACGTCCGTACGAATGTCACTGCCGGCGGGCAAGTAGCCTCGCGGCAAACAGCTTCAGCATGGGCGCCCTGGATGCTGGTCATCACAGACAGGCCCTGCTTTGGATTTCTGGAGCGGCAACGTTAACAGCGCAGCAAAGCCATAGACGGACACATTGGCACAGAAGGTTGTCCGTCTGTGTCTCTCGGCCGTCCCCTTCATTGTTGGTGGCCCTGCGCAGTTTGTCTGCTCGGCCAACGCAGTCCTGGCCAGACTGTGGACCACTATAGAGTAAACCACTGCAATATGTAGGTAGCAATCCGGATCTTCAGGGACAGTGGGTTACCTCGGAAGGCGCACCGTCCAGTGCATGTTTTTCTGCAGAACGAGGTTAACCGTGGTAGGTAGCCAAAACCCTCCCTCCTTCGATTGCATGCGCAAACCACCAACCAACCTACATGACCGGAGACATTGTCTGCAACCTTGCAAACAGGCAACATGACGCCGTCCCGAGCGGAGCCTGTAACTCCTGCCGGACAGCCCTGAGATAGTCCGTCGGGCAACCTGGCAAGGAAAGGATTGGTGATACACATGACCGACTGCACCCCCAGGCTGCATCACTTCTCACCGACGCATGAGTAACAAGACGACTCTCTCTTATCACCGCCTTCAAACTTCAACGCCAGCCCGTCCCTGCCTGCCAAATTTCAATACGACGATCCTTCCGGACCTAGCATCTTGAACACCATAACCATGGCACAAGGCGTGGGAATACGTCAGCTACGGATGTGAGAAATGACCGGATCACTAGACTCACAGACCCTCGTCGCAGCCAAATCCCCATCACGTCCAATCGTCGACTCTCGATGCCAGCAATCCATCACGGCATACCAGTATCGCCCTTCAACCGTATCCGTCTTTCGATACTTCGTTATGGCCCTGTCTGCTAATACCACGCTTCCAGCGCCTGTTCTACGCCGCATGCTCCACGCAAGCCACGCCTTGGAATGGGGCTCCGCCAACTGCCAATAATCCTGTCCCACCGCGGGTCGTCGTCCGTGAGCCGCACTCTGTGTACTGTTACAATAGTGGTCAACATGGGCTGCTGGGCATCTGCAAATTAGCCGCACGACCCCTCTGTGACCCGGGACCGCGACATCGGCGTCCACGTCTAGATGCAGTTCACTTCCACAAAGGTATGTCGAAGCGACCCTGTTCGGTCTCTTGGGCCAATCCATCTCTTCGACCCGTGAAGAGGGAAGAACAGGACCCGGCTTCTTAGATGATACGAGGCGCAAGAGTCAGGCACTTCGGACGCCTCTAATACTCCCACATCGAGAAGCTCCCGCTTATCCCGACCCGACGACGGTCGCCTTTGCCATGCCATCTAGGGCAGTGCAGCAATATGGCTTTCCAAGAGGCCTGTTCACTGTTATGGATCCACGAACATGCCGGAGTGGTACACGTCGTCCAGGCATCTATTCAAAGACTGCGGATACTCCAGATGAGTACCTCTCTAGTTAACACCCAGCATCGGACAGGGACAACGAGGTTGGAACTCTGTAATACATGAGCAAGGTGCAGCTCGGAGAGATGAGACGGGGAAACTGCGACTGCTCTTGCTTGCTCGGGGACCCTGGCAGCAGATCCCAACTGGTGAACCGGGTAACGATGTCTTCACAGCTGTCAACTGAAATCAGACATCAAGCTATGCCAAGCAGAGCGTAGCGTCGCCCCTGCGCGGATACTCAACCCACACGAACGCCATTTTAGCCTTTCTCACTCCCGTTGACGGGCAGCCTGCCTTGCAAAAACTGAGGAGAAAGAGCAAACACCAGAAATAGGAGCTTGGGTAAAGAATTGGGCTTGTCTGTCCTGCAAGGCCCGTCGGCCGTCAGTTCGAATTGGGATAAAGGGCCGCTGTCTCGCAAGCCCTACCCAAACAAGAAGGGAGCTGCCCGCTGACCCCCTGCGAGATCCCCAGACCCCAGGCCTGGTCTCGGTATCATGGACATGGGCTCTGGAAGAGGTGGGGAGCTAGGCCCTGGAGCAGCAGCCCGTTCGTCTACACTCCTTGAAATGATTATTGGATGTTCCGAATTGGAAGGATTGATGGCAGAACATTTCTCGTCTACAGCACCGCGTTTCTGGCGTGTGTATCTCCGTGACATGAAACACAATACTTAGCGACGCATCGGCAGTCCAACCCGTTAATGTCCGACGATAGTGTCGGACAAGATGCCGCAATTCAGCCGGGAGCCATCACCCCGACAATTGTCAGGCCTCGGCTTCATGAGCAACATCTCAGAACCTTGAAGTCGTCAAAAGCAATCTCTAACTTCTCGTCAGTCTAATCCGAAGAGCGGCACCAATATTGCGTCACTGAGTATCCGCATACTATGGTACGCTTCCATCCGCACCTATGCGTACGCAGGTACCGGTGGCTGTTGTCCACCATCCACGTCCGCAACGGCACACTTCGACATCCCATCTTCTCCGAACTGCGTACGCCCCACCGGCAGCTGTTGACAGACAACCGCCGCATATCTCGATGTCGATGCTCAATGCACATTGCGCGGGTGTTGTATCCGGGAGCCTATGACAAGGGTTTCATTTGAGCAAGGACATGTTGGCAAACGGCTTTGTCTCAATGCTGGTGATCTGATTGACTAGCCTTTAAGCCCTCGAGTGACAAGTGTTACAGTCGGACACACAACCGTCAGCGAATGAACTGTAGACCGACACGGCACACCACTGGTGCCCGTCACTCGTCGAGGGCGATACAAGAATGAGGGTGCCTTTGGTCAAGAGACCCAGACGAGTCCGTCAATAGCAAACTCAGAGGTCAGGTGTCATGGCCGTAGAAGTAGATGCCACTTTGAGCAATCATCTCATCTGGGCGTCCCCAGATATTTGAATCACTTTCGGGTTACTATTCGTTCCCTCAGGCCGAAGCAGCTTCAAGGGGGTATGGGAGGCAAATTGGCCTCCCCACCCTGGTAGAGTGTGTAACGTTGAATCAAGACTCATCAGGCATCGGTTGAGCATGGGCAGGATTCTCCGAAGGGACCAGCATGGACGTGATATCACTGTATTCCAGTACGAAGGTTGGTGTATTCTTTTCTTGTCTCGTCTTGTCCAGATTAGGTTACCAGCTCTTCATCTCTGTCTTTCTGGAAGCAGATTGGTCCATGATGGATCGTCATCTATCGATACGGCGTTGTGCTGCTGCACGGCCTACAGTCCCAACACGGGCCAAAAGCAAAAACCGCCGCGTATTAAGAGCAGGGAACAGGCATGGCTGCAGAGTGTCTTGCCCCGCTGTCAACGTCGATTGCACATTGGACATTGGTTGTCGTTCTCCATCAACAAGAGCGGTAGTGCACATGTAGTGTATATGTGCTTTCACATGTAGTACATGTACATCAATCATCGAGTGTGTTGGGACCTGTACACGGGCGATTTGTGCGCTATTTCGTATACTGCGTGCCCAGTCTCACCTCACAACATACCTGGTCGATGGACAAGATTCACAAGAGGTTCGGCCTTGAGTTGCGCGGGACGAGGTTCAATCAAGCACCTTGGTCGTCGAGCAGCAAGGACGATAGGGACATGAGCTAAATGGCCGAACCGTTACTAGTGAGCTTTACTGGTGCCGTATGTGTCCCGTTGCAGCATAGATTGACATGCAGGCGAAGGAGTGAGATGTCGTCTTCTGCGGAGCGTGGGAGAAAAGCTATCCCAACTGCCCATGTTTCTAATGTGTCTTAGGATCAGTATTGCTCTGCATCTGCCCCTCTGCCTGATGCGAGAAGGCGATCACGACCCTGGCTCTAAGCCCTGGCAAAGCAAAGCAAGGCAAAGCAATGTGTTAACACAGACGGCCCTGGCTGGGCAAAAGTTGGATCGGTGGACGGTTCACGGACCAGCGACAAGCCCACCTCCAGCGCGACGGATTTCAGAGACTAGACAGCTACTTTTTCTTATGTACACGCACGCTCGCAGACACACAGACACACAGACACACACACACACACACACACACACACACACACACACACACGCACCGGTTGGTTCAGCTGTCGGGGGTTAGCAGTCCAAGGTCGAAAGTCGCCGTCACAGTCGCAGGTCGGGCTTGCTGCAAGATGGAGGGGTCCCTGGGCTGCATCATCTGGGGCCCTTGTTAGCTGGGCCCTGTCAGTTCTCCTCACCAACCTTGCCCTATCCGCATCCGTTGTTCGAAGCCGCTGGCTGGGGGCCCTTGGAGCTTGGAGCTTGGAGGAGAAGGGGGAGGAGGAGGAGGAGGAGGAGGAGGGCTGCAACTGGTGGGCTGCGGTGCGGTGCGGTGCCGTCACAGACCAGTCCTGGACGTCGTCCCCGCCGCCGCCGCCGCCGCCGTCGCCTTTCGTCCTTCAACAACCCAACGAGCTGTCATAAAAAGATGCTCGTCTCCTCCGCCATTTGCGCCGCGCTGCACCCCCCGAACCCTCCTTCTTCTCATCTCAGCCGTTACTACACTATTAGGTGTTTTGTTCTTGCCATCTCTCCCACAATCCCGGACCTAACAACGGTATTTCACAGTCTAGTTGTCGTTTTACCATTACCTTGTGGAAGCGAGTCAACTCTTTTCCCTTCTTTTTGATATCCAGCCCAACCCTCGTTCAACGTCCGAGTGCCTTGCCTTTACTTCAACTACGTCAGGAATTCTGGCATTTGAACCAAAGCACTGCAACGCTCTCGTCTCCACCGAGCACTAACAAATCCCGCCGCTGTTGCCGCCAGGGGTCTCGTTTTTCAACAGACTGCGCCCTCTTCGCACCGAAAGCCTGCAAGAAAGTTCCGACAGCATATCCCAATTCCCCCAATTCCGCAGTCTGCTCTTTGTGGCCTGCAATAATCGCTCTTGGTCGCCACAGGCAGTGGAACATACCCCGGTCTGTCCTCACTCGTACTGCTCATAATTGCGTGTACGACACATATTCACCTAGGCACTGCACATAACCGCTACCCTCAGCTATTCCTAATTCCACCACGGCCTGTCACTGCCCTGGTCACTTTATCAGCACGCCATTTTTGTGAGACTGCCGGCCTTTTGCCCTCAAGGAAACAGCGCAGTCCGTGACTAACGTCAACAATCGGGCGCGTACTACAAGTATCAGTTCCTCGAAGAACGAACGTCCAGTCCAAGCCGACTTCCTCGAACGGCTGTCGTCATCGAGGAAACATCTACCAGTACGGCACCACGCAGTGCTGCGGTTCTAACAGGCTGCTTATTCAACCGCTTTCCAAAACTCTACCTGTCTAATAGCAGCTAGTCAAGCTTCCGGACAAGGCGCGGAGAAACGGGTGTGATTGCGGCTAGCCAGACAGACATATACCCCAAACCTTGTCCTTACTGCTACGAGCCCAACAGTTGTTTGCAATGGAGCAAACGTTTATGACGATTCATTCCACGGACCCCAGCGCTGCTATTCTGTTCGTGTCTGACTCAGTCTTCGACATACTGGGTTATACCCCTCAGGAGGTACAGGGGAAGTCATGCTTTGACTTCTTTCACCCCGACGAGGTGCCTTTCGCTCGTTCTGTTCACAGTCGCGGCGTCCTACTGGATAAGGCCGCCGTGCTTCACTATGTTCGCATCATGTCGCGCGACGGCCAGTGGGTGAGCTGTGAGTGCTGCTTTACTGTAGTCCATGATGTTTTGGTCGCTTGCACCAGTATCTATCGGCGTGGCGAAAAGAGCGATAGTAAGCAGGCATTCTCATCTCTTAACTCACAGGCCACTTTATGCTAACTCACAACCAGGACGAGCTGTTGAAGCCCCCCAGATCCGTCGACTTTTCTCGAGCTCTCCCCGAGACCCCCGCTACCACATGCTGGAGCATCTGTCGCCCAAATTCAGGATGCCTCCCGTCGAGCGCGAGCCTCGCGCAGCCCTTATCTTGAATAGGTTCACTCGCACCCTGACTGTCATGTTTGCAACCAATGCCGTGTCTTCCATCCTCGGTGTCCGACCAGACCAGATCAAGGACAAGAGCTTTTACGAGTGCATCCAGGAGAACTGTCTGCCGGATGCCATCCGGTGTCTCGAGAGTGCAAAGGCCAACGACTCGATTGCCTACCTAAGATTCTGGTATAGAGATCCGCGCCGGCCCGAGGACTTCGATAACGAGGATGATGAGGAACACCAGAGCGGGAACTCGAGTGATTCGGATGGTGGCGGCGTTCAACTCGACGATCAGCTTGATGGTCGAATGGACATCGACGAAGATGACACTCAGATTAAGCAAGAGGACCAGACCCGGCCAGAGATGTCACATCACAGTTCCACGACAAACACAGCGACCACGAATGCTTCGGGTTCGAGCAGTGGGACGCAGCAGACTGCGGCCTCTTCAGCTCCGTCCGTCGATGGCGCGGCAGCCCAGCCATCCGCGCCTGCTGACCGTCCGAGAAACCGTCGTCGAGAGCCGCCCGCGGCCTTTGAGCTGGAGGCTGTCGTGTCCTGCACGTCGGACGGCCTCGTTGTCGTGATCCGCAAGGCGCGTCCCCCGATTCCGGCGCCTCATGCGCCACTGGTCGTGCCAACTTATACCAACGGTCTATTCGCTGCGCCTTGGGGCCAATATCCGATTCGGCCTCAAGTCCCACAGGAAGCGCTCTACACGTTTAGGCCTCCTCTCATGCCACAGTACATGCCTCTGCGCGACAATGTGATGACGGCTGGAGGTCCACCAGTCGACCACCTCATGAACTCCATCAGAGACGTTGCTGTTTTTGCGTGGGCGCTGGTGGGAATCAATGGCAACCTCGCCACGTACACGCGAGGATTACCGCGTGATCAAGCCCAGCCTGACGGGCTACCTGTCTGGGACCCGAGCGCTGGAAGTGCCTCGTATCTCGGACCGGAGAACCAGGCAGTCCGTCGTTGGGCGAATTATGATAAGGAAAAGAATTTGGGCTCAACATCGTATCAGCAGCCATACTCTCACGGCGCGACGGCAGGATATGGCCACGCCCCCAAAGCGGCATGGGCAACTACATCTATTCACAGCCAGCGCCGCCCACCTGGCCTGGCCTACAGCCTGCTTACACGTCCGCGTTCGACCCCTTCGCCAACAACAGCCATCATCGAGACCATCAGCATCAACAGCATACGCAGTATCAGCAAAATCATGCTCACCATAACCACCACGGTCATCACCAACTATACCAACAGCAGCACCATCAACAACACCAACAGCAGCCACATGGCTTTGGGCATCAGTCAACGTTACAGGATCAATCGTGGGGCGAGACTCCACCGCCGTACAATGGCCAAAGGCATGCCAACGGATATTCTAATGGTCATTCAAACGGACACGCAAACGGGGACTCCAATGGACATTCCAACCATGGTCCAAACAACCCGGCTGGAAACCATGGGCCGTCTCAAGGCTATCGCTACCCGTGGCAGTAGTCCGAGAACCCGACAAACTGAGAGAACGATAGATGGGCGAACATTGTGAAGGCACCAGTTCTGGCGTTTGGAACGTCTCCAAATTTTGTCGACGATAGGAGCGGGCAAGGGTGCTAGATCTTGGAGAAAAACGAATATTGTCTCTTGGTAGATGGGGACAAGGTGGATGTACAGATGAGCTTGACATCCACGGGGCAGCAGATGGTGGGGGAAATGACATTAACGTCCCACGTTTTACTAGAAACAGCGGCAGGAGTAGATACCCGCGAGGCCTGTGCACTCGCAAAGGAGAAGGAGTTGGCACATGGAATCCCAACATCAGGATGCTTCGCTGGATAGGGCGTCGGAGGCGTTTTGCGTCGTCTGGGCGCTTGTAGATACACCGCACCCCAATGCAATAAAAGCGATATGCCAAGCACCATGTATCATGACGATGCGTGACTCAGGTGCTATGCGTTTTTCAATTATGTGTGTCGGTTGGGCGGCTTCTTCGCAGGAGGACTGCACAAGCACTCAGTAGCCCGGCTTCTTTCCGTGTGACGGACGGGAATCCATATGGAAAGCCGGGCGTGGAGGGGCCAGCTCGGGTGGAGCATGCAATAAGAGTGGAACTACTACAGGTAAACAACATCGTACCAGTGAGTAGTAGTCGGGAGGGCGGGCCAGTATTTTCCGGATCAAGGGAGCTTGGACCACCCTCATGCATGTTAGAGGAAACCGTGGAGTCTTTCCAGCAGGGAGTCGCAAGCTGCTACGTACGTCAATTCGACATTCTGCCCATCCCATCTCAAGGACGGAGAACTGCAGCGCCTCGAGCGATTAAGAATCCAATCGGCGACGGCAACAGACGACTAGATAACCGTCCAAGACCTATCACCCCACCAGAAACGTCGAGAATATAGGTGTGTCGACACTACGCTACAACAGTTGCGACCATGGCATCTACAAGCAGACGGGACGACTACGCCAACCCTCCCTTGCCTGACGACGACCTGATCGACCCTGACGATGGTAAGGCTCTACAGCGGTCTGCGCGCTCTTCAAGCCTCTGGAGCTAACGGTTCATCGGTGCGCAGCTGATCTTGATGATTTCGATGACCCCCTCGGCAACACATCGTCACGCCAACCGCTGACAGGCAACATCGGCTCGGGCTCCTCCTCGTCGCGGCCGCTCAACGAGAACGCCTGGACCTCTAGGATACCTGGCGAAGACCGCGCTGCCCCGCAAAACACGATTGACGAGTCGGTGTGGGACACCCTCCGCCGAGACCTGCTCGCCGTCTGGGCCAAGATGAGGGAAGTTCTGTACCCCAAGTACCTGCTTGGAGGAACTATGTTTGATGCCGACGGCATCCGAGGGGCATACGCGAACATCCGCGGGGCTGGACTTTCCGGCGCCCGCGAGGAGATAACCGGTCTGGCCAGTCGTTTCATGGATTCGGAGGCACTTCTGTCGCAGAACAACATGACACCGGGCCTGCGCGACTGGGACCTCTGGGGCCCCCTCATCTTCTGTCTGCTCCTGAGTCTTCTCCTGAGTTTCAACGCACGAGCCGATCAGAAGGATATTGTCTTCAGCGGAGTCTTTGCCATGATTTGGATCGGAGAGGCCGTTGTGACGCTGCAGATCAAGCTGTTGGGAGGCAGCATGTAAGTCATCTTCCTTCATCCCAAGAGTGGCCGTTGGTCATCTTGCAAGTCAATGCTGACGGAACATGGCAGCTCCTTCGCGCAGAGCGTCTGCATCATAGGATACACGCTGTTCCCCCTCGTAATCGCGGCGCTTCTCTCGGCCTTTGGCATTCCGACCGTCGCTCGCGTTCCCGTCTACCTGTTCCTCGTCGCGTGGTCTCTGGCCGCAGGCGTGAGTATTCTGGGGGGCAGCGGCGTGGTGAAGAACCGTGTCGGCATAGCAGTGTACCCGCTATTCGTCTTCTACCTCGGCCTGGGCTGTCTCTGCTTCATCAGCTGAGCTCTAGATACGGGAAGAGTGCTGGGCAGGAAACTGTTGGCGGGAAGGGGGTTGCGCTGCATCTTGCGTGTGGCCGAAGCAAAAAGCCGAGGCGCGTACACTGTATTTTTAGATATCCCATATTGCTGTACCTTTTACTTGTTTCAAAGACGACGGCAGGCCAATGAATGCGAATGTGGAGTTTTCTGGTTGCAGTCTCAGCTGACTTGGAGGGAAAGAGTTGCCCTGCATAAGACACCTTACCTGTGAATGCTCCTCTGTGCGCCGTGGTCTTTGGAACGTCTTGGACACAGGACGAGGTGATTTCAGCAAGAGGGACTCGTGTCATAGGCATGGTTACACTTTGCTCGAGCCTTCGACAGCTAGTCTTCTTGAGGCACTCAAGGGAGGCAAGCTCTGGCCGCAAACAGCGTTGGTAGTTGCCTTGAGAATGTCACCCGTGTTGCTCTTTTTGGAAGGCCATGGTTCAGACCGTGCAAAGAAGAACCGTAGTTTCGTCAGTCCAATCTTAGGTAGCGACTGATGCTGAGGTGGGGGTGGAATCAGGGGACTTTGTTTCCCCCACTGGTACCTTGAGTGTACGAATCTAGTTTACATGCCGCTCCCCGCCGCGCTGGTACCCCGACGGCCCGGAACACTGTACTTCCATTCATCACGACGGTTGGCCCACTGTCCAGGCGTGGGTCATTGGCAAAGGTTTAATCGAGTCCGCGCCATGTCAACAAGTCATTCGGGCAGTTTAGCGAATTACTAGCAGGTGGTTCAGTCTCTACTCAGGCAAAGCACGCTAATGCAGGCCGCCTTCGACCCAATGGAATCTGGGCTCCCTACAGAGTACTGTCTGCCACGGTAGGGACTGAAGGGTGCCCAGCATCGTCTTATCCGAGCCGGAGCGCACTGAATGATTGGGCCGATTGCCCGGCAGCTCCAATAGTGAAGTCGGTCTAATCCAATTATTCCTCATTTCAGCAACGGCGCCTGAATCTCGCCTGCAGGTTAAGGACGAGTGACGGCCAGACACCGACCGGCCTGCTGTCACCGCATTTGCACCGCACCGCACCCAAACTTCTTCGACCACAACCCCCAAAAGCCTAGTCGCGCGACCATCCAAAGACGTGCGTCGTTGACTCTCAACTCAAATTGCTCTTGCACACCCACTGCTCCTACTGTGTAGATGCCCCTCGTCTTTTTGGAAGGGACCCGCACCTTTTTTTTCCGGTTCCTGCACAGCTGCTCAAACTATCACCTGCCAGCTAACTCTGCGCTTGGCTGCTAACCACCCGTTTTGCTCTACCACTTGCAGAGTCGGGGAGAAGAAACCTCCACACCACTCAACGACGACGACAACGACGACGACGACGCCGCCGCCGACGCCGACGCCGACGACGAGCCGTTTTGCCGTACCAACCTGTCACTATGGCCGACGACCCTCAGCCCGGCAGTCCAAAGTCTGACCCGATCTATGCCAAGGAGGACGCCGAGACCGCTGCTGCCCGCAAAGAACTGAAGCATACGGCCATCTCAGAGAAGTCTTCCGCAGATGGAGCCACCGCCGAGACCACACCCTCGGGGTCGCAAAACGAGGACCACAAGGAGCGCGTTTCGTCGCCAAAGAAGAAGCGGGCACACGACCAGGTAGACGAAGACAAGGACGTTGACGAGGTTGACGACAAGAGCGTCGCCTCAAGCGACTCGGCCAAGGACAGGGCTTCGCGACTAGAGCCCGAGAAGAAGAGACACAGAGACGAGGTCGCTACCCCCGCTGACGCTGCGACCGATCCCTCTGTAGGTTTTCGCCCTGCTGTATCGTTGACACGGCCATGCATACTGACGCTGGAATTACTCCGTGTAGGCGACACCCTCTGCCGCTGCCGACACGAAGGCGAAGGAAAACGAGACCACCAAGGGCACATCTGCGACATCACAGGGTTCCACCAACGATGAGAAGAAGGGGGCTTCGGCTTCTGCTTTTGCTAGCTCGGGTTTCGCCAAACTGTCAGCCTCGAGTGCATCCCCGTTTGGCTCGCTGGGGACTGCGACTAAGGGGAGCGTGTTTGGTGGATCAGCATCTTCCGCCTCGCCCTTTGGCGGTCTGTCCCCTTCCAAGCCTGCTGCCCCCGCTCCCGCTCCTACGCCTACTCTTAGTTTTGGTGGTGCAGGCGCAGCATCCTCCCCCTTCGCCAGTGTGAAGCCCGCTGGCGCGAATGGTGGTTTCGGATCGGCATTCGGCAGTGCCTTTGGCAGTGGCCTGGGCAGCAAGCCCCTTACAAGCTTCTCTAAGACAGGCGAGTCTTCATTCAAGACTGAAAAGGCAGCCAAGCCGTTTGGTGCGCCCGATAGCGACGCAGACGAAGGCAGCGACGATGAAGCGGACGATGTCGCTGAGGCTGCCTCAGAATCTGGCGACAAGGACGAAAAGGAGGAGTCTGACAAGGAGGAATCCAAGGCTGTGGACGATAAGAAACGTACCAAGCTGCAGAAGAGTGAGTGGATATTAATCAGCCTAGGACTTACAGTTGTACTAACTGGGCGTAGTTACTGTCGATGACGGCGAAGCCGGTGAAGCGACCATACTCCAGGTCAGAGCCAAAATATTCTATCTAGAAAAGGAAGTCGGTTGGAAGGAGCGTGGATCTGGCATGCTCAAGATCAATGTTCCCGAGGCGTGCGTTCAGTTCGACGAGGCCGGGTTGCCGATACCTGGTTCTTTTGACGCATCAGGCCTGGAAGAGGATCCTGAGGCCGGCGACAACAAGGGCCACAAGGTAGCCCGTCTCATCATGAGACAGGACCAAACACACAGAATACTGCTGAACACAGTCATCCTGCCCGCTATGCAGTTCCAGGAAAAGGCGACGTTGAAGTCTGTTGGCGTCATGTTTACGGCCTTCGAGGGTGCGGAGGCCAAACCTGTGAGCGTTCATGTCAGGGTACGTGCTCATCAGCGCCACCGGCGTCCATTTTGATTCTGCTTACTAACGCCAGTTTTCTAGATGAGCGCCGCCAGTGCAAAGTCGTTCCTTAATGAGGTTGGAATGGTACAGAGAGAGCTCTCGGGCAACTGAGCACTTGAACCCATAGGCATAAAGAGGTCTAAAGGGCATCGAACGGCGTTGCAGCTTGTGCACGCTTGTAAGACGATACAGATCCGAACGCATGGTACCACACAGGGAGGGCTGGCGTGAGCATTTCTGGAGGCGGGACAGCAGGCAAAGAAGACACAGGCATACAACCGGTGGGATGGCAAGGATTTGTTTAGGGGGGCCATTCCAGTTTGACTATGCAGGGTATCTCAATCTCAGGTCGCTATCCTGTCACGATACCAGGAAAGAGGCTATCTTTTGATACGATTAGATATCAATCAAGCTCAATCTTAAATGAGATTCACCTTCACCAGTTATCTCGGCGCCTCGAAATAACGAGATATGGCTTTCGAGAGGAGGATGGCTCCGGGTTGCTGGTCCTCCGTGATATACATGGTCCACGTGATCTGGTGTGGATTACGTGACGCATACGACTTTCCTGGTCCTGACGCTGTGGCGTCGCGCGCTCACTGTCAAGCCACTTATTCCTCGTCTGGGGACCTCACTTGACAACAACAGCAGTAATGTAGTGGTTTGCGTACAGATTCATTGTTCACCTTTTCGAGTCTAAACCGCATTTTCTACCTCTTACTCTACTGCAGTCTCCTCCTACTCATGCTTGCAGAAGAACGGCCTTTGGAGGGCTACTGAAGCCCTGCAAACATGTCGCCCGTCGCACCAGGCAAAGAGCCGCCTGCAGCCCAAAAGCCACGAGGGAAACGTAAGAGGGCGATGAGCGAAACACCTGTGGTAGAAAAAGGAGAGACTGCTGCCGAGTTGCCAGAAGGAGACACAGCAGTTGCCGAAAGTGTCACTTCCACCGACAGCCCGAGAACAACCAAATCCAAGAAACGGGCTGCGTCAAAGAAGGCTGGATCAACTCTGAACCGCACGGATAGCGCAGTATCCGCTGTCGAGTGCAAGATGAAGTGGCCCGAACGCTTCAAGGCTCTGGAAAAGACGCATCGTGCACTCAACCTCGTATTTACCTTCTGTTGCACCCGCAAGCACCTCGCCACCACTTTCGAGACGATCAAGTCCGCGGTGGAATCGCACACTAAGACGTCCTTGACGATTGAGGATGTTGCAGCCATTGCCGCCATTCGTCCCGAGGGCGTAAACTTTGCCTATGTCGACGAAATCATGCTGCAGACTGAGATCCGAGGTACTGAGCGGGACGTGGTGTTCAAAAAAGGGCGGGACTTTCTCTCACAGGCGCCCGCGCCTGATGTCTCTGTCGGAGGGATCTCAGGCCTTGATAGTTTGGATCATCACCCTGACGACCCGGTTGAAGGGGGAAAGGAAGTGCTGTATTTCGAGTTCGTGGACGGAGACCTGAAACGGCAGGTCAAGGACAAGAAGACGGGCGAGATCATCAAACCCAACAGGAAGCTGAGAGAGGAGACCCTGAAGATACCAGTGTACAGCCAGAAGCAGATGACTAACTTGATCGAGCGGCGGAACCAAAAGTTCAGCGACGCCGTTAGTCTGTTCATCAACCAATGCGTAGCCGAGAGCATGGATCCCGAGCTGAGGCTGGCAACAGCGACCGAGGCTTATATACCCGTGCCGACGATGCCAGAGCCGTTGGACAAGAAACTCGGAGCTTTGCCAGAATCTATTCCAACGGAGCGCAAAAGCATTCCCGAAATCGTTCAGGAGCTGAAAGACGGTCCATGGTACACAGGGCAGATTGTTCCCGACGGGCATCGCGTGTTCGAGCCGCAGGAGCCCGTGTACGGCGACCTCAATTTCCTTCTCAGCCAGGATCTTGTCAACGCCTTATACAATTCCAAGGGGATTACCCAATTCTTTGCGCATCAGACGGAAGCCATTAATAGTCTGCTGGAAGGACAGCATGTTGTTGTTTCAACATCAACGAGCTCTGGCAAGTCCCTTATCTACCAACTCCCCGTGATTCACGCCTTGGAAAAGGATTGGAACACCCGAGCCATGTACATTTTCCCCACGAAGGCTTTGGCACAGGACCAGAAGCGAAGTTTGAGAGAGCTAATGAGCTACATGCCGGGCATGGAGGAGGTACTTGTTGAGACGTTTGATGGCGACACTCCGATGAATGAGCGGAACCTAATTCGGGAAGAGGCGAGGATCATCTTCACCAACCCGGACATGCTGCACATAACTATTCTGCCACAAGAAGAGAGGTGGAGGACGTTCCTCAAGAATCTCAAGTATGTCGTGGTGGATGAGTTGCATTACTACAACGGGCAGATGGGTTCCCATGTAGCCTTCATCATGAGGAGACTTCGACGAATATGCGCTGCCGTTGGCAACCGACACATCAAGTTCATCTCCTGCTCTGCAACTGTGGCCAACCCAAAACAGCACTTCAAGACGATTTTCGGCATAGAGAACGTGCGGCTGGTGGACTTTGATGGTTCACCGTCAGGTATGTCTTCCAGTCTCCTTTCGATATTTGAGTGTCCTTTGCTGACGTTAAACAGGCCGCAAAGAGTTTCTGTGCTGGAACACGCCATACAAAGACCCCGGGGATCCATCGAGTGGTCGTGGCGACGCAATGTTCGAATGTGCTCGTCTCTTCTGCCAGCTTATGCTCAGGGGCGTCCGTATCATTGCATTCACAAGAGTCAGAGAGCAGTGTGAGAAACTGGTAACCGCTGTACAACAGGAACTCGAGTCTCTTGGACGGCCAGAGTGTGTCAACAGAGTCATGGGCTACAGGGGCGGCTACACCGCTCAAGACCGACGGAGAATTGAGTCGGAGATGTTCGAAGGGAAACTTTTGGGTATTGTCGCGACCACTGCGCTTGAGCTAGGAATCGACATCGGAACTCTGGACTGTGTGCTGACTTGGGGGTTTCCATACACCATCGCCAACTTGCGTCAACAGAGCGGCCGAGCCGGAAGAAGGAACAAAGACTCACTGTCGATCTTGGTGGGGGATTGCTTCGCTACAGATCAACATTACATGCAAAACCCCGACGAGCTTTTTTCGAAGCCGAATTGTGAGCTCCAGGTTGACCTGGAGAACATGCTGGTGCGAGAAGGACATATTCAATGTGCCGCATACGAAATGCCAGTGCGGCCAGTTGAGGATGCAGAATACTTCGGCAATGACTTGCCCCAGATCTGCGAGGAGAGGCTGCTCAAGGACACCTTGGGTTTCTACCATTGTCACGAACGGTTTAGACCCGTCCCTTCGAGATTCGTCGCCATCCGCGACACCGAGGACGATCACTTTGCCATCATCGACATTACCCATGGAAGGAATGAGGTCTTGGAGGAACTAGAGGCCTCGAGGGCAACATTTACGATATACGACGGGGCCATTTTCCTGCACCAGGGCAACAAATACCTCGTCAGAGATTTCCAACCCGACAAGATGATGGCCCGAGTGGAAAGAGTCAAGGTCGAGTGGACCACGACGCAACGAGATTTTACCGATATCGACCCGATCGAGACGGAGGCCATCAGGAAAATTTCCGGATCCCTGTCCAGAGCGTTTTACGGCACAATCAAGATCCAGCAGAACGTGTACGGATTCTTCAAGGTCGACAAGAAGAAGCGGGTGCTCGACGCTGTGCACGTAGACAACCCTCCCGTCATTAGGTACGGGAAGGGCATGTGGCTCGACATACCCAAGAAGGCCTTGCAGATCCTCGCAGACAGGCGTCTGCACATCGCCGCGTCCATCCATGCGGCGGAACACGCCATCCTTAGCCTGATGCCCAACTTCGTCATCAGCTTACCTGGAGACGTTCGGACGGAATGTAAGGTCGCTTTGAAGGAGTTTGCTAAGAAGGAGTCACAGAGGAAGAGGCCCGGACGGCTGACGTTCTACGACGCCAAGGGAGGTGCCAGTGGGTCGGGGATCAGCACCAAGGCCTTCGAGCACATCGACCATCTCCTTCAGCAGGCTCTTAAGCGGATTGAGAATTGTTACTGCGAGAACGGGTGCCGAGAGTGCGTGGCGTCGGACCTGTGCAAGCAGGCCAACGAGGTGATGAGCAAGGCGGGCAGCCAGGTCATCCTCAAAGCTCTGCTGAACCTCGAGATTGATGTTGAGGCGTTACCAATGGGACCCGAGGAGTACAGTCCGGCGGGCATCGAGACGGTTGTTGTTGCTCAGACTGTGCCACCCAAGGACCGGAATAACCTTAGGGTGGTTGAGATCAAGGACGAGGAATTTGAGGATCGTGATTCGGTGCTTTTGGAGGAGGCTGAAGCTTGGACTGGGCAGCAGGAGGAGGGATGAATCCTCGCTGGTGTTTTCCACTGCAGTCGAATATCAGAGCAGAGCCAATTCTTAGATGAGGTGCTCCTCACATAAAGGAAGCCATGAAAGCAAGTGACCAAGCCAATGAAGTACGGATTATGTCTGAATGTATTGCGAATCTGAGTGGGAGATGAGAAATTTACTGCTCTTAACACTAACAAAAAGTCGTCTTCAATGAAGGAAGTCTGTGGCTTCCTTGTCCTCCCTGTCTAGAATGCAGCTTTTTGGGTGTTGTGGGATGAAACGTGTGCGATACTGGTGAGTATGGATGAAGACGGTTGCCCCTGACGGTCCTTTCGCTCCCATCTTGCTCCGGTCTTGTTCCTTTCCAGATGAAAAGATGAGTCCGATTACAGAAAGAGACTCCGGTTCCTTGCTACTTATAGTAGGCAGGCACCCAGAATCTGATTCTTTGGCGAGTTCTAGGGGCTGGGGGCGGCATCTTACACAAAGACTGTCCCCTCGCTCCTGCCTCATCAGCGCGCCTCCACATTCTAGGCCTTGAATACACGTGAATAGCTTCACAGGCCACAGCGACCCTTCCCTTTTTGTAAGGAGACCGACCTGCCCGCCCTCCCTCCTTCCTTTTCGTGCCGTTTACCTGCCTGTCTGCCTAACTTTCTCTCTCTCTCCTTCTTCTTCTATCTGAACCACCCTCTTCTCTCATTTCCCCTTCCACATATAACCTCTTTCTCTTTCCCATCCTACTTACAACAATCCACCTGGGCAAACAAGACCTACTTCACACACAGAAAGTACTCGCTTGATCTTGGACCGAAAGATCCCCTTTCATCTGGAAATTCGATCCCATCGCCTCCTTCGATCCAACTTTGCTCTTTGCCTCGAGACCGAACTTACCTTCACAGACTTGTTTCCTTGACAAGAATTGCCGTCCATCAAACCGATTGCCTCTCTTCTATCACGACCACTTGTACTACCACAAAATCCTTCTACTGAGAAGGAACACTGCACAAAATATCACCCTAACGTTCCTCAATCAACAAATCATCACATACCAGCTAGTAAGTCACCTACTTATTCCATTGTCATTTATTGTTTGCTAATAATTACTAGAAATGTCTGTTAACAACGGATCCAACTCCAATCAGGTCGGTCGCGGCCGCAGTACTCAACAAGGTCAAGCCTATCAAGCAGGCGCTCCTGCTCCCCTCGTCGATCTTTCTCAAAGCTTTCCCCAGGCTCCTGGCAATACCCTAGGCCAACTTCTCGTTCCCCAAAGCGCCATCACCCTGGACCAAGTCCTCGGCTCTGGCCCACACCCTCTGGGACGACCTGGTGCAGCTTTGCTTCCGTTTGTTCACACCGATCCTGCCGATGGCGCCCTCAATGATGCCATGGCCTCTGTCAACATTGCTGACACGGGCGCGAGCCGTGGTGCAGCTGTACCTTCCCAAACCGAAGGCATTCATCAGCGTCAGTATCATCCCATGAGAATGGTCGTGCAACCCGTGCTTCGATACAACAGTTCAGATCTCGAGCGTGCTTTCCGGCAGGCTAGGGGATTTTCAGCCCAATACCGCGGTGACATATTCAATGACGGCAACATGAGTGCCGACGTACCGGCCGACCAGAACACATCGCTCTGGATGGAAGGCCTTCCAGCTGGCTGTACGCCCCATATGCTTCTGGGAGCAATCGCCCAGGTTCGCCCGACAGGCAAGATCTGGGCCTCGTATATCAACCCAGCCAATCCCGCTGACAACAAGCCGCATGCTGCGGCAAAGATTGTCTTCTTCTCGCGCGAAGGCGCAGAGAGCTTGCTCGGCGCCAACCAGGCCGGCAGGTTCTTGGTGGGAGGACGTCGTCCACGCATCACCTGGAATCGAATCAGGACAGCAGCACGGGGTACCAGAGACAGCCACAAGTCTCGAGTGGTGCTCATCCATGGCCCAGCTCAATACGTCAATGAGCCACGACTGAGCCAATGGTTCAAGCAGTTCTTCAAGTTCGAGACCGAGGTAGTCATCCCACGCGAATACAGGGTCAATCCGGGAGGCCAGGCCGTACAGCTTTTAGAGTGGCGGTTCGCGAGCACCCGCTGTCAAGGGGAAGCTGCATGTATGGCGATTGGCTTGGAGCTTCGCGGAATGGTGGAATGTCGCTACGGATAGGATCCTTGTGCGTGAGCATCATTCTAGCCTTCTGTTCAGTGGGGTCCCCTTTCTTTCGGCTCCGTCCCTAGCTTGGCCTCGTTCTGAGGTCCCTCTTTTCTTTTATTTTTCCTTTTTGTTTTGCACTCTTTCTTTTTGCGTGGATTTTCGGATACCGGGCGGAGGAATATAATCAGGGCATATGGCAGGTGGCGGCAAGTAGGACGTGGAGAGCTTCAGGGGGGCAGAAGCTGAGCGTAACATGGGAACTAGGCAGCCGTTTGGGATACAATTTGTGCGTGTTACCGCAAGTTACCAACCAGAAAATACTAAACAGAACCGTTCGTGGTCAACGAAACAAACAGGATGTGCACAAGGATGCGTAAGTGATGAAGCGAGAGGATGAAAAAAGCTTTCGCCAAGGGGCGGCCAGATGGATGGTTTGTCCGCGTTGGAGGTCGAGGGTGGAGATAGAGATGGAGGTGGATGTGCGACGGGTGTCTCAGCCTCTATGGCACTCGTGGCATCAGCTTGGCATGTTGTTGGGAGGCCCTTGGCTTCTGATCTCCTGATGTTGGTGTACCCAGGGTCTCGCTGTAGCGTCAGTGCTTGGCGGCCTCCCTCACGACGGTTGCAGCTGAGAAGCCAAGGTAGTTGGGACGTGCTGCAATTTGGCGCATTGATACAGTCCATCACCTCCGCCCGCTGCATAACTCTGCCCAGATGCCAGAAGCCTCGGCACCCCGTATCTTGCGGGCGTTGATGGCAGGCTTTTGGGGAAAAGATAGATCGGGGGCCATGTCGGACTGGTCATCATGACGGCCAAGAGTATGTGTTTGGGCCTGGTATGAAAAGGCTTGACAAGTAGCATCACCAACGGGTGCACAACGCCAAGCAAAGAAGACCGTTCAGCCAGCCAGACAGACGTGGTCGGTTGGAATTGCATTGGGAAATGCTCCGTCATTGGGGTCGGCAGGGGTCTGGAAGCTTGTGACGTCGTCGGGCTTGTTTACCCCTGCCTTCTATCACCGCCTCTTTACAGCGTAGCGACGCAGCCAGAAACAACAACAACAACAACATTTGAATCTACAGGGCCTCTCTGCGTGTCTCTCGCTCTCGACGTGGAACCCGCGGCGCCGGCCCTTTCCTCGCAATCTGAGTGGAGGAAACGCAAGCTGCGCGTCTGCCTCATCTCATACACGGGCAGAAAGTATCGTATACTCGAGGTTTCACAGCCTTTCAGGCGAGTCGTTGGGTGTTACCAGGTGTACCCATACACGACGATCCAAGCACCTAACTCGTCTGCTCGTCCAACAATGCACAGGGATCTTGTCAAAGGTCTTGGCATGACAGCAAGCTTGGCCGTGCCTTGATTGATGCACAACACGGTCATCCACGTTCCATGATTGCCCAAAGCCTCTCCTACTATCGCTCTTGCTCAATCTCTCACTCATTTCGGAGCGCCTTGGCTGTGAAAAGTTAAATGTATCGAGCGGTTCCCTGGAGGACTCACTCTCACTCTCACCCTCCCTTCCGTCTCTTCTTGGCATCCCAAACTGCTGCGATGCCGAACATGTTAGAAACCTTTACTTCGGATTGACGGATTGGATTGCCGGCCTCAGTTCTCGTTCCACAATCGCAGCAGCACGAAAAACTGTCATCAATTTTCACCGACTGTCTAGTAACAGCAGTAGCAGTAGAAACCGCGAGAAAAGCTAAGGTTGAAACACCCTCGCCCGCAACCCCAGACCCGCGGCCCAGCCCAGCCACCCTCCCGGACCAGACACCCTAGTTACCGCCGAGGGGCCTCAACCCGGCGGACTGGACCACGTCGAACAAGACTGGAGAATAAGGGACCTCACTTCCCCGTCTCTTGGGCATCTCTGCACCTCGCTCCGCATCTCTTGGCCATTCAGCCACACTTTCGAGACCTCTTGGTATTGGGGCTGTTCCACACGTCCTCACCGTTCCCTATCCCAGCAACACGAGCCAGCCTACCCACTTGGGTATACTTCTGTACGACTATATACCCTCTCTGCTCCTCCGCGTTCTAGTTTTAGGGAGCGTGTTTGCCTATTTCGCCCAACGAACGTGCCGTCTTATCCATTTAGACGCCCCAGTTCGCCGTCATGTCGGCTCCCAGATCTCCCTATCGTCAATCCCATCGCCAGTCGACCGGCTCACGTCGGCGAGAATCGAACCACCCCATCATCCCGCTGGAGAAAGCACGCACCTCAGGATACTCGGCCCGCGAGGAGCTACCAGTCCACAATGGCCACCATCACCGAGCCCCTCCGCCAGGAAACAAAGTCAAAGTAAAGCCCTCGGGCGAAAGTGGCCGCAAAGGCTTCCACCCCTTCAAGTTTCTCAAAATTACGTGGAAGTCGTCGAGTCGGGCGTCTCTCGCCTGTAACTTCTTCTGGCCTGTGGTCCCCGCCGCCTTTGTCGTTCGTTGTAAGTCGTCCGCGACAGTTGCAGGTCTAGGCACTGGCAGAACTAATACAGGATGTTCAGACACTCGGCCTGAAGACCATGTCTTGATCTTCATCCTCACTTACATGGCCATGATTCCTTGTGCCAACATGGTCGGTTTTGCTGGCCAGGAACTGTCCCGCAAGGTTAGCCACGTGTTCGGCGTGTTGATTGAGACGACGTGAGATACCCCTATCCCGCCCCTGCATGCCGCAACTGTCACTTACACATTCCTACCATTACAGCTTTGGATCCATAGTCGAAATCATCCTCTTTATGATACTCCTAAGGAGCGACCAGTTCACCGTCATCAAAGCCGCTATCCTCGGTTCAATTTTGGCAACAATGCTCCTATGTCTGGGGTTGTGTTTTATTGCCGGCGGCATGCGACGCGACGAGGCTGAGTTCAGTGAGACCGTCAGTGAAGCCGGTAGTGGCTTGCTACTCACGGCGTAAGCGGAATCCATTAAGAGGGAATACCTCGAATGAATGCTGACTGTTGATAAACAGAGGTGTCACTTTGGCCATCCCCGCCATCTTCAGTTACTCTATGGCCAAGTCGCTCACGGTCGAGGACCTCAATAGCAAGACGCTCCACATCTCACGGATCGTCTCCGTCTTGCTTATTATAGCCTATGGCGTCTTTGTGTGGTTCCAGGCCCGGTCACACCACGGTATCTACGATGCCATCTTTGAGCACGATGAGCAGCGGGACCACGACAAGCATAAGGATATTAACAAGCCCAAGCTGACGCTGACGGAGTGCATCATTGCCCTCGTTATCTCTATTACGCTTGTGACCTTTATGGCCTTCTACCTTGTCGAGCAGATCCACCCCATTGTCCTAAAGCATGGCATATCGGACCATTTCATGGGCCTCATCCTTGTGCCCCTCGTCGAGAAGGCCGCCGAGCACCTAACGGCTGTTGACGAGGCGTGGGACAACCAGATGAACTTTGCCCTCTCCCACGTCCTGGGTGCCACGCTGCAGACGGCCCTGCTCAACGGCCCGCTTGTCGTCATCGTCGCCTGGGGCCTGCACAAGCACATGGACATCGTCTTCGAGGTCTTTGACATTGGCATGCTCATCTTGTCCATACTGACAGTTGGAAACTTCCTGCGCGACCAGAAGAGTAACTACTTGGAGGGCTACCTCTGCGTCACCGTCTACGTCGCCATCGCGGTTGCTGCCTTTTACTACCCCAACCCGGAAGGTCTCGGCGAGCATTGAGCTGCGGCACGCGCGCGGGTGGGTGAGAAGAGGAGAGGACGGAGGTGTTTTACGACGCTTACGAAAAGAGACAAGCATGCTATACTTACCTTCCTTGCCAGCGTTTGCGGTGTTTGATGGGAACCAGAGATTGTACAAACAACAGAGAGGTGGTAACAGCCCATGTGTGACGTGATCCGCTGCCCCCGATGCCCGAGGTTCAGTCAGGGCCCGGTTGCGATCTGTCCTGTAGCTAGCACGTAGTGCACATTCTCAGGCTCGACAGAGAAGGACAACCACTCGAGCGGCGATGGAATAGGTTCCAACGTAAAGGGCCATGAGAGCATTTGTATTTTAGACAACTAATGATATAAAAAGATTATGATCCCATCTCTGCGCCCGTTCCGATAAAGTGTCGGCACCGCCGTGCCGAGTCTGGGCTGCGTTGTATCCTTGCAACCTTGTAGTGCAGATCGCCTTTTGTTCTCCGCGGAGATGCTTCCAAAATGCCATTCCGTGCAAGAAATCCCAAAGGTAAAGACCCGCTGGTAAGCACCACAACGCCCGTCCCATCCCACCACACACTCCCGATCTTCTCGTGTGCGTGCTATCTAGGTTTGAGCCGCTTACGAAGCTTATTCCGGAGATGCTCGATTCTCCAATGTTTCTATGCTCGACCGATTGAACCCCACCCCACACACTCACACACACACCCATCCTAAACGGTCAGCGTCTAGGGCCCGACGAGTAACAGCGGTCGCCGGCAATTACCCGGACACGGTTGCGCGCCATGACGGCCCGAGGCGATGGCGGCTCGGGTTGGGTCTGATCCGACTTCATCCCACCACCCACTTCCCACCCTGGTGACTAGCACTGCCGGTACCCGAGATCGGCAAGCACGTTCGTGGGACGACGCTTGAAGGAACCGACATCTGGTCGTCCGAAGAAAGAGCCAACTTGGGGCGTTTGACCCCATCTGCTCGTAAAGCAGAAACGGCCGACTTTAGAAGAACACCAAGTCGTCCTCCTTCCAGCCGAGACCGGTGAGGGTGGTGCGCACGCATGCCTCGAACGCCTCGGGTCCGCACACGAGGACGAGCTCATCGCCACCCGCCTCGTTGCGGCACGCGCCCACCTCCTTCCCAAAGAACTGGCCGTCCATCCGACCCCTGAGACCCGTCCACGACGCATCGGGCTTCGTGAGCGAGTAGAGCAGCCGGCACCTGCCCGGATTGGCGGCGGCCATGGCGTCGAGCTCCTCCCGGCAGAGTATGTCCTCCTCGACGCGGTTGCCGTCGAGCACGAGGCACCTCGTCGGGTCGGCGGCGTCCTTCATGACGGCCCTCAGGACCTGGAAGATGGGCGTGATGCCCGAGCCCGCGCAGATCATGATGAAGCGCTTGACGGCACGCTGCGGCCTGCCGGCAATAGAGCAGAGCCCGTTGCCGAGGTACTCGAATTTGCCGACGGGGCCCTTGAAGTCGACAAAGTGGCCGACGGGGATGGAGTCGAGCGCCTGCGTCATCTTGCCGCCCTTGCGGTCCGGTGTGTCGTAGTAGATCTTGACGAGCACGTGAAGCTTGCCCTTGTCGGTGCCCTCCGAGATGGGCGTGTAGGCGCGGATGATGGCCTCGCGGGTGACGGGGTCGCGCAACCGCATCATCAGGTGCTGGCCGACTGGCAGGCCGACCATCTGGTCCGGGTGCTCGAGCGTAAATGTGAAGATCTTGGAGTCGGACGAGACCTTCTTCTTTTCCGAAAGGATGCCCTTGGTCCAGTTTTTGGTCTGCAAGAAGACTGACCGCGCAGTCTTGTCGTCATCCTCTGGCACAATCTCGCCTTCGGCAAGCATCCTCCGGCCGGCCTCGTCTAGTGTGCCGATGTGGTAGTCGGGCATCATCTTCTTAGCGTTCTCGCTGTCTGCAGTGGCGTGTTAGTGGACGTAAGGGGCTATGTAGCGCGGGCGTGGACTTACGGATGGTCAAGAATTCTTCCGACACGTCCTGGCCGGCGGCGCCGAAGATGGAGGCCGCGCCTCCCGGATGACCGTCAAGGAAGGGGGTGCCATTGTAAACCTCGCCATCGACGACGAACCACGGCTCCTCCTCGCCGTTGTGCTGCCGAAGCTCATCAATGGCAATGCTGCGCTTGATGGTGTCCTTCGTCATGCAGATCTCCTTGATTTCTTCCGGCTCGACGGCACTTTCGGCTTCTCCCTCGATTTTCTCGCCCCAGAAGCCATTGGAGAGGTTACCTCCTGCCTTTTTGACGCGCTCCATCCACCCGCCAGCCATGAGAGCCGGTTGAGTAGGGTGCTCAAAGCGTAGGCTGTGTCCCTCCTTGTGGATGACCACCCTGAACCACGGATTGTTCATCATGCCCAGTACACTCCAGTACATGTCTCTAGGCTGCACCATCATGCTCTCGTCCATGGCGCGGACCATGACGTCTGCTGTGTCGGCGAGCTGAGCGATGGGGATGTCCAGATTCCAGAAGCACCAGCAGAAGCTAGTCTCCCTCCAGTCCATATCAACCCTGCCGCCGTAGAGGGTCTCGCCCTCGGGGGCTAGTCGATACGTGTCTTCGGGGTAGTCAATATTGGCAAGGAGCCACGTCTTGCCTCGGTCAAGGGTGATTTCCACTCTTGTGATTCTCCTGCCGCCGCCGCCGTAGGCGTACCCGCGGACTCTGTAAGTCTCTGGCCCATCGGCCAAGGGGACAACCTCGTCATGAGCGGGGTAGCAGGTGGCGCTGTTTGTGTTGAGGTCGTAGATGGCGTATCGCTCGTCCTTCCACACCTCCGGCAGGTCTGCACTGGCGTCTGGGGAGACTGTAGTAGGAAGCACTCGGTTGTCGTAAATGTGGTACCAGTTGTCACTGGGCTCCTTGGTGACGATGATCTTCTTGAGCCACTTGACACTCCTGCCACCAATCTGGCCAGGGATGATGATGCGCACAGGCTTTCCGTGATCAGGGTGCAGCAGCTCACCGTTCATGCGGTAGCATACTGTCACTCCGCGGTTTGGGTCCATGCACCAGTTGAGCTTGATACTCGTTCCGTAATAACCGTTGGGAAGCTTATCGGCACCCTCGAAGCACACGTACTTTGCCCCTCTCTTGGGCATTGCCCGGGCAAGGAGGTCGCCGATCGACACACCGGTCCAGAGGGCTGTTGACAAGCCGGCGGCGCCCCATGAGAAGCCTTTTGATTTGCGGACCATATTCTGCTCCTTTCGGCGGTTGCCAGCACAAACCAGGGTGACCGGGTAAGTGATTTGTTCGTAGTCTGAGATGAGATCTCTCAGTGTCATCTTGATGGGGTTCTCGACGAGGCCCTCGATAGTAAATTCCCAGTCAAACATGTCCTCGTCCTCGACTTTGGGTACGGCTCCGTGGTTCCGAACATAGTGCAGGTCCTTGGTGGTGATGAAGCCTTCGTCGTACAATTCGCCCAAAGGGGCCTCGACGTTGAATGGGTGGATTCCGGTCAGGCGTATTAGTCGAGGGTCTCGGGTGACATGGCTGTCTGGTGTCTTGAGATCCTCGGCCAGGACCTTGTTGGTTCTTGATTTGGGAGGCAGGGGATAGCTGCGAGAGCCCTCAACGCTGGGCTCGTCGAGTAGACCTCCTGAGGCCGAATGCTCTGATCTGCCGTCGACGCTGTAAGACAAACCCTCCCTAACTGTGGTAGCCGGGCTCGGTGGGAAGCTGAGCTCTGCCTTGGCGGATGGTTCCCGGAAGGCGACGGGGACGGGGACAGGAAGGACGTCCATCGTGGCGAAGACCACGATCGTACGGGGTTTGGTGTTTTGGAGATGAGAGTGTATAAGCGTGTACTCCGGATGACAAAACTCCAAACAGAGGTTGTTCCGTGCGGTGATCACAAGCCAGCCGAGACAAAATCAAAATCCCTGCTTAAGCGTTGGGTATTATGAATAAGGTCGGAAGATTAGAAAGTAAACCGTGGCCAGGAGGCTAATATAGCAGAACAGATAATCAAGGAGTGTAAGAGAAGAGAAACGTTTCGTGGAACGGGACAACGGTGTGAATAAGTACCACTTTGTGTGGGTTGGTGGATGTGAGATTTGAATTTCCTGGAGCCGGAGTTGAGTGATTGTGGTGTGGGCGGATCGGACGCACGACGGGAGGCGAGGGAGTGGCTCTTCCTGCACGGCACAAGGCAAGGTAAGGCAAGGCAAGAAAAGCATGGGATGGGATGGGCTGGGACGGTCAGTACGGGATGGGATAGTACACCACCACATACATCACCGGAGGAAGTGACGCAAGGCAAATCAGACCGAGCGATAATTAACTACGCTGTGTACGAAGCATGATCGCCGGCCCCGACTCGAATCGAAGCGCGCTGACGGTTGGATAACTCCCCAATGGCCATTTGCTGATACATGCTGTACACTATTCGAGGTACCTAGCCCTCTGTGCCCTTGTCAGCTATTGTCCAAGTACCGTGTAAGTGGAATAGGCCACATGCCCCGGTGACTAGGATACATAAGAATGAACCCGAATCAGGTAACTTGACGGGGACGGCACGGCGTCAGGCGAGGAGATGCGACATCCTAACCAAGGGGGGATGCTCGTGTGTTGAAGAGTCCGCGGAAGAAGACGAACGTCTAATCATCAACTAACGCAGGTTTCTTATCAGCAGGCGTCATATTCTTTGCGGCCGTGAACTCGACGTCGACCATCCGACTGATGCTATTGGGGCGATAAGGGCACAAAGGCAAGGGGGACGAAGGGGGAATTCCCAGCGCGGAGATGCGTCAATCGCCAGGCGTTTCCTACATATGTATCGGCTGCCCTTTCAAGTCCCGATTGGCCAGATAAGGACGATTGCACTTGGATCCACGCCCCTGGGCCCGAGAATGGCCCGTGGGAGGGTTCCGGAACGGGTCCTCACGTCCTGCAGAACCGGGAACCATGCCCGGCTTTTGCTGTTTCGGCCTTCTTGCGACTTTTTGTTAGCCCCCAAGGTATGCAAATGTGGAAGCCCAAGTCGCACATCATCGTCTTCCCTCATCCCGTCTGACGCCCGTTTTGTGTGCCAAGAGATGGGGGTTGATGGTTGAGTATCTTCCAATGTATTTCACGGGTGCCAGTAGCTTTCTTTGCGACGGCCAGCAAGAAACCGAACGCAATGGCAATTGCAATTCTATCAGACTAAAAAGTAAACACTGGCGTGTGAATGCGGGCGTTGCCTCTATCAATGACACTCGGTATTACTTCTCCTGGGAATCGCCCGCCAAACATTGAAAGGCGGGTGTTGGGCCGGATCATGAGGCGTCTTTTCCTTTCGGATGATTCTGTCGACAACCTAGCACGTCACACAACGTGAGAGCTAACACAACGGGATGCGGAGAATAAACCTAGTCCTCGTGGCATCCACAGTCTCCAGCCGTAGTCCACGAATGCTGCGGTGTCGATGTGGCGCCAGAGGCTTGGGCAATAACATCTGGGTCATACCATGGTAATCTCATGAAGCCTTGCTATCCGATGCGTGATCTTGAGACCCATGTCTCAGGTACCATGTGATTAAGATGAGCTCGTGGAGTTCGTCGGAGATGCAGACCTAAGCAGCCAAATCGGGCTGCAAGACAGCGGAACTTCTCAGGCATGTGCCTTGCATCGCCCGGTATTCACAGGCTGCATGGTGATGCGGTTGGTGGGCTGGGCTTTGGATTGGCGAGTTTGTTTTCAAGATCAGTCTGCCATTGGACAATTGACCGATATTTTGTCAGTTTTAAGGTTGGCCTGTCAAGCATGATCTTGTCCTCTCATTTCCTCTAGGCCTTGGTTTGATATACGTCGACAGCTTCTGCTGTTCCGCCACATTTAGTCCTTATGCAGAGAATCAACATTGAGCTGTCACGAGTCTCTGGCCCCCAATGACACAATATATCAAAGGTAGAGTGGGGAGATGTGAGGTGAGGGCAAGGAGCTGGTGTTGGTCGAGATCAAGCCACAATGGCGGAATTGCCATACGCTTGGCAGTGGCTTCTGGGAAGCTCCTCCCAAGCCTCGACTCACTTCAGCTTACTTGTTCCGACAGCCTATCGCCCTCTGCCGCCAAAGACGCCGAGGCGGAGAGTGCCAAAGCGCATGGACGTGGAAGCTGTCGCGTTCGGCCTCTTTGGCCGGGCACAGCTGTAGGACCGCCTGGTCCTGTTGAATGTGTCGTCGGTAAGGAGCCCCAAGAAGGTCCTTGTCCCCTCGTGCTCCACTTGTTCGCTTCATTGTAAATCCCTCCGAAGACAATTCTCCGACAAGCGCAGTCGTTCAACCAAGACACTGGGCCATGACGCTCACCGCCCGGGGCGCTAAAACAACCGTGAAGTGCCCTGCGCGAATCGGAAAGCTACAGGCCTATAGCAGGGACTATGCGCTGACAGACCGGTTCCTTTACCCAAGGTTCTGAGTTAGCTCTAGAGGAAATTCTCACTGAAAGCTTGCCTGCCTTATGCTGTGAGTAAGGCACCTACCTCGATTGAGCATCAAGGTACCAGCCTACCTTACTGTACCTGTACCTACGCAGTAGCGCTTTACCTCGTACCTTCTTTGTGCGCCTGAAAGTCCAACAAGGCTCCCTGTGGTGTGGGGAACGCCCGGTCTCTAGGAATTCAAGGTCGCTACCAAACGCCCGCTAAACACATCCGCCTCCGCCTCTGAATTTCTGCAGATCGGCTACAGGCAACGGCTCATCACCTTCAAGTCAGGTCCAGAATTCTCTCAGCACCGCCGAACTTGAACGGCACCGAATCCCACGATCCGACAAGACCTCCTGCGCTTTCAGGCCCGGCCTGCTGCTGCAAACGACCTTACCGATGCCGGCCCATGTTGACGCGCAGAGTCACATTCGTTTACAACACTCGATCCCATAGCATCAGCCTCCAACATCTTCGCTGCGATCCTGCCTTATGTAGCCCTCATCCGCATCCGACCTCCCCACACACAACAAAACATTTACACGATCCGCCATGGATCGTGCAAGGAAGCGTTAGTCCTCTCTGCCCGCCGCTTCATCCCTCATCTCTTTGCAATCCGCTGACATCGCCGTCTAGGCGAATTGCGCTCCCTGAACACTCGCGCCTGGGATGGCGACCAAGGTTCGTACACCATGTCCAAACCCCACCATGCTGAGCGCCCCTCCTCTGACTGCTCCTTACCTACGCAGATGTGTTCGCCGTCAGCAAGTCGCTCGACTCGTCCTTGAAGAAGAACACTGCTTTCATCAAGCGCCTTCGAACTGCCATCTCTGCAGCTACCCTCAATACCTTCCTCCAAGAGATCCGCGCCCTCAGCCTGCACAAGTACCTCTCCGAGATTATCTCCGCTTGCTACGAAGGCCTCTGTAGGCTCAAGTCCCCCGGCGAGATCGAGGCCGGCGTCGAAATTGTCAGCGCTCTGCACCAGCGCTTCGGCCCTAGCGAGTTCACCGAGTACCTAGGATGGCTGCTTGGCAAGGGAATGGCAACGCCTGACAAGAGCTTGCTCAAGTCACTGGCTCCCGAGGTCCGCGAGAAGGAGGAGAAAGAGCGCTTGACGCGCCAGCGAGTGCTCTTGCGCGTCGTTACCGAACTCTGGCTGGTCGATGTTCTGCGAACCCTCGATGACGTTACACGACCCGATGATGCCACCAAGGGTGCCACAGGCAAGGTTGCCGAGTTGAAGCCCAGGGCTCAAGTGAATAAAAGCGGCGCGGCTGAGCCCTTTCCCCTTGAGGTGCTGAAGGATCTGTTGGGTCATGACAGGGAGCATGTTAACCTACCGCTACTCGTCATCTTTGTCAAGGCTTTCAGCTGGGATATTCTGGGCGTCAAGTCCTCGGCAGGCGAAGGACGCAAAACGGTAGAGGAGGATGGCGCAACCAAGACGACCAACGGGACTACGCAGGGCGACGGCAGCGGCGAAGACCATGCTGGCGATGCCGACGACCAACCGTTCACGCCTCCCGAGCTCCAGGAAAAGTTCAAGACCATTCTCAAGAAATACTTTGAGGACGTCAAGAGCCACGTTGTCCGGGACCAGAAATCCATTCACTCCCAAGCTCGACGGAACGCTGAGGCTTACGTGAAGTCCGGCGAAGTCTTCGAGGACCGGCAAGCAAACTTTGAGAAACAGCTGAAGGCTCAGGAGAGGCTTGTAGCAAATGCCCAGGCCATCGCGGATGCTATTGGCGCCGATATGCCCGACCTCAAGGACAACGACGACTCGCTAGCAAACACCAACGGTTCCATCGGCTTGGTCAAGGCTGGCGATTATCTGCGAGGCCTCGGAGACGGTGCTGGAATCTGGGAAGATGAAGACGAGCGACGTTTCTACGAAAACCTGGTCGATTTGAAGGGCAAGGTTCCGGGGATCCTTCTCGACGACGGCAAGAAGAAGAAACCGGACAACGAAGAGCAAGTCGGCAAGAAGATTGACCCGGCAGATGCCCCGGACGCACCAAAGGCCCCCGATGCAGGCGAAGACCAATCCACTTCCATTGCCAACAAGACGATTGGTGCGCAGGTTGATGCCGTGTTGGCCCGACTGCCAGATCTTACCAACAAGGATGTTATCGACCAAGCCGCCATCGACTTCTGCTACTTGAACTCAAAGGCCTCCCGTAACAGATTGGTCAAAGCTCTGACTGAGGTCCCTAAAGGCCGAGGCGACCTTCTGCCTTCATGGTCGAGACTTGCCGCAACTTTGGGCAGATACATGCCAGACATTCCGAAGGGTCTCGTTGAGTATCTGGATGCCGAGTTCCGTAGTCTTC